GGACAGATTATCAGTCTCCTAGGGGATTGGTTCAACTTTGTCGCTTCCGCTTCGCTCATTGCGATACTCACCCAATCCGGATTCGCTATCGGCAGCCTGTTCGTCGTCCGTATGCTCGCACCATTCTTCATCAGTCCCATCGCTGGTGTGGTCGCAGATCGCTATAACCGTAAACATACCCTCATCATAACTGACTTGGCGCGCGTCGTCGTCGCATTCGGCTTCCTTTTGGTTCGGAGTGCGGACGATGTCTGGCTGCTTTACGTCCTGACCGCCCTCCAACTTGGGATCGGTGGTTTTTTCTTCCCCACGCGAAATGCGATTTTGCCCGACGTTGTTTCATCAAAGGAACTCGGTGCTGCCAACGCCTTGGGATCCGCCACTTGGTCGGTTATGCTCGCTTTGGGTGCCGCCATCGGTGGAATTGTGTCCGGCGCATGGGGCATCTACCCCGCCTTTGTCATTGACGGCTTGACCTTTCTCCTATCAGCCGTCATTCATCGCTCGGATTAAACTTGATGTGGAACCAGCTCTCGCCGCGTCGGATAAAACCATGGGCGGTGCTTTCAAAGAGTACCTTGACGGCTTGCGTTACCTCGGCAGGCACCCCGACACACTGGTTATCGCACTACATAAGGGTGCCAGCGCACTGATGATGGGTTCCGGATCTCAGGTGGCAATGGTCACTATCGCCAAAGATATCTTTGTAATTGGAGAAGGTGGAGGGATTAGCCTCGGTTTCATGCTTGGGATGGGTGGCGTTGGGACAGGCGTAGGTCCATCGTCGCTCGCCGTTTCACCGGGGATCGGGATCGCCCGTTGCGGTATGCCATCATTCTGGGCTATCTGATGGGTGCTATAGGGCTAGCTATCGTCGCCCGATGGTCCACTTCGGCTGGGTGCTTTTGGGTGTCACCCTCCGTGGGATTGGTGGGGGGAATTGTCTGGGTGTTCTCGACACAACTGTTATTGCATCTCGCTCCCAATCCCGTGCGCGGACGGGTCTTCTCCACCGACTTTGCCCTTTTCACGCTGATGAGTGCTGTCGGTTCTGCGGTTGCTGGCGGGGCACTCGACGCTTCACTGAGCATCCCTACAATTTTCTGGTGGATGGCGGGTTTGACGGTGATCCCAGCGGTTCTGTGGGGAATATGGCTGGGCAAAAGAATAAAACGCAAAACGTGAAAAGGAACGCCGGGACGCACAGATTAAAAAAATGGCTCATGTAAAAAGGGAGTGCAATTACAGTGAAGGAATAGAGGGGAGGGCGGGGCAAGATGCCCCGCCTACGGTTTCTAGTGAAAATAATACAGATAGGAGTTACGCACTTCAGATTGTAGTTGCCCGATAAATCGGGTATTGAGATGAATCGCCGAACTACAGGTTCTCCCCCTTTTAAGGGGGAGTTAGAGGGGGTGCGATTCAACCCAGCGCAAGACTTTGAGCGTTCAACTACGTAACTCCTAAAATAATAAAGATTCTTCCTTGCGCCTTCGCGCCTTTGCGTTAAGACAGGTTTTACTGACCGAATCCCTAGACTGCGGAGATGTGCGACAGCTTGCTTCATATCTCCGGGCACCTGCATAATCCATGGTCCCTGAAAACCGGCGTCTATAAGGACCTGCCGGACGCCTGCGAAATCGACCGACCCTGTGCCAAGGGTGGGGAAATCCCATTCGTCAAAATTACCGCTGTGGTCCTTCAAATGGGTGCTCACAACATACTGCGCGATCCTTTTCAACTCTGTGACCGCATCAGTTCCGTCCGTATAAAAACTGATATTCCCCGTATCGTAGTTGATTCTAATGTTCGGATGGTCGGTCGCCTCCATCGTCTTCAACGCAGCCTCGGCATTATGCACGAGTGACGGGTGCGTTTCGAGCGCGACCGTGATGCCGCGTTGCGCCGCCGCATCGCCCATCGTTTTCAGCCAGTCGCAGACCCTTGGTCTCATATCCTCATCGGCTTTGATGCTGCTGAGTGCGAGATCCACGCCCATCTTGACCGCCGCATCAAAGGCGTTTATCCACGCTTGGCTCGCCGCCTCAGTGGCAACGGTATCCTCTTCGAGATACAACGCGGTCAGTCCAATAGCTTGCAGCCCTTTCGCTTTGAGGTCTGCCTGAAGTTCTTCAACCTTGTCGGGTTCAGGGGCACTCACCTGAACATATCGGATACCGTGCTCTAAAAGCTCTGCACCGCCCCCTATATTCCCCAATACGTTTGCCATACTGACTCCTTTCTGCGCGGATGAATCGCGCTTCCACTCTGTCCAACTTATACACTTTGTGTGTGTCTATTTACTATGTTACACTTTTAGAGGATAGATCGCAAGTCGTTTGTTAATTCGGTCTGATTTTTTTCGCCTTTTTTTTCTAATCGTGCTATAATGTCTGCTCGACCGACGCTTTATTCCCCCGTCAGGGGGGGAATAAAGGGGGGTGCAAAATGAGTGAGGAACCATTTGCGACATGCTTAACGATTCACAAATTGCGACATTCAAAGAAGAAGGCTACCTGATTATCGAGGACCTTTTCACCGAAGATGACCTATGCCCGGTTAAGGACGAGTTCAAAGCTGTCGTCGAAGCGCAGGCGCAGCAACTTTATCAAGCCGGGCAGGTGAGTGGTTTGTACGAAAATGAGTCATTTGAGCGACGATTGGCGAAGATTGCTGCTGAAGCACCTGAAGCAACTTCGGCACTACAAACCCGTGCCCATAAAGACGAGGCGTTGTTTCAGTTCATGAAACACCCCAAAATTCTTGACCGGGTTGAGTCGTTGGTGGGTCCCGATATCCTATGCCATCCCTCCTACAATATCCATCCACGCCTACCGGGAGGTTATACCAGTCCACATCAGGATGCGGGATATTATCTGCCCGATGGTGATGAAACGTTGATCTTGGCGTGCCTGATACCGCTCGTCGATACCACGCTTGAGAATGGGTGCCTATGGGTTGCTCCGCGCCGGCATAAGGAAGGTGTTTTGCCTCATGTCTGGGGTGAGAGCGGGCTGAATATCCCGCTCGAAGATGTCTCAGAGGCGGAGCGACAGTCACTCCCCACAAAGGCAGGCAGCATGGTGATGTTCAGCAATATGACCCCGCACGGTTCACGGGTCAATCATACGGATACCATCCGTTGGAGTATGGATCTACGCTACCAAGCGTTGGGGAAACCCACGGGACGTTGGTATGTCCCCGGTTTTGTCGCCCGGAGTCGCTCAAATCCTGAATTAGAGACCCCTAACTGCAAAGCATGGATTGCTGAAGTTGAACGCGTCGCGCAGAACGCAAACAGATACCCCGAATGGCCACGTTATCGTTGGCCCAATACGAAATAAACTTATTCAAAGGAATTTCTCTATGGTCCGAATCCCAATTACTATGTGTCACGGCATTAGGCATGATGGCAACTATCCATTGACCCCGGACCATCTCGACAGACTGGTGAAAATTGCTGCTGAACTGAACTTTGAGTCCATCAATTACAATCAGCTTTTTCAATGGTTTCGAGAAGGAGGGAAGTTACCGCCTCGACCGATCATGTTCGACTTTGATCACCCCGTGAAATCGATGCGCTATGAGATACATGATGTCCTGAGCAAATATGGCTATGCTGGAAATCTGTTTATCAATACCGGACCGGTGGATGACCTTTACGCCAAGCCTATGCCACCGGATCCCCTCCGTGAGATTATGACCTGGGACGAGATAGGACAACTCATAGAAAGCGGCTGGCATATCGGGGCGCACACGGTGACACATCCGAACCTGTCTGAACTCTCCCTAGAGGATGCGTCCGGCGAAAAATTACGCGCGGAGTTAGAGCAATGTGACGAAACATTGAAAAAGTATCTCGGAATTACGCCACAAGATTTCGCTTTTACAGGCACGAGTTGGAGCAGCATCGCAGAACGCGAAGTCTCAAAAAGATACCGGTTTGGCAGGCTCTGGATTGTGGGGACAGAATATCAGGTTGATGGCGAGACAATGAGATATGCCGATCTCGTTGGCATTGATGGTCCCGACGAAGAAGATGGAGGACCGCCAATGGCGGCGCGTTATATTACAAAGGATTCGCCCCCCTATCGTCTGCCGTCAATGGAAATTCAGAGACCACTGATTTATGACACTGATGCGTTTCGCCGCTATCTTGAAGGCGCACTAAGGACTTAGCGGAATTCCCGCACAATTCCTTATGTATCGGGGATTCATGATGGATTGCATAACTTAAACCTGAAAGGAAGTGGATAGATGGCATCAATCGATTTTTCATTGACCGACAAGGTCGTTCTCGTAACCGGTGCGGGAAAAGGCATCGGTAAAGAGATTGCACTATCTTGTGCGGGTGCAGGAGCGGATATCGTTGCGGGGAGTCGTACTGTCAGTGAGGTTGAACAGGTGGCTGAGGAGGTTCGCAAAACAGGTCAACGTGCGGAAGCGTGGCAGTTGGACGTTGCGGAGGTTTCAAGCATTGAGGCATTTGTGGGGAAAACACTTGATGCTTTTGGTAGAATTGATGTGTTAGTTAATAATGCCGGGGTCAACAAAGTCCAGCCCGCACTCAATGTCACTGAAGGACTTCGATTACATCGTAGACTGTAAACTTTAAGGGCACATTCTTCATGAGCCAGATGGCAGCAAAATCAATGATTGAGTGTGGTATTCAGGGGCGCATCATCAACATCAGCTCACAGGTTGGCGTTGTGGGTGGACCGCTTCGAGCACCCTACAGCGGCGCGAAGGGTGCCGTTTGCCTGCTCACCAAATCGTTAGCCGCGGAATGGGCAACCGCACGGCATCACGGTCATTCAGTCGCACCAACCGTCACCCGTACGCCGCTTTCGGAATAGCGATGCAAAACCCTGAATTTCACAAAATGGTAACCGAAAATGTTCTGATGGGAGGATCGCAGAACCGGAAGAAATAGCGGCGGCGGTTATCTACCCTCGCAAGCGGCGTAGCTGGTATGGTCACGGACACACAGCTCCTCGTCGATGCGGATGGACTGCGGTCTAACTGCCGAATTGGCAAATCGGGATCAGGGTATCGGAACAGGAGGGATAGGCGCAATGGCACAACTGACTTCAAACGGCATACCGCTAGATATGGCACCGGATGCATTCGGTGAACTACGTGAATCAAATGATTTGCTCAATGATATGTCCGCTTTGAGGGAACGTATGGCGGAGGACGGCTATCTTTTAATCCGCGATTATTTGGATCTGGAGTGGGTCATGGACGCCCGGCGATCCGTGCTCGAGGTGTTAGCGGAACATGAGATGATCGACGAAAACCACTCCCTCATGGAGGCACGGGCGGCAAGGAGTGATAACGGCAAATTTCGCTCGGCAATCGGCAGCCATGCGGCGTTGGGGAAGTTACCCGCTGTGCGGAAGTTGGTGCATTCCGGCCGGATGATCGATTTCTACGCTGCATTCCTCGGCGGTGAGGTCAGATCATTTGATTTTGTCTGGATGCGTGTGATGGGTCCCGGCAGATCCAGTGCACCGCATTACGACATCGTGTACATGGGCAGAGGCACCACGAACCTATACACCTCCTGGACACCACTGGGGGACGCTCCTTTGAGCGATGCTGCACTGATGGTGCTTGAAAACTCCCACCGTCTGGAACAGGTCAAAACGACTTACGGGCAGATGGACGTAGACAAAAAAAGCAACTGGAAAAAAACAGGAGGGAGTTACGGCAAAGACCCCGCAGCGATTCAGAAGGAGCTTGGGTGTCGCTGGCTCACAACAGACTTCCGCGCCGGCGATCTGCTGGTGTTCAGTATGTATACAATGCACTGCTCGCTTGACAATCGTTCGGATCGGATTCGGCTATCTTCCGATACGCGCTACCAATTGGCATCGGAGCCGGTGGATGAGCGTTGGATCGGCGAAAATCCGATCGCCCATTCAGTGCGGGAAGAGGAGTGAGATGTCCAAAATGTTACTATATACAACCGTCAACAACTTTATAAACCAAACAGGAGATTATCATGATTATACGAAACTGGCGTGACTCAATTCCTTACGTCGGGCACGAGAGCAAAATTATTTGGCCCGTACTGACGCGCGCAGGGAACGAAAACGCTGATCCACCCGAAGTCGCGTGTCTGCTGGGACTGAGCAACTTCACGCGCCATGTCGTTCAAGGGCGTATCACAACGGATTACCACGACCATCAAGACAAAGAACAGGTCTACTACTTCATCAAAGGGCGTGGCAAAATGTTGATTGATGGTCAGGAATACCCGGTGACAGCGGGTGATGCCGTGCATCTCCCCCCCAAGACAAAGCATGGGGTCATCAACGATGGCGAAGATGAGATTGAGTACCTGAACATCAGTGCGCCTGTTGAGCAGTAGCTCGGCAACGCAATCTTTCTCTATATTACCGTTAAGGAGTTCTCATGATTAAACTCGGTATGTACGGCTCGTATTTCGGTAAGGACGATCCAAAAACACTTCCTTATGTTGAAGATGTGATCGATTTTGCCTACGAGTTGAAACTAGACGTCGTCGATTTCCGCGCAGACGTGGGCTTTCGCTCGCAGGACCCCGATTATCTGCGCGCCATCAAGATCAAGTGCCTCAAAGCCGGACTCCCCATCGGCTACCTAGCGACCGGCGGGCATTTTGTGGGCACGGAAGATGAATTACAGCAGAAAATGGTTCGGTGCAAAACAGACTTAGACACGGCGGTTTTCCTAGGCACACCGATGGTCAGATCATTCTGTGGCCCCACGCCGGAGACCGACGAAGGGAAAGCGCGCGAAGTCGCGTGTTTCCAAGAACTTTGTGATGCCGCCGCTGAAAAGGGCATCATCGTCGGGGTACAGAACCATCCGTGTACCGGTGAGGGCGTCCTGAGTCTCCTGCGTGAGACAGACCGTGAAAACTTCACCTTTATTCTGGATACCGGTCAGTGGGTGGGATCTCCTTCGCGGACCCAAGGCGTCCCCGATCCGGACATCGATACCTACGAATTTATGGAACAGACCGCTCCCTACGCCGGGTATGTCCGCGCTAAAGTTTATAAAGTGGACAGCGGGCGTGAGGAGTGGCTAGATTATGAGCGCATCGTTGAAATTCTGAAAGCAGCGAATTTTAACGGCTGCATGTCCATCACATTTGAAGGCAAGGACGCCAACGAATGCGATGATAAGGAAACCTTCAGGCGAGCGGCTAAGTATCTGCGCGAACTGCTTGCCGCATAGTCCTTTTTGGTGTAAGCGATTCTGGCAACATACGGAATCAAAACACAATACATAATCAAGGAGATTATAATGAGCGAAAATATTTACTCAAGGCTGGGGGCAACCCCAATTATCAACGCTGCGGGCAACTCTACCGCTATGGGCGGCTCAACCCCTACTCCGATAGTCAAGCAGGCAATGGAAGAAGCGGAAGAGCACTTCGTGGACATGGAGGAACTACTCGAAAAGTCCGGAGACCACATCGCTTCTCTAGTGGGTGCGGAAGCTGCTTATGTAACGGCTGGCTGTTACGCTGCTATGGTGCTCTCCACCGCCGCGTGTATGACCGGCAACGACCAAGCAAAAATGGATCAGCTCCCAGACACCACCGGCATGAAGGATGAAGTCATCATCCAAGCGAAGCAACGATACGGCTTTGACCGGGCTTACACCATACCGGGGAGCAAGCTAGTGATGGCGGGCGATGAAAACGGATGTACGGCAGAGCAGTTGGAAGCCGCAATCGGTCCCCAGACCGCGGCGGTTATCCACTTTATCAGTCCTGATCCGGACGTCACCGTTGTCTCACTCGAAGATACGGTCAGAATTGCACACGCGCATAACGTGCTTGTCATCGCTGACGCCGCTTCACAAATTTTCCCGATCGACTACTTTCAGGACACCGCCACATCGGCTGACTTGGTCTGCTTCGGTGGCAAATATGTCCACGGTCCCCATTCGGCTGGGTTTGTGGCTGGAAAGAAGGACCTAATCCAAGCAGTAGCAGCCCACGGTTTTATTGGACCCCGCCCCTTGGGACGAGGGATGAAAATAGACCGGCAGGAAATCATCGGGCTTACGGTCGCTCTCGACCAATGGTTCACTATGGACCATGAGGAACGTTTCGACGAATACCGTAAAAAGTTCGCCGTCATTGAGCGAGCAATTGAAGGGGCTCCCGGCGTGGAAGAGACGAAAGAAGCCACTACGCCGAGATATTGGGGGGTTGAACTCCACGTCGTCGTTAATGCAGCGGAGGCAGCACGGAGTGCCCGCGAACTCATCGAGGCCCTTGATGCCGGTGACCCCTGCATCAAAGTTGGCGGCGAAGGCGAAGATACCGTGGTCGTCAGGGTGGACAATCTAGAGGAAGGCGATGAGCACACCATCGCCCAGCGGTTGAGAGCCCTGCTCGCCGGTTAAATTCGACACGGATAGCGCAGATTAACGGATGAAGGTGTAGGGAACAACGATCGTTGTTCCCTATGAAACTCCCGCCTCTGTGTTATCTGTTTCACATTTTCCCGCCAATAGGCTATTGGCAAGCAATGAACAAACAATTTCCAACAGCAGCATGTGACCAAATTGCGGCAGATTTTCGCGGACGTATCGGCTTCTACATTGAAGATTTGACCACCGGCATCACGCACGAATACAACGCAGATCAACGCTTTCCTACCGCGAGCGTCTGCAAAGTTCCGGTGATGATTGAGTTGTTCCATCAGGCTGAGACAGGTAACCTCTCCCTTGATGACCGCCATCGGCTACACGGGGATATTTCTACCCACGGTTCAGGAATGCTCAAACTGATGGAAGATGAACCGGAACTGACGCTACGCGACTATTGTCGGTTGATGATCAGCATCAGTGATAATATTGGCGACCGATTTTCTCTTAGGGGTGGTTGGGTTGGAATCCGTCAACGCCACGTTGGACGCGATGGGCTTCCCCAACACCCGAACCAGTGTAACCCTAGGTCGCTATCACTATCGGATGTTCGGTATGGATGACGTCCCGTGCAATCGAGAAAATGATGTGTTGCAGCATAAACGGGCAGAGACGCATGGTGCTGATTTCAACAGCGTGTCCTTTCAGCATTCTTTGGAAAACAATGTCGCCACCCCAAGGGGACATGGGAAGCATCCTGAAGCAACTCCACGCCGGTCAGATCGTCAGTCCGCAGGCATCCGCAGCGATGATTGAGATGCTCAAACTTTGCAATGATCGTCGCATGATTCCCCGCGACTTAAAACCTGACATCCCAATCGCACATAAGATTGGATCGAGTGGGCGCATCAAAGGGGATGTTGGCCTTATCTTCCTCCCAACGGGCCCCCTTGTTGTCTCCGCGTTCGCACTTGCCAGCGGTGATGGTGTCCGTGGGGATGAGGCGATTGCGGAGATCGCCCGGTTAGCGGTGGAAGTTTTTTCACCCAAAAGTATTGTTTAATAATTCTTTACACTTTACGGTTTCGTTGTCCCGATGCTTAATCGGGAACAATATTTTATCAAAATCTAAATTTCCTATGGAGGAAACAAAATGGCAGAGATACATAGTTCTTGGCAACGCGATTTCGATGTATACGACAGACTCAACGCACTCGGTATTGACCTAGGAACAAAAGCCGATGCAGTTTCCGATCCCCGCGGTCGGCGTATCTGTAACCTCACCTTTACCCCGTCCGGTCTAGTCTTCGCTTCGGGAACAGGTGCCGGCACAGGACCGGTGACCAACGACGATAAAGATGTGGAAGACGGTTACCAAGCGGGTCGAGAGGCGGGCATCAGTCACATTCTTTCCCTGCACTGGGGATTGGAACCTTTTGGGAACTTGAACGATGTCTGGTACTGCGTCAAGTGTATCGGGATGGTCAACTCACACGGCGGAGGGTCTTTCTCAAAATCGCCCCAAGTTGTGGATGGCTACACAAAGGCGTTTCACGATGTCTTTGGCGGACCGCTATCCGAATCGGCTGAGGACGGTATGGACTCATCGCTATCGGGTTGGCACACGCGAAGTGCCGTTGCAGGCTTTGATCTACCGGGACACTGCAAGATTGAACCTGAGATGATTTTCCAGATCGATCCAGATTTGGCAATCCGAATCATCCGAGAACGCGGTCCACACATTTAAGTTTTGATTCATGTTAAGAAATCGTGCAACAGAAACCGAGTTTTTTCGGAAAAACTCGGTTTCTCTCCGTGCTTTGCACTTTCTTTTTACATAAACCTTTCGATTTAGTTTGGAGACATTATGTCTGTTCGTTTCGCTTTTTTGACCGACAGCCACTATTACCCCGGTGCACCGAAGGATTACGGCGCACCGAAAATGCTGACGCAGAGCAAGACAGTCCTCGACGCAATCGTGCCAGCGGTCAATCCGATCAAACCTGAATTCATCGTCCACGGCGGTGACTTCCTCTGTGGCGGTAGTTCGTTCGATCTGCCATGGACGACCTACCTGCAATCGATTGAGGATGTTGCGACAACTTTTGCCGACTTTGAGGCACCGATGTACTGTATCCCCGGCAATCACGACTCCGACGCACAACAGGGGTCTTTTGAAGCGTTTGCGGAAAGATTCGACATCCCTGAAACACTCACGGTCGTTGACGCTGCCCCACGCCTTCGCCTCGCGCTCGCTAACATCTATCACCAATGCGACCCAATCGAAGATGGCAGCGGTGTTTGGACCGATACCCTCGACAATGCCCTCCGTGAGGAAGCAGAAAAAGCCTATGAAGAAGGGCACGCGATGTTGTTGTTTCTCCATGCATGGGCACTCCCAAGCCATGAAGAGGGAAAGGGAACCCTCGACGGTGCAGATCGGTTGTTGAAAACCGTGAAGGAGAGTCCCGCCATCGTCGCGCTTTTCACGGGGCATCGGCATACCAACCGTATTCGGATGTATCGTGATTTCCTCACTGTTGACACCGCATGTCTGATCGGTTTCCCAATGGGGTTTCGGGAGGTTCAACTTCGGGACAACGGATATTTCGAGACGCGATTTCATCAACTCCCGCTACCAGCACTTATCCAAGAATCGTACGATAAATCCAGTGCTGAGACGAATAACGGCTGGAATGGCGAAATCCATGACCGGAATACGGAAATCCTCTTGCCGAGACTCAGAGAGATTTGGCGTTAGAAAAGGAGAAGCAGATGAGAATCCTCGTCACCGGTGCCGCCGGGGCTGTTGGTACGGCGGTCGTGAAAGGGATGAAAGACCGATATTCGCTGCGCGGGTTTGACCACGTACCGATGCCGGATATTGAAGATGCAATTGTCGGAGATGTCACTGACTTCAACACCGTGCTAAAAGCCACTCAGGACATGGAAGCTGTGATTCACCTCGCAGGCAATCCCTCCGGAGGCGCGCCGTGGGAAGACATCCTCCAGAATAACATTATCGGCACCTACAATGTCTTTGAAGCCGCACGGCAAAACGGTGTCCGTCGCATCGCCTTTGCCAGTCGTGCTGGACTGCTCGCGCCCTATCCAAAAGACATCATGCGGACGGTTGATATGACCCCTCGACCGGAGACCTACTACTCAATCAGCAAGGTCTTCGGAGAGAGTCTGGGGTATATGTACTCAGCCCGGTTTGACATGGAATTTGTTGCAGTTCGGATTGGCAATTTCAAGCGAGATCGCGACCTCCCTACACACCCCATCAACTGAGCCACGGCGACGCCGCTCGCGTGTTCGAGCAGGCGGTCACACAGCCGGGGGTGAAGTTCGAGGTTGTGTTCGGCGTTTCAGACAGCACATGGGCACTCTACGATCTGGAACACGGGCGGAAGGTAATCGACTATCACCCACAGGATAAGTCGGACGCAGAACCGGAGGTCTGAGAGTTCGTAGGGAACAACAATCGTTGTTCCCTACATCAAAGCATCGGATACAAAGGGATATGTTGTGAGCACAAAAAAGCGGTCCCCTGCATCACATGGGGAGACCGCTTTTTTCATTGGGACAACGATGCCCCGCTACTGTGTCGAGGACTCAGCGTCACTTGGCACCTCACGGGCGGACGGCGGACGACGTTCCCGCTCAAATCGACGAGCAGCTTCGGGGTCAGACTCCCTCAGACGACGAAGCCCCTCCTCTGTGCCGTACTCGTCAATCAACTGTTGTGCCTTTGAAAAACGCTCGGGCGACAACTGCTCCTTGAGTTGCGTTTCAATGCTTTCGGTTGTTGGCAGCTCAGGCGTCAACTGCTTTTCGAGGTCTGCCACGCTTTGAGGAAGATTAGGCTTATCAAACTCATAAGATTCTGTATCGGAAGATGGTAAGTCATCAGGAAACGAGTTATCGAAATCATCGGCTAATGAGGATTGCTCGCTTACTGAGTCTCCAACCGTGTCTATCTCACCGCTTGATCCCCCTTCAGTTTCACCACCACTTAGAGCCTCCATATCCTGAATCAGTTGCCTTTTTTCGTTTTCGTCGAGGTAGATGATCTCAGACTCAGGAGGAGGCCCCCAAGGCAGCACCTTAGAACGGGCTTCCAGCGGTCGACTGTCCTCGCGCCTTAAAAAGAGGGGATCGGCAAAGAGGGGGTCGTATTGTGCTTCTATAGGCGAACTTGGAATCATACCCGCTTCGATGAGCCTACCTACATCTTCAAGGGAGATATCATACATTGTACTCAACCTAATTTTATCAATGTAGGAATCCGAAGTTTCCCCTTCTGGAACATCATACGTCACCCCATCTACGGTAACCTGCAGCATAGTCGGCCACGCCTCGGGAGGAGGTACAGCTTGCCCAGGTTTAAGTTTTTCAATCCAGTACATCTTACGTACCTGCCCGTCAGGGGTTTCAACGAGCTGCGGGATCAAATCCTTTTTATAAACCATTCTAGGAGTAGAAGCAGTTTTGACTCCCTCATCATCGGGCCTCCCTGTCTCTGCGTACCTGACCTTTACAGGCTTACTATGGCTTGACCAATACATTTCCCATTGACGTTTATCATACGTTGACCAATGTGGTTCCCTTGATGCTGTGCTACCATTAGTTACACCGTCTGGATTATCACGGGTATCTTGAGATCCCTCAGTGTCCAAAAATATCTTCTGAAACTCAAGATGGCCGCTCATAAAATCCCTAAATTCAACATGATTATTGTAAAAATAGTATCCTAAGGCAAATAGAAAAAGCAAAAACAATGCAACAGCACAACGTATAAAATGGTGATTAAACATGATAATCTCCTAAGAAACGAATAAAGTGTTTGTCCATTAGGGCATATTCAAAACCATAAGAACAATTGTCGTCATCACAATAGGAGTCCCAATAAACAGAAGTTTCAGGGGTAGTGACGGTACTATGGTACGTCCACTCTGAATACCCAGTTGTCTCCCAAGTATTGTTGTTCGCATTGTAAGTCTGATATATCCATCTTTTTTCTCTATGACCAACGTGTTTGTAACTATAACCGTATATCGTACCACTACAAGTACCATTATAATTAGGGCAAGATTTAGTGTGTGAATACACAATCGTGTATTGATATACGGTTTGAAAGTCCGGGACCTTACGTTTATCGCCGTGTTTGGCGTTGTGTTGAGAATAGACGTTCGTAGAAACAACTCCAACTACCAAGAAACCGACAATTAAAACCATCGCCTTCAAATGGCGTAAACTTAACATAGTTAAACCTCCTATGAGTTGTTAGGAATATCTTGATATTCCGTTAGGCAATCCGCTTCAGAAACAAGCAAGACATCCTCACCAACTAGCACCAAAAGTTGATAAGATTGCTGCTTGTGGCATTCAGTATAGGCAATTACTATGCCAAAAGAGCCAATAGTGCCTCGGAGTCAGTCAGTGTAAGGCTTTGAGCCAAAAAGCCATCACAGCAATTAGACCGATTATTAGTAACTATTGCTAGCAAATGTTACTAACATTAGTAACTATTACTAACTCTAGCACCACTGGTTCATAACTGAAATTATGCGGTGTCAACTCATAGGAGAACCGAGTTTTTGCCAACCGGTCAGTAGCATTTTTGTCCGTCCTGCTCCTTAAAAAATCGGCTTCTGCCCCTGAGCAGTAACTCGGCGTGTATAGTATACCCAATTCACTCTCCCTTTACAAAAAAATAACGGAAAATGACACCTTCGACATTGCAATCACACCACGATATGATATACTATATTTTAATGCGTAGAGATTGTATGTACTCCTCATCCTAAAGGAAATTGGTTAATATGGACGTTCTTATCATCGGTGGCACACGATACATGGGTCGGATTGTTGTGCAGAGACTGCTTGAACGCGGGGACAGGGTCACCATCTTTTCCAGAGGGAGCACCCAACCCGAATGGTGGGAGCAGATCGAACATATTCAGGGAGACCGTGAAGACCGCTCAGATTTCGCCGCAAAACTGAAGGGGAAATCTTTTGATGCGGTCGTTGATACACAGGCTTATTGTAAGGAAGATGTCGAATCTGCGGTGGGGGCATTCGATGGCAACGTCGGTCGCTATGTCATAGTCAGCACCCGGGTCAGTATATTTGGAAGGCGCAGTGGACTTTTCCAAGCACTGCACATTCCAAGAGTCGGTCGTGGATTGGTCGTCAATTGGTTATACCTATCCCGCAGGAGAAGATCCCTACGGCGTCGGCAAGCGACACTGCGAAAAGTGGCTCCAAGAAAACAGCAGCATTCCGTACACAATTATCCGTATCCCGGCGGTCATGGGCTGGGACGATCCGACCGGACGGATGTGGTGGTGGGTCCAACGGGCATTGGACGGACGTGGCGCAGTTATTTCGCTAGAAGATCGTGGCTTATTCCGCACCCTATATTCTGCTGATGCTGCGGGGGCTTTCGTTCGTGTCCTTGGTGTGCCGGAGACTGCCAACCAAACGTATCATATCGCCATGCAGGAAATAATGACCATCGAGCGTTGGGGGGATCTGATTTGGGGTGCAGCGGGTCACGAATGCCAGATTACCTACGTTCCCCGCGAAATTATCCACAAGCAGCCTCACCTGAACGCCTACGCCCCGCCGATGAGCCGATCTGTTTCATACCTCTACAATCTGTCCAAAGCCGAGCGTGAATTCGGTTTCAGCACTACACCTGTAGAAGAATGGATTCAGACAACTGTAGACTGGTATCGAGAACAATACAAAGGCGATAATTCAGAGGGCTATGAATATCGGGAAGACGAGCTAAGGTTGGCAGCAAGATGGAAGGAACAATTTGGTCAATTCATCTCAGAGTTTTAAATTGCTTCTCGCAATTCTGAAAATCCTTGAATCCCCGATAAGATCGGGATGCAAGCACCTGTAAATCCTGATTCAGACAATTATCCTGATTTGGCTTTGGGAGACAGCAAAATGTCAAACGCCGATGCAAAAAAAGCACTATTCCACCGCGATTTGAGTTACGATTATCCCCTAATAGTGCGTGGGGAAGGGATCTACCTCTACGATGAAACGGGTAAACGCTACATTGACGGTGCCGCGGGTGCAAGTAATGTCACCTTGGGGCATGGCCGTCAGCGTATCGCGGACGCGATGGCAGAACAAGCCAAGACGCTCGCCTACTGCTTCGCCACCCATTTTACGACCCAGCCGGCACTAGACTTAGCCGGTCGGGTTTCTGCGATTGCCCCCGGCGACCTGAACCACGCCTACTTCGTTTCGGGCGGTTCGGAGGGGATTGAAACCGCGATCAAGATTGCTCGGCAGTACCATGTGCAGCGTGGGAACGGGCAGAAGCACCAAGTCATCGCCCGCTGGCGCGGCTACCACGGTGCGACACTCGGCGCATTGGGCGTCACAGGTATACCGGGGATGCGCGACCTTTTCGCGCCCTTGCTTCCCAATTTCCCGCACATCGCGCCTTGCTATCCATATCGCTGCGTGTTTGCGGGTTGTGAAGGGAAATGCAACCTGACCTGTGCCTATGAACTGGAGCAGATGATCTTGCAGACCGGTCCGGATAACGTGGCGGCATTTGTGGCGGAACCGTTGGTGCTCGGAGGGGTTGCTGCGGCGATACCGCCCAAGGATTACTATCCGCTCGTCCGTGAAATCTGCGATAAGTACGACGTCCTATTTATTGCAGATGAAATCATCACCGGCTTCGGGCGCAGCGGACGATATTTTGCCATTGAGCACTGGGACGTTATCCCAGATATGATTGTCTTTGGAAAGGCAGCCAGCAGCGGCTACGCTCCTTTGAGTGGTGTGATTATTCGGGATAGTATTCGTGATACTTTTGCAGCGGGCGGCACACCCTTCGCTCACGTCTTCACTTACGTCAATAATCCCATAGCAATGCGGGTTGGACTGGAGGTGTTAGACATCATCGAAGAGGAAGGGATTCTTGAGCATACGGCGCAGATGGGCGCGTATCTGCTGGAAAAGGCAAGCGCGTTAGACGCCCACCCAAGCGTCGGCGAGATTCGAGGGCTTGGACTGATCCTCGGCATCGAACTGGTACGCGACAAAGATACGAAGGAACCTTTCCCCGCATCACTTGGCTTTCACAAACGCCTCAACAAGATTTTACTGGACAAGGGCTTGTCCGTGGGAAGTGGCGGCGGTACAGCAGATTGGGTGAACGGCGACGACCTGCGTTTCTATCCTCCGCTCATCATCACGCGCAGCCAAATTGACAATGTAATCGCCACCATTGACGAGGGTTTGACCCAATTGGAAGCCGAACTAGGTCACGAAGGCACAAACTAAGAAAAATAGAACGCAAGGACGCAAGTCCCGACTTGTCGAGGATCCTCGTTGTTGTTTGGATCGGAACGATCCGTCAACATCAGGAGGTGCAAAGACGCCAAGAAGAAATATTAAAAAGTCTTTCCTTTGCGACTCTGCGACTTTGCGTTAAATTTCCTCTGCGTCTTTACCCGAATAGCGGGTTGGTCGTGCCGAATGCGTCTACTGCTGTCCCCGTAACCGCCGAACTCATGTCCGAGGCTAGGAAAACCGCGAGTGCCGCAATCTCTTCAGGCAGCATCAGCTTCGGATTCTCTTCCCTGCCCTCGCTCCCGAATGCCTCACGGAAACCCTCCGTGTCAACCCCGCCGGGGCAGATGCAGTTGACATCAATGCCGTGCTGCTTGACTTCGGCTGCGACGCTTTCCGTCAGGCTAATCAACGCAGCTTTCGTCACTCGATACGCAGTACGCCCTTTGCCCCCTTTGCGTCCACCAATGCTTGAGATATTGATGATCTTGCCGTATCGGTTCTCGATCATGCTCGGTAGGGCGAACTTTGTGAGCAACGCAGCGGCGGTTAGGTTCACATCCATGACCCGCCGCCACAGATCGGCGTCCAAGTCCACCAGGTCTATAGGCGGGTGGATGATGGCGGCGTTGTTGACCAATATATCAACCCCTCCAAATTTCGTGGTCGTTTCATCTGCGATGCGTTGGATGTCTCGCTCAACGCTCAGATCTGCCGTCACCGCCAATCCCGCCGCCCCCGCTTCCTCGACCTGAGCAACCACCGCTTCAATAGCCGCTGTCGTGCGGGCGGTAGCGACGACGTTAGCACCTTCCCGACCGAATGCTAGTGCAATCGCTCTCCCGATCCCTTGGCTCGCACCGGTGACAATGGCAGTCCTATTCTCAAGTTGTCCCATCAATCTCTCCTTTCAAACCTACTGTCGCGCAGTCAGATCGTCCCCTAAGTCATAGGTGTCGAACTGCCCTCGACTCCATGCAGACAGCCATCACAAGTATCTCCAAGTCCTCCTGCGTGTGGTTATAAATACCGTGCGACCCACCCAGCCGGTTCGGGATGGCATCGCCCACATGTACCTCCTCCGTTTCGTTATCCACCGTCATTCGACCGCTGCCCGCCATGATGATATAGGTCTCCTCTATCACATCGTGGCGGTGATAGCCGACCGATGCGCCGGGTGGAACCACGCAGTGAGCAACGAATCCCCAATTTGTTCGGAAATCCTGATGCCCCCAAACCTGCCTCACGCCTACCTTCCCTTTGCCTTCGTGGACATTTGGGATAAACGTCAACAAATTGCGGTCAAGCCGCCCAACGGGAAGTCTATCAACCGCCTCCAACGGCGCACCGACACGGTCTTCCCCAAAGTCTGTGCAATCATATCCGCCCCCCGTATTTGCGACACAGAAATTCATAAACCGTGTCTCTTTGTCCGTATGATTGTAGATTGCGTGCGATTCCCCCTTTCGGCAAGGCACCGTCGCACCCCCAACCACCTCCGCTGTTCGACCGTTGTGGGTAAACTGCGCGGCGTTGTCCAGAATCGTGAACATCTCCTCGCACTCATCATGGCGGTGATAACCAATCCCCCCGCCGGGCGGCAGAATCGCAAAATGGACAAAGAACCATGGCGTCTGAAAATCGCCCTCGCCCCAGAGACTCTTAATCAAAAGATGACCCGCTCCACCATGGACACCTTCTGACACACCCAATTCATCCCGACCCACATGAGCAATACGCATGGCTATCTCTCCCTCCCTTGTACTATACCTAAGTTGTTATTAATCAACCCCGCTCGGCTCCGACTTCGCCGAGAGTCCAAGACTTGGATAGACATATCCAAGCCATACCGTATATGTGCAGTGGATTTGGCAATCCACTGCGAGCGGTGATTGACTCAATCAAAGTCAACCGAACGGTATCTTACCACGTTTGGAACCGCAACTCAATAAAATTTGTGCGTGTGGATGAGACAGTATGAAACCGCTTGTAATGCGGGTGTCAGGCGACAGGACTGTCAATTTGCTTTTGGACTTGACGGAGTGAACCTTCTGTGCTAAACTCGGCATTAACACGAAAATTTATTATTGAAAATCTGTTTTCTAGATACGGAGCGTTTGCCATGATGAAAATCGGTGCCATGTCTTTGAATGTCAGGAACACAACCGCCACCGCCTTTGCACAAATTGTCTATGACTTGGGATATGACATGATCGAGTTGCATTCGAGCGCGTTTGAATCTACCGACATTGATTATCTGCGAACAGTCAAAAAAGACCTGATGAAGAAGGGGTTGCCACTCGGATATATCGGAATCAGCAACGATTTTGGATGTCCAGTTGAGGAACATCCGGAGCAGATCGCGTTAATTAAGAAGTGGATCGATGTCGCAGATTTCATGAGTTGTCCATTGGTTCGCGTCTTCGCCGCATACCTCCGGGAAGAGCACGAAGATGAGGAGGAACTCTGGCCACCGATGATTGCCGGGTTCAAGGAAGTTGCGGCGTATGGCTACGAAAAAGGGATCCTCGTCGGTCTACAGAATCATAATCACAACAATGTCACCCGTACCGGCACGGATCTGCTTCGCGCGCTTCGTGAAACGGATCACCCCTACTTCACACATATCGTCGATACCGGACAGTACGCGGGTTCGCCCGGCGCGAGTGGTCACCGGGGGTCGGCTCACCCGAATTACGACTGCTACGATAGCATCGCACAGACAGCCCCTTATGCCGTGTACGCTCGCACGAAGTTTTATCAGATAGACAGTGGCGTGGAGGAGTGGCTTGACTATCCACGCATCCTTGATATTCTACGCGGAATCGGTTATAACGGCTGCCTGTCGGTGGTTTACGAGGGTGAGTCCGATCGGGTGGAATCGATGCGGAAAGCTTTGAACTATCTTCGATCAATTATGTGAAATGTCAAATGAATCAGATTGTTGACCTGACAATGCCAATCGAGAACCACTTTCGGTGGGCGGTAGACCGGGAACTCAAAGAGGACTTCAACACAGGCAGTGCTTTCCAAGTGACTTGGGTGGGCTGGGCGGTTCATGGATTTACGCATATTGACGCGCCGAGGCATATCGACCCCAACGGTCAGACAACGAGCGATATTCCGCTCAACCAGATTGTAGGCAGAGCGGCAATTGTCGATCTTACCGGCATCGAACCCAATTCAGCGATTACTGAAATTCAAGTCCGTGATGCCGGTGAGCACATCAATCCGGGCGACATCGTCGTGCTGAAGACCTGTTGGGACGAGGTCGCCTCGCCAAAGACGCCGGAATTCTGGACGACCGCGCCTTACATGACCCGACCGGCGTGCGAGTGGCTCTTATCCCGTCAGATTAAAGCGGTTGGTTACGATTTTCCGCAGGATTATCCGATCCGCAAGCTGCTTGACAAAGAGGTCGCACCGATTTCTGACTTTGTAACACACGATGTGTTACTTCGCAACGGCGTGATTATGATTGAATACCTCTGTAACCTACGCCAATTGACGACCTCCTACACCCAACTCTACGCGCTCCCGTTGAAGATTCTGGAATCGGACGGTGCGCCCGCCCGTGTGATTGCCTTTCAACCTGAGGCGTAAAAGAGCACCACAACTATCGGTGAGTGCGCTTGCTTACCTTGAAATATTCACAGGGGTACGCTGGGAATGCAGAATATGGAATCACATTCACACTATTTCAATCGTCAAGACTTCGCGCCGTGTGAACACCTTGCATTTTCGTCCCGAAGGTGCACTCGTCGGGGACGCATCTTTCTTCTGTCGGGAAGGCGAGTGCCACCTTTTCTATTTGAGCAAAAGAAACGACGACCCGCCCAGACTTCCTCGTTGTGAGCTTGACCACGCCGTGAGCACGGATCTTCTCCATTGGGAACTTCTGCCGCCGGCGCTGCTGCCGGGGCAGCCGGGAGAGCCAGATGATGACGGAATCGGTGGTGCGACGATAGTGCATTCCGAGGGACAGTACCAAATGTTCTACGCCGGCACGAACCCCCAAGTGATCTATCATGCCCGCAGCGATGACCTAATCAAGTGGGAGAAAGACTCTCCCCTGCGACCGATAATCGTTCCGGATCCGCGCTGGTACGTTCCCCACAATGCCCCTGTAGAAGACCCCTACCTGCTTACGGCGTGGCGAGATCCGTTTCTGTTCTACGATGATGCAGGCGAGCAGTATGTGATGGTCACCACCGCCCGGCTCAACCATGGACCGTTGTTGGAACGGGGCTGTGTGGCTTGGACTGTTAGCAAAGACCTGAAAAACTGGGAGGTGAAACCACCCCTTTACAGTCCTTTTATCGGGGCAGCCCTTGAGGTTATAGAGATTCTTAAAATGGAAGGGCGTTACTATCTGATCTTCTGTCATGGAGAGACGAACACCACGCGCTACCGGGTCGCAGAAAGGCTGGAAGGTCCCTATCTCTGTCCTGAGGACGACGTCCTCTTGCCGAACTATATGTATGCACCTCGAACCGCTATGATGGGTGGTGATCATTACCTTGTGCCTTGGGCCGCCGACCGTATCGGCGGTAACGATGATTACCAACCCGAATGGGGTGGAGAGGGATACGCTTGGGGTGGAGTGCTAGGAACTCCTCAGCACATTCGGGCCCTGCCGGATGGAGGAATCGGTCTGTTTTATCCAAACATCGTTGACCGTTTGGCAGGTCAGGCATTGCTAGGTCCGAGTTCATTGGAGCAGGTACGCTCGGAACGGGGAGAGTGGAAAGGGGGGTCAGGGAGACTCTCCGCCGCCTCTTCTCAGGGGTTGGCACGAGGGATGCTTTCTGCAGGCGGAAAAGATTTTATTCTCTCCTGCGAGATAACGATGAAACGAGGTGCGGCGGCGGGCTTGATTCTTCGCGGGAGCGAAACCGGCGAAGCGGGTTACTTCTGCGTTTAGAGCCTAGAGACGGTGTCATCTCGTTGTGGCGATACCCCAGACCATGGGTGGTCTCCCGCCCGATGGCGATGAAGATTACGACCGATGTTGACTATAATCGCCCCTTGGCGTTAAAAGTCCTGCTCCACAGACACATTTTAGACGTCTACCTAAACGACAGGCTAGTAATCTCGCGTGCTGTTCACGACTATAGAGGAAGGGACGTTTCGGGGTTTTCGTCGAGGATGCCGAGAGCGAATTTACCGCGCTCAAAGCGAATGAGCTAAAGGAATGAGTTTGTCGGACAGTCTTTCGTTTTCTCGCATCTCATGACAAGGAGTAGAGATTCAATGAAAATTACTGACATTAAACCGATCCCAGTGCAGGTCGGACACAGAAATCAACTGGTGGTTAAAGTCGAAACAGACGAAGGGATTTACGGTTGGGGAGAATCCGGGGTATCGGGGCGTGAACTGGCCGTCGTTGGTGCGATTCAGCATTATCGCGAATTCCTCATTGGCCGCGATCCCATGCGCATTGGTGGACTCTGGCAGGAGATGTATCGGAGCCAGTATTTTGAGGGCGGGCGTATCTTGACCGCCGCTATCGCCGCTATTGACATCGCACTTTACGATATCGCGGGCAAGGCACTCGGTGTACCGGTCTACCAATTGCTCGGCGGGAAACAGCGGGATTTTGTCCCCTGTTTTGCCAGCACCTTTGCCGAATCGCTTGAGAAGTTGATTGAGGATACCAATTTGCTAATCGAAAAAGGTTGGAATGTCATCCGCACGGCACCAGTCCAAAACGGTGATCCAACGATTTTTGAGCCACGGGAGTCAATTGCCATAACCGCCAGCCAGCTGACTCAACTTCGGGAAGCGGTCGGTCCTGCGCCCGTCCTAGGTATCGATTACCACCATCGTTTGAGTGTCGCGGAAGCGGCATCTTTTTGCCAACGTATGCCCAGCGGCACCCTCGACTTTCTCGAAGAGCCAATTCGCGACCAGACACCGGCGGCGTATGAATCTTTGCGCCAGATGGTTGATGTTCCGTTTGCAATCGGGGAAGAAATCTCCAGCAAATGGGACTTTTTGCCTTATCTGGAACGGGGGCTTACCAATTTTGCCCGCATTGACGTCTGTAATGTTGGGGGATTAACGGAAGCAATGAAAGTGGCGAGTTTAGCGGAAATGCACTATATCGACCTGATGCCGCATAATCCGTTGGGTCCGATTTGCACGGCGGCCACAGTACATCTAGCCGCAGCGGTTCCCAACTTTGCCTGGTTGGAAGTGCGCGTTTCACCAACAGAGGAGACCGGATTTTACGATGAAGATTTTTTCCCGATGCAACCAAAACTTGAAGGGGATCGCTTCGTGGTGCCGGATACGCCGGGGCTTGGTGTTGAGTTCAATGAAGAGATGGGAGCGAGATCAGACCTTTACATTCTGGGAGGCACCGCACTGGCGGCGCCGCGATGGGTCTTACACCAACTGGTAGGTGCGGCTGATGACAACAACAATTGTCCGTGAGAGGAGGAACTGGTGATGTCAACCGATGACCGAGCTTTACACCGGATGGTTCGCTGGATCCACGTTACAGACCTGCAATTGGGCTTTGGCAAGTCTGCTGACAATGACAATGATACTAGCGCCCGGAGGCTCATTGAGCAGGTCGCGTCTGAAGAGGTGGATTTCGTCATCAATTCGGGTGATCTTATTCATGGCGCACACGCGGATCAGACGCTCGAAACGATCGCGGAGTACTGGGTCGGACTATCAGACAACTGTGAAACCTCTCGAAGGGAAGGTGCCCATTTTTTCTGCCCCGGGCAATCACGACATGACGCGTGAGGATAGGTCTATGGAGCGGTACTGTCTAGAAACAGGGAGAGCCGGCCAGCCACCGTACTACGCAGCGACGATTCAAGGCGTACATGTCGTATGTATCGACGTCGTTTCAGCTATACACCGGGGAGGTTTTCCCAAGGGCTCTAAACAAGAAGCGTGGTTGAAGCAGGAGCTGAACCGTTTACCTCAAGCCAGATGTCTCATTGCGGTCGGCCATTATCCGATTTTTCTGTCTCCTGATTTTTACGGAAGGTTTTCGGATTCGTCCCTACATTATGATGAACGTACCGGGCAAGAGGGAGTGCTGCTCCCCATCCTGCTCGAAGGTGGGGTCGATCTCTATCTTTGCGGTCATCTGCATACCTATGAGCGGACACGGTATGGTCGGTTGAGCCAAGTGATGGCTGGTGCCTACGGGGTTGCTTACCCGGATCTGATGCCATATCAACCGAATCAGTACTGTCAAGCCCTAGACGAACGACAGTGTTACGTTCGCTACACCCTCACTGAGGACTCCATCCATGCTGAAGCACTATCGCTACAAGGGGCGGTCGTGGATGCTTGGTCGCAGGCACTTAATCGGGGTCAACAGTCAGCAGTGTGACAACACTCCCCTTGAGAAGCCGTTTGAAACTCAGGGATAACAGGAGGACAATTTATGAATGACATTGAACTGCAGCAGTATCTGTTCGATTTACAAGGCTACTTGGTGATTGAAAATGTCTTGGATCCAGAAGAACTCACAACACTCAACCAGCTAATTGACAGGCAAGAACTACCCACACCGGGAAAGGTTCAAAGATTTGGTGGCGCGCCAGACGGATCAGGATTTCTCGATTGGGGAAAACCGTTCTGCGACCTACTGACCCATCAAGCGATTATGCCCATTATTCGATTCCGGTTGGGCGACTGCTTTCGTCTGGATCGGATTTATGGGATGTATATGCGTGAGGGGATGCCAAGAGGACGACTGCACGCCGACTATGGTGCCACCTCCACAACCTCTGACGCTCAACCGGGGGAATACTTCCCTTTCCGCGATAACATAGTCACTAACGGGTTTGTCGTCGTGACATGGGTGCTGTCCGATACAGGTCCCGACCACGGTGGGTTTTGCTGTATCCCCGGCAGCCATAAAAGCAACTTTAAGCTACCACCACAGATAGATCAGTCCCCCGAAGACGCACCGTGCGTAATGATCCCCAACGCGCCAGCCGGTTCGGTAATCCTGTTCACCGAGGCACTGACGCATGGAACGGCAGCGTGGCGCGGCAAGCACGAAAGACGGTCCCTGCTATACAAATACAGCGTGTCACACATGGTGTGGACCTCCCGGCGCGTACAACCACCGGCGAGTGTGGAATTGACACCCCGTCAGGACATTCTCTTTGGCGATCCCGGAGATCCGCATCGCTTCTTCCCATCGCTGTTTGAGGGATTTGAAAGCGAGCAAGCCGTATGAGCAAATCATTGGAATCGGCACTACACAACTTGGTAAGACAAGGGGTAGTTGCTTCGGACATCAGTTATTGCGGGATAACTAAAATGGATACCAAATCCCCGCCCTCCTTCATAAGGGTGCTTACGATTTTTCTGGGGATTGTCCCCGAATACTGGTTATCGGAGGGGTCAACGGGACTGATGGTGAAGTTCAGTTAGCCCTCGATGTAATTGAAACAATTACAAACGACTCCAACGGTTTCAACGCACTATCAATCAGTTACATTCCCTGTTTGAACTATGACGCATATATAGGCAATCTACAAGCCCCTGAAACTCGAACGAAATTGACGCATGGATTCTCTCCCAATGGCAACTACTTTTCCGATCCGGAAATACCGGAGAGCAGGTATATCTGGCGGTGGGTGTCCTATCAAGCCGCGGATTTAGTGATTGAGTTATCCCTTGGAAAATCAATACGGATTGAACCCAACGAGGCTGCTCCTGTTTTCATCGCCGATATGGATATAGCGAGTTCTGTTTCTGACGACAGTCTAATCGGAGCGTTGGGACGGAAATATGAATCCAGTCCGGGATCGATACCCGGAGTCAGGATAACGGGAACAAAAGAACAAGTCGTATCAAAAACAGTTGAATTATTGCACAAAGTGGTGGATTTCAGAGGCACAGATCAATCTTTATCGAGTCGTGGCGCAGCCGCAATCCGCAAACGGAGGGACCGAACCGCGCAAGAGGTGAGTGAGGCATTAGCGTCACAATTTGGGTACAAGCTAGATTCCCCGATTAACTACATCCAAGGGGTCGGTGTGAGCGGCAGGATTCGATTGGCGGAATCTACGAATCAAGCAGTGCCCGATGACATTTTTCAGATTGTCGATTCCTACGTTGATAATCCTTCCACCAGTTTTGGCGATGCCCCCGGTTCCGCCTCGCTTGCCGGGGCGGTATGGGCAGATGATCTGTTCCGAGTGACCAAAGACCCAAGATACAAAAATTATCTCTTAGATTTAGCAAATCGGTTTGATTCGAGCGGGTCAAATCCCCCCGCCCCGGCGGATCCGAAGTGGAGAACGGAGGATATGTTCATGCTTGGGTCAATGATGGGGAGGAGTTATGCGTTGACCCAAGAGGGACAATACCTAGACCCTCCTGACCAATTTCCTCGTCGAAATGGGCACACAGCAGATTTCAGGGCTGTATTGGCACGATAGAGAAACCCCTTTTTATTGGGGCAGAGGGAAACGGATTCGCTGCTTTAGGGCTTGCAGAGACACTGACCTATCTGCCACAATCCCATCCTCTATACGCCGATATACTTTTGATGTATCAGAAATTGTTGAACGGGTTGTTAAAATATCAGGATCATCGGGTTGCTACCACCAAGTTATACGTTACCGGGTAGTTATCAAGAACTCACGAGTACCTGTATGATTGGTTACGGAGTTGCCAGAGGAAGTTAAATTGGGATTGTTGGATTCATCGTATCTCCCAACCCTAGAGGCTCTATGGAATGGGGCTAAAGCGAGGGTTACCGAAACAGGCGGTGTGGTGGATGGATGTACGGGAACAGGCGCGTTAGAGACGGAACAGGATTACATCGTTCGAGAGGCACTGAGTGGCTATGATGACCGTACAGGGAGTTTGGCGTTGTGGTTCGCTGTTGAGATGATGCAGCTCGATTAGTGCGCTCTTATAGGCAAAGGAAATGGAAACCTGTTCTTAAGGTTACATCCAAAACTGATGAGGATCCTTGATACTACTTTTCCAATTGAAAACGATTCGCAACCAAGGAGGCAAACCGATGCAAAGATTGAACAGAGTCATTGTTTGGGCAATTGTGTTGTTCCTTCAACAGCAACTACTCGTTCAGGTATTTGCCGCTCAACCGGAGCGGATTACCTTGGTAGAACTTAAACGTTTATTAGACGCCAAAGAGAAGGTGACTCTGGTTGATGTGCGTGGCCAGATTCATTACAGGTTCGGACACATCCCCGGAGCCATTTCGATGCCATTTCCGGATGGCATTGAAACGAGACACCAAACGCTTCCTCCCGATGGGCTAATTGTTTTATACTGAAGCTGACCGGCGGAAGCCACAAGTGCCGGTGCGGCACAAATGCTAATAGACGAGTTTGGTTTTCCCCCGGAGCGGAAAAGTGCTCCTAGGGGGTTTTCCCGGATGGCGAGACGCGGGCTACCCAATTGAAATGACAGTGGCAGTTGAACCGAAAGGAAAACGCTTCGCCCTATGGGGACAGATCAAATCAAAGAACCGGAGGTGACGCGCAACCCAAATGAACGAATATGATCTAACCATCATCGGTGGAGGGAGCGCAGGCCTTGTCCTAGCGGTGGCAGGCGCGAAGTTAGGGGTAAAAACAGCCCTCGTCGAGAAGCACCGACTGGGGGGCGATTGTCTCTGGACAGGGTGTGTACCATCCAAAGCCATCCTCAAATCAGCGAAGATTGCCCATTACATCAAAGAAGCTGAAAAATACGGCGTCCTCGTGAAAGACGCGCAGGTGGATTTTGAGCGCGTCATGGCGTATGTCCGTAGCACCCAACACACCATCGAGCACGAGCATGATAACCCTGAACGATTCCGCGAAATGGGTGTAAACCTCATCTTTGGGGAAGGGCATTTCGAGTCGCCGACAACCTTTGTGGTTCAAGATACGGAGAACGATCAAACCCTCACGCTCAAGAGCAAAAAATTTGTCGTCACAACCGGCTCCCGCCCAACCCCACCTCATATCCCCGGAATAGATTCCGTTGATTATCTGGACAGCGAAAATGTCTGGGAATTAGATCAACTGCCCGAAAGGCTACTGGTAATAGGCGCGGGACCTATCGGGATTGAGCTAGGGCAGGCGTTTCATCGGCTGGGCGCAAAAGTGACGATTGCGCAACGCAGCGATCGGATCTTAACGAAAGAGGACATCGAAGTCTCCGAGAAAATGTTGAGTTACCTGCGAGAAGATGGGGTTGAAATCCTCTTAAATACCAATCCCGTTCAGATCGACCGGATCAATGCCCCACCTAGCGAAGAACTCAACCCGGATATAGCGGTCTGGGGATCGCAAAATACCGAGGCATCAGAGGAGTATCGCGTCCAACTCAAGGCAGCGGATACAGGGCGATGAACGCGAAATCGCCGTTGATCGGATCTTGATTGCAGCAGGACGGAAGCCAAACATCGAAGGGTTGGGACTTGAGAAGATCGGCGTCAAGGTCGGAAAAAGTGGGATTGAGGTCAACAATAAGTTGCAAACCACCGTCAAAAATATTTACGCTGCCGGCGATGTCGTCGGACATTACCTCTTCACACACGTTGCAGCGTTTCAAGCGATGCAGATTGTTCGGAACATCTTTTTCCCCGGTTCTGGTGCGATAAATTATTCCGTCGTCCCTTGGACAACCTTCTGCGATCCAGAGGTCGCTCGGTGCGGCTTGACCGAAGCAGAGGCTCGTGAAAAACACGGAGATGTCGATGTTTTCAGGGTGGATTTACACGACGTCGATCGGGCTGTCGCCGAGGGAGAGACAAAAGGGTTTATCAAAGTCGTTGCGACTCGCTGGAAGGGAAAAATCTTAGGCGTCCACCTAGTGGGACCAAATGCGGGAGAGGTTATCCACGAGTTTGTTTTGGCGATGAGTGCGGGCATCCCCTTACGGAAGTTGGCAGGAATCATCCACGTTTATCCGACGTTTTCGAGCATCGTTTGGCGCGTTGCCGGAAAGTGGCTTGCCGAAGGCACCCTGATCCAAACGCTACGCGGTATATTCAGGAAAGGGAATTAACTGGAGCTATCGGGTTTTTCGGTTGTTACTTTTTGGCAATCGTGATATAATTTGTTAAAATAATTAGGAGGAATTGCAAATGAAATTCAACATGTGGTCATCAAGCGCGATCATGCTGATTATCCTAGCACTTATCAGTGGTATCGGCTGTGCATCATCTGACCATGATGAAGATGGAGAGCATGAGGCAAACGGTGAACAGACGGGGCACCTGCCAAGTCATGAAGAGGGAGACGGCGAAGGAGAGGAGTCTGGGCAAGAGTTTGCCAAAGACCAAACTTATGACCAAGTGCGAAACGGTGCACGGTTAAAACTCGTCTATGATGCGGCAACGAATGCCTTCGTTGGAACGGTAGAAAATACGACAAACCAAACCTTATCTAAAGTGCGCGTTGAGGTTCACCTATCTAACGGAATAGAACTAGGACCTACGACACCGACCGACCTTACCTCCGGTCAACAGATAAACGTTGAACTTAGTGCGGCAGGACAGGACTTTAATAAATGGTCTGCCCATCCAGAGGTTGGCTCCAGTGAACACGGCGGCGGGGAGGGACACGACGAGGATGGTGACCATGACTGAAATGTCCTGTTCAGGAATGACAGTCATTTAGGCAAGCCCAATCATTTATGCTTGGGTCTAAAGTGTTAATTTTTGTTGTGTTTTTGTGTGACAAAATGGTATAACTGTCTTGTCTTTCAGTGGGAGAATGTCGCACCGTCGCTTGGCGGTGTCTCCCATACCCTACGACATAGGAATCAAAAGACAGAAAGACAATCCCATGTTAAAAACTCATAAAATCGCTTTAGATCCAAACAATGTCCAAGCGACACAGTTCGCTCAACATTGTGGATATGCTCGTGTTGCATACAATCACGCCTTAGCCGATTTTAAGCAAGGATTGTCCGAGGGCGATTGGCGTTCTCATATAGACCTCTGCCGTCGGTTCAATGCTATTAAACACGAGCAGTACGACTGGTGTGGTGAAATGTCACAAAACGCTTCAAAGCATGCGATTTATAACAATCTGAACAACGCCATAGGCAGATGGAAATCAGGACAGAATCGTTTTCCTAAGTTTAAGAAGCGGTCACACGGTCAAAGTTACCAAGCAGATAGTGGTCGAGGGACAACTCCTGTTGTAGGTCGGCGGATTAACTTCCCAAAATTGGTTGGGTCCGTATGTGTCAACCCCTACGCTTCCACGGCACAATCTGTAAGGTGGTTATATCCAAGACTGCACATCGTTGGTTCGCTTCTATTCTTGTAGATACCTTTTCGGACGATGCTACACCTGAGATTAGGGGCTTTCCCGTAATTGGTGTTGATGTCGGAATCAACTACTTGGCTGTCACGTCTGAGGGACAATACTTTGAGAATCCGAAAGCGTTGAAGCGATACGAGCGAAAACTCAAACGGCTACAACGGCAATTTAGCCGTAAGGTCAAAGGTAGCCGTAACTGGCATAAACTCAAAGACAAGATAGCGAAGTTACATTATCGCATCACCTGCGTCCGTAGAGATGCCCACCACAAAGCAACGACGACAATCGCTAATAGTGCAAAACGGATAGGCATCGAATCGCTGAACGTATCAGGAATGCTAAACAATCATAGACTTGCAAAAGCACTGTCGGATGCAAGCCTATCAACGTTCCTCACGTTTTTGAAGGACAAAGCTGATAGAATTGGTGTAAAAATAGTTGAAGCCGATAGGTTTTTCCCGTCAAGTAAAACCTGTTCAGCGTGTGGTGCAGTGGACAGCGACTTATCCTTGTCCGATAGGACGTATCATTGCAGTGCTTGTGGTCACACCCAAGATAGAGACCTAAACGCTGCTATAAATCTCAAAAACCTCGCCGTGGGACACACGGAGAGTATAAACGCTTGTGGAGATTCTGTAAGCCCTCAACAGTTGGGGCACGAATCGTCGAATCAAGAAGATAGCACAGAGCAACCGCTACTGGTCAGTCTATCATAAGAATCCCAAGCCTTCAGGTTTGGGAGCAGTCAAAAAAATCTACACGACGAAACGAGGAAACTGAGAAATATGGATGCAACCATTCAACCGATTTTGGAGAAGGTATTAGCCGGTGAACGCCTAGATTTTGATGACGGATTGACCCTTTTCAAAAGTAATGATCTCCTGTCAATCGGGGCGGCTGCCGATACAATTCGACAACAGAAGCACCCAGAAGGATACATCACCTATATCGTTGATCGCAATATCAACTACACAAACTGGTGCTATGTCGATTGCGACTTTTGCGCCTTCTACCGCCATAAAACCGATCCCGATGCGTATGTGATGTCCAAGGAGGAGTTGGGGAATAAAGTCCAAGAGACAATCGATCTTGGCGGCGTACTCATCCTCATGCAGGGTGGGCTACATCCTAAACTGAAGCTTGATTGGTACGAGGACCTTCTCCAGTGGATCAAGGCAAATTATAAAATCCATATTCACGGTTTCTCCCCACCAGAACTTGATTGGTTCGCAAAAATCAACAGACTCTCCCTCAAAGAGACCTTAATCCGTTTACGCGATGCCGGCTTAGATTCGATCCCCGGCGGCGGAGCGGAGATCCTGACCGACCATGCCCGCGACGAAATCAGTCCGAAAAAGTGCACATCAGATGAATGGCTAGAAGTGATGCGGCAAGGTCACTACGTGGGCTTGCGCTCAAGCGCAACGATGATGTACGGACACGTCGAAAGCTACGGCGAACGGGTGGAGCATCTCCTCCGCTTGCGCGAACTACAGGACGAAACAGGTGGCTTCACGGCTTTCATCTGTTGGTCGCTTCAGCCCAAGCACACGCGCCTGAACATATCGCACCTGCGGGCAGCTTTGAATACCTCAAGACCCTCGCAATCTCCCGACTGATGCTCGACAACTTTGACAACTTCCAATCGTCATGGGTCACCCAAGGACCGAAGATCGGTCAAATGTCGCTTAAGTTTGGGGCAAATGACATGGGCGGTACGATGATCGAGGAGAACGTCGTTAGCAAGGCGGGGACGGTCTACTGTATGCCCATCGAGGAAATCGAGCGCACAGATCTCTGAGTTAGGGTACGCTCCGAAGCGACGAAACTTCTTCTATGAGACTATCAACTAATGCCTCTGATTCCCGCCGTCCAACTCAGAACCATCAGCACTAATATCTTCACCGCCATCGGTCTCAAAGCGGACAAAGCCCAAACGATCGCGAATCTACTCATCGAGTCCAATCTCGCCGGACACGATTCACACGGCGTCTTGCGCCTGCCGCAGTACGTTCTGAGCATCCAGAGTAAGGCAATCGATCCAGACGTGGAAATTGAGATTGTCAGCGAAACCCCTTCCAGCGCGGTCATCGATGGGCATAGAGGATTGGGACAATTCATAGCCACGCAAGCGATGGAAATCGCCATCGCAAAAGCGAAAGCACACACCATCAGCACAGTAAATGTCTACAACTGCAACCACATTGGGCGTCTTGCTGATTATGTGATGATGGCAGCCGAAGCGAAGATGGTCGGTATGCTGTTTCTCAACGGACATGGCGGGGACCACGGCGTTGCACCGTGGGGCGGCACCGATCGGCGACTCAGCACCAATCCCTTTGCGTGCGCCCTCCCTACAGGGAAGGACAGTCCGATGGTCATCGATCTCACCACGAGCATTGTTGCTGGCGGGAAAATTCGGGCGTATCGCAGTCGTGGCGAACCGTTGCCAGAGGGCTGGATCCTCGATGCCGATGGGGTTCCAAGCACCGATCCCAACGCATACCTCGAAGATCCGCAAGGTCCACTACTCCCCTTCGGCGACATTGCGGGCCACAAAGGTTACGGGTTAAGCCTGTTGACAGATATTCTCGCCGGCGCGATGTGCGAAGCTGGCTGCAGCCGCTCATCACCGCCCGGTGCCGGTAACGCCTTCTTTATTATCGTCATCGACATTGAGAAATTCATAGCACTTGCGGATTTTGAAGCCCACGTTGCACAGATGATAGATTTCGTCAAAGCCTCTCCAACCGCCCCCGGCTTCGACGAAATCTCGATTCCCGGTGAACGCTCCGCACGCACCCGCCAACAACGGTTGGCAGAAGGCATCCCACTCGATGATACAACGTGGGAACGTCTCGTCGAAACCGCTCAAAGTGTTGGGGTTTCTGTCTAGAACGAATGACCCGCGCTTAACGCAATTAGGCAAATCTACGCAGATCCTCGTTGGCGTAAGCGGCAACCGCTGCATTCGCTTCCCGCCTAACTTTCAACTTTTCGACAACTTCCCCCAACCGTTCCGACGGAATTGTACACGTCATCTCGTCCGGCGACATCCCTGTTCGTACCCGGCTTAACATACACCCCGTACTAATCGCGAGTTTGCCCTGCTCTTTCGAGATCGGGATGATGTGGCATTGCGGTTTGCCAACAAAGACCGTATCACTAAATCCGTCATGAATAACCATTGCCTGAAAAGCGTTTACCCGCAAAAGTATCACATCGGGGTCAATGGGGGTATCCGTTAATGGCCCATAGGTGATGTAGTTCGGACGGTCATTCACAAATGGAAGCTGCATCGCTTCTTCGGGAGACACCCACCCCACCTCCACGATGGCACCGACATCTCCGTTGTTCATGACCTCTTCCAGCGTTTTCAATCCGTGCGTGACACTCCCAACGCTACAGTTGTAGTGGTCTTCGGGCGCTGTCGTAAACGTCTGATCAACCGCATCCTTCCAAAAAACGCATCCCGCCGGAACTTTGCCGCTGCGACCATCGGGCGTAGGGGCTGGTATCTCACCCTCATGCGCCGGTATGTCTTGAGGAGCTTCGTCAGAAAATGTGATGGCGATGGAGGCGTGTTTCAAGCCGAGTTCTCTATCTAATCCTTCGGCTAATAATTTCCAATTTTTAGTCGTCATAAATACTTTCCTTTCGTTTAATATACCGTTGAGGCGCGGGCAGGCAGCAATGGGTGCTGGTAACGCCCACTCCTATGATTTTAGCCTAATCACTTATAACGAATTGTATTTTCTAATGAAGATATTTCAGACTCCAAAGATTCTAAATCCTTACCAAGATCATCTATCTCAGAAGTTAAACTCCCAGACGTTGACCAAGTACCAATCTTTGAACTCAATGTATCCACCCTTGAATTCAATGTGCGAATACTTGAATTCAATGTATCCACGCTATCAGAAAGATTGTTTATAGCTCTAACCAATCTAGTCGTATCACTACTATCAAGTGCAGAACTATAACCCATATAGGACATGAAAATAACGACAAACAAAGCTATACCAAACAACAATTTATTCTTCATTGAGGAATCACCTCCTTTTGCTTATATGGTATCAAAACGCAACAAAATTACAAGGCTGTCAAAACTACTTATTGCGTAATTTTTATCCCTCAATTCACTGTTTTTCTGCCCCTCACTTAGTGCCCGTGCCACCAATGACAATCAGGAACGCACTATCTTCGCTAGCATAGACAGCGTGTAGGATGTCAGCCGTGAAGGTAACCGCCTCACCTTGTTCCAACGTACTCTTCTCAGCACTTGTTGTAAATATGATACTTCCACTAAGCGTGATAACAGTGGCAGCGGCAGGTGCCTGATGATCCTCAAGCGTAGTTCCCGCTTTGAGGGCAACCAGCACGAGGGTCATTTCACCCCCGTGAGCCAGTGTCAACGAGCTACGCCCTGACGTGGCGGCTGTTGCTTCTTCCATCAGCTTTTCAGCCATTGATATAAGCGGAAACTCTTTAATCATCGATATGTTCAGATCTACAGGTCTGTAGGGTCGCTCAAATGATGTATTCATTATAAAACCTCCGTTGATCGAATGCTACATTAAAAATAGATTCCCTTCTGCCTATTCGTTGTTTATGTTTTAGGTTTGGCGCGCTTCTCCAAGATAAGTTGCGTTCGGTCCTCCCGTACCAACATATCAAAAAAACGTTTCGCTGCGGAATAATCTTCGGGCAGTATGATCGGCTCCTTGATAATGAAGTTAATTTCGTAACGAATCTGATTCCCCTCTAGTTTGTACTGTCGCTTCATACTGGCAAAGCGATTTTCCAGACGAACATCTTGCGGGAACGTCGCTGTCCATCCCTCCGGCAGCACAATCCGGATTGTTTTCTTCATCTGCATCGGGTAACTCAAATCAAGTGGGTGTTGCCGTTCAGCCGCTGCAAAAATCTCCGCATAGTCTGAAAACTCATCGCTCGGCAGCGGAAAACATCAGGCGATTATCAATCGGCTCGGCGTAATTCTCGACGGTAAAAGCAACGTTGAGCTGCACCGGTACGTTGAGATCCCCCAAATCGGAAATCTGCACCGAATCAACTCGGACGCCGGGAAATTGTTTGCTAAGTCCAACGGCGAGGGTATCCTTCCACGTACTCGGCGACACCTGTTTGTACTCCAGCCGCGCTTCTACATTGTATTGCCCAAGGGTATCAACCCGCATGGTCCCCTGAACCGTTCCATCTTCTGTCAGCGCGATTTCTGTGTCAACGATTAACTGATTGGATTCCGGTGTAGAGATGGGAATATCAACAAACTCGCCCTGATCGCTTCGGATCACGAATCCCTTTCGTCCCCTATTCCGCGCTGGGAGATCGCCGTAGCTGCAGGTATCAGCAGTTGGATCGAGCCAAATATAGCCGCCATCGTCACGAGGAATCGCAGCAATCAGGTGGCTAAACTGTCCGAGCGAGGGAGTTCAAAATCGACGCGTTGATACGGCGCGGGATTCAGCATCACCGGAAACGCCTCAATACCAACCAGATCAAGCATCGCAATCATCAAGGTGGTTTTGTCCTTGCAATCGCCGTATCGGACACTGAGCACCTGATCGGCGGGTGTGGGTTGATATGCACCTTGCCCCAGTTCAATCCCCACATAGCGAATCTGCGATGCCACGAAGTGGTATATCGCTCGAATTTTGTCGGCCTCCGTGAGAAGATCTGCGGTGAGTTCCTCGACGGTTTCCTCAATCGCTTGATCAACGGTGTACCGGTCTTTTGCGATGTCTCTGTACCAATTGTAAACGGCATCCCAAGATTCTACAGACGAATAACTCAAGCGTGGCACAATATCGTTGGTCGCCGGCATATTGTACTCCTTCTTGAGCGCGGGTGTCTCGCCGTAGGTCCAGAGATATGTGCTGGTCTCCTCTCCGTGTAGTATTTGAGGATTAAGTTGGCAATGGATTGCTTTCCACTTGAAGTCCGTCCCTTTGGGTAAACGCAAGGCATAGGTGGATTGCAGAGTCGGATCTGTGGATTGAAAACTGTAGCTACCCCAAAACCACGAGGTGCTCCCAACCGAATCCGCTCCGGCATCTTCAAGCGTAACTTGATACTCAATACACACACCCGGTTTGAGGGCAGGCATTGAGATGACTCGCCACATCGAATCGGAATAGAGGTTGTAGGAGAGCAGCCCCGGCGGTGTAACATCGTTGAACGCCTCCTCCGGCGGCTCAACAACAGAACCATCAGGGGTGATAGTCCGTGCGACGTTGACGGTGATATATTGTGCCGTGGGAGTGTGCGGGATAGCGATGTCATCGTAGTTCTGCACCCCTCTCTCTGTCAGAATCTTGACCACCTGATGGGAAGTGTAACGGGATTTCCCCGACGGCGTGACTTCGTGACTAAACTGGTTGAGCAGGATAATTGCATCAGCATCAGGATAATCTGCCGCATCAGGAGCAGCAGCGATGACCCCTTCAATGTCAATGTCAATTAGATCCACAGGCGCAAGGTCAACAACCATTCGAGCAGATCGATCTAACTGTGCAAGTGCTTGCAGGCGCGTCGGAGCGAGGAGATTCTGCGGATCTATCTCCAAAATTTTATGGTACTGGAGCTGCGCTTCGTAGTAACGTCCACGCGCTTCATAGAGCGAAGCAAGGTTTTGGCGGGACCAAATATCTTTCGGGAAAAGCCGGATCGACTCCCTAAACTCGGCGATGGCTTCGCCGATGTCCCCTTTTTCCAAGTAAATCAAGGCGAGATAGTTACGCAGATTTTTGCTGTCAGGTCGTGCAGATTTTGGATCAACCTCTACCGCTCTTTCGCAAAACCCGTTCAGCGTCGTCGAGCCTGCCTAACTGCTTGTAAGCCAAACCGAGATGGTTGAGGGCATACAGGTTATGCGACTTAACCTCCAAAGTATCCTCGTAAACCTGTGCCGCAGCTTCATAGTTGTTCAGTTGCTCATAGATGTAGCCCAAAGAATTGCGCGCATCCATATTCTTGGGGTCAAGTGTTACTGTAGCGGCGAAGGCGTCCCTCGCTTTTTCGTATTCCTCCTGTTCAAAGTAGAGCTTGGCGATTTGGAATTGGACCTTACTGGCATTTGGCTTAATCGCCAGTGCCGCTTGATAGGCTTCAAGGGCACCCGTCAAGTCTCCATCTTGGAGTGCCAAATTTCCTGCCGCTACCTGTTCGCGCCATTCTCTATTTCGTTCAATCAGCGGATCGACAATCACCCTTTCACCGGATTGACTTCGACTGAAGATTGAACAACCGCTCAACAACAACAGGATCGCAATCAGAGAAATGCTTGCTTTGAAATGTCGAATTGCCACAATTATTCTCCTTGTATAATCAGCACGCCAACTTTGCCCGTAATACCTCTTTCACGTTTCACGCATCACGTTTTACATGAGTCCACCCATAAGTTTACCAAAAAGCTGCCCTAACATCAATGATATTCATGCAGTTCATCTTCGTTGCTTGGAACGATTATGAGGTTTTGGTATAATGATATGCAATACGGACTTTCAGTTAAAACCCATCGCCGAGGCACAGAGGACACAGAGAAAAACAAGAGATCAGGTTGAAAACGTCGATACAGCAGACAGCACTATTTGAGATTTACTAGGTAAACAAAGGCACTAATATCCAGTGATTAAACATAGAAATCAACTCTTGGGTGACGTTTTTCGTCCGAAGTTTTAACGGTGTAACTTCTCATTTAAGTTATTGGTTCATGTCAAAAGAAAGTGTAGAATAGCTCAGAGAAACCGATTTTTCAAAAAACAGTCGGTTTTTTTGCACGACTTCTTAACACGATCCAGGTTATTTTCGCGAGTTTGAAACTATTAGTTTCAACCTAACGATTTTAGATTTGCACACTGCTTGCTTGTTACTGTATCCTTTAGAACATAGAATCTATTTTCAATAAATAGCAACAGGGATTATTCTATGCTCTTTGGCGACAGCGATGCAATGCGAACCATCCATGGGACGATTTACCAACTCCGCAACAACGACACCGCTTCGGTTTTAATTACAGGGGAAACCGGCGTCGGGAAGGAAGTGGTTGCACGAGCTATTCATGCCGGAGGACCACGGGCATCAACACCATTTGTGCCGGTCAATTGCGGTGCGACTCCCTCTACACTGTGGGAGTCCGCCTTTTTCGGTCATGTCCGTGGCGCGTTCACTGGAGCGACGGAGGATCATAAAGGGCACCTTGAAAGTGCCGACGGCGGGACACTGTTTCTCGACGAAGTCGGTGATATGCCAATCGAAAACCAAGTCAAACTCCTTCGCGTTCTGGAGGATGGTGTCGTCATGCCGGTCGGCGCAACGGTGAGCAAAAAGGTGGATATCCGGGTGATAGCAGCCACCAATTCGGGGTCTATCAGCAAAGACGGATGCAAAATTGTTTCGGTCAGATCTCTACCATCGTTTGACTGGTATGATAATTTGGATTCCGCCGCTACGCGAGCGAGAGGAGGATATCCTCCCTATAGCCAAATACTATCTGAATGAGTTTACGTCTCAAAGAGGAGTGCCAACCCCATCGTTGACTCCCGAAGCGGTGGCGGCTTTGGAAACACACGACTTCCCGGGTAATGTGCGTGAACTGATGAACATCATCGAGTCTGCCCTGATTGTAAGCGAAGGCGCAGCGATTCAACCCAAACATCTGCGTTTTCGGTCTCCTGACGCTGAGGTGCTTACTCCTCCAGTAATAGGGATTGATGAAGAAAACCCATTGCCACCCGCGGTTGAGGCGATGCTTGCCGAGCAGGCACAGATTCGACGTGCCTTAGTGGCTAATGGAGGTAACGTTACTAGGACCGCCCGGCAGCTTGGCTTGAGCCGGCAGGCTTTATACCGCAGATTGGAAAAATATGGCATCCGATAAAAGAAAATGGACCGGCTTTTATTATGCCTGTGGCAGCGACACAAAAGTGTCCGATTTACCGGGCACTTACCGGACACCTGTTTGCCCAGCGCACATAAGGCTTTAACCCCAATTTGTGTCCGGTAGATGTCCGGATTACCGGACATTTTTGCGTACAAGAGCAGATAGCGAACCTCCTCTCAAACCCGCGCTACGACTGAAGAGTTGGCATAATTTAGGGTGTTGGCATGGGGCTTGCTTTAAAAGGGTGAAGCCAAGTTAGCAACGCTGTGAATACTTGGTGAAAAAGAGAACCATATATTTATCGGTGATGTCTATATCTGTATCTTAACAGACTATGAAGAACCAGACCTCAATCGGGTCATGACGGGTAAAATCGCAGGCTTTGATTTTGGTCTGAAACGGTATCTTACGGGTCATAATGGACACGATATAGACTCGCCCCAGTTTTTCAGACGCGGTATCAATGCTATCAAACGTGCAAACCGCGCGCATTCACGAACCAAGAAAAAATCAAAGAACCGTGAACGCGCAAGGCTTGATTTAGCCCGACAACACCGTAAGATTGAGCGACAACGGGAGGATTTCCACTGGAAGTTGGCACACCAACTGACTGACGAATATGACGAAATCCGTCTTGAGGACTTGAACCTTAAAGGCATGAAAGCCTTGTGGGGGCGTAAGGTCAGTGACTTAGGCTTTGCCGATTTCGTCAAGAAATTGGTCTATATTGCTAAGAAAAAAGGTGTCAAAATCACTTTCATTGATAAGTGGTATCCATCCAGTAAAACTTGCTCGGTTTGTGGTATTGTCAATGAAACGTTGAATCTCCGTGATAGAAACTGGCAGTGTAGCGATTGTGGCACAACCCATGACCGAGACCGCAACGCTGCAATTAACATTTTTCGGGTTGGGGCGTCAACCCATGAAGGAGAGGACGTAAGTCCCGATTCGTCGGGCAATCCTTGTTGATAGCACAATTCTACGCCTATTGGCAAGGGACTCGTAAGAATCCCAATCCTTTAGGTTTGGGAGTACGTCAAAGAGGCAAGTGGTCTCTATGATATCTCGTTAGCCTATAACCTATAAGGAGGGTTATCATGAACACCCAATGTTTTGTTGTACTGATCCTGCTATTGTCCTTAGTTTGTGTGCTTAATGACTCGCCGGCAAGCACATATACTGAAGGGGCGTTTGATTTCGATACCTTGGCTACCACAACGATTCTTAATGCTGCTGATATTGTTGTCGGTGAAATCACTGATGTTTCTTTTGTCTTTGAGTTGCAGTTCACGGGCGCGGAGTATCCCGATGGGTCGGCAACGTCTGGTCCGCTTAGCATTGTAACGATGCGTGTTGATAAGGACATCAAAGCAGCGATCGAGCATGCTGAGAATCCGGATGAGCCGGAGGCGGCTACAACCACAGTCCGCTTCGTTCAAGTCGGCGGGCCTTACCCCGATGGATCTGCCATCCAAGTCGTCGGTAGGCGTTGGCTGGAAAGGGGCGAGTATGTTTTTGTGAAATTAGTCCCTAGTGATTATTTAGTGACAAACAATGGTATAACCGTTGATAGCTGCATTCTCGAATATGGCACGACGTTTGATGTTGAAAAAAAGGGCGATGTTGAGAGCCATGTTATCAAAAGCGTCTGGAATAAACTTGATGTGCCCGTGGAGGAGATGACTCGTGTTGTCAGGGCAACGTTGAAAAATGAAGATGCGATGCGCCAATTAGATGATGAGATGAATGGGCTTGGTGATTTAGCAGAGGCAACCCGCTACCAAAAGCTGATGGATAAGGCCGCTGAGATTGAAAAAAAACTGAATCTTCCCGCTCTCCGGGAATAAATAACATTGTCAATATCTATGACGGAGGACATCATGAAAGCGCTAGCGTTTACAATCGCAATAACGATACTATTTGCCAGCCAGAGTTTTGCACAAACCTATTGTAATATCACTGAGGATGAGGCACGTACTCGTGATTCAACTACATGGAACATACTCAAAGCGCGGTTCAACGTGGGTAGCCAACCGAAGCATTGGGAGGACCAGGAGGCACGCTTTTATACGAATACATTGTCAAACAGTGCGCCAGTTGGCGCTCGTCCTGCTATCATTGCGGCGGCGACTGTTTGGAATGTGTCGGCATGGCAAGGTGATGACGATTTCTCTTTCGTATCTTCAGGGACAACAGGCGCAACAGCGAGGGTTAAGGACGGAAAAAATGTCATTTCATTCCAGGGATGGGACGATGTAGGGCCAGATCCGCCGGGCGTTACGTTTTACATAGATTGGGAGAACAACCGTAGGGATCGCCTCAAAGAGGTGGGTACTATTCTTAACACGAGATATTATTGGGCAATTGGCGCACAATCCAATAAGCTTGATGTGCAGAGCGTCATGGCACACGAGTTCGGGCATTGGTTCGCTTTAGCACATCTATATGAGGGCGACCACCCAACGGAACTCGGTTGTGATGAGTTTATCCCTTGTGTGATGTATCATACAATCGGAACGGGGCAAGTTCGACGTAACCTGACATGGATAGACGATTGGGGCAAGTGGTATATCTATAGCAGTGGAGATGTGAACATGGCGCCTTCTGTCACGCCGATGGAATTCGCACCGCGTTGCGGGACACAGCCCTTGTTTTACGGACGCGGTTGCTGGGTAACTACCCCAACCCATTTAACCCAGAGACATGGATCCCCTATGAACTGGCAGGAGATTCTGATGTCAGTATTACGATCTACGATTCGCATGGGTATCTTGTCCGACAACTTGATATGGGTCAACAAGTCAAGGGTCGATACATCGACAAAGAAAAAGCCGTCTATTGGGACGGCAAAGATGATAATGGAGCTAGCGTGGCATCGGGTGTTTATTTCTATACCCTGCGATCAGATAACTTCTCGCAAACACGCCGTCTCGTTATACTCAAATAGTATCAAATTGTGCAGGTGTTGGGAACAACGCAATGAAATCGTGGAAAATACGACCACTGTTTCATATGGTAAGGAAGCATCTTGCACAAGAAGCTCACTTTAGGAGGCGGTATCATTGCACATGTAATGATACCGCTTTCTTGTGCTCACAAATCTATTTTTTTACAAACTGTTTCCCCGGCAGCTGCTGAACAACTCCCTTCAACTCGAGCATGACCAGCAGCGAGGAAACCTTTCCGATCGGCAGCTGCGTCACCCGCGTAATCTCATCAATATGGACGCTATCGGCATCAATTGCTGACAGCACAGTCTGTTCATCAGGAGTTAGATTGGGGTCTACTTTTGCCTTCGGCTGAGAGGTAGGGGTCGATCCCTTTTGGGTTGATTGAGGGGGAGCAACCTTGTCAGACCGCTTTGAAGGAGGGGGTTGGCGAGTTGTTTCGGTCGATTCTCCTCCCAAGACCTTCGTGTAGTCTTGGGGCAACGCATCAAGCAGGTCATCAACGCTATTAATCAATGTCGCTCCCTGATTGATGAGGGAATGGGTGCCTCGCGATACATTGGAAAAGATTTGCCCCGGCACAGCAAACACCTCACGTCCCTGATCAGCGGCGTGGCGCGCTGTAATGAGCGAACCGCTCCGATCGGACGCCTCAACAACAAGCGTACCGAGTGTTAAGCCACTAATCACGCGATTGCGGCGGGGAAAGTTGTTTCCACGGGGCGGCATCGTCATCGGAAATTCAGAAATCAATGCACCGGACTCGATGATTTCCGTTGCAAGTGCCCGATTCGTTTCTGGGTAGATAATACTCAACCCACATCCGAACACAGCGATCGTGTGCCCACCGGCCTCAAGGGCACCGCGATGCACACAGGTATCAATACCGCGAGCGAAACCCACTCACGACAGTTATACCGCGTTCTGCGAGTTGATGGCTCAGTTGATGGCTTATCGTTTTGCCGTATCCGGTCGGGCTACGCGATCCAACGATTGCGATGCTCGGTGCGTCCTGTAGGGGAAATTCGCCTATGATATAAAGCAATACGGGCGGGTCATGAATCTGCTTGAGGAGGGGTGGGTAAGCGTCGTCGTTGATAGTGACGATGTGGCATTGATGCTGCTCGATTAGCGCAAGTTCCTGCGCGAGAGGGGCGTGCGATCTACCGTCAATCAGCTGTTGCCGAACATCGGGAGTCAACCCATCGATCTGGGCTAACTCCTCCGATGTCGCAGCGAGCGATTTCTCCGCAGATCCAAAAGCCGCTAACAGGCGTCGGATGGTATGGTTTCCGATACCCGGAATAAGGTTGAGATGAATAAGACTTTTCGTATCAGCGGATAACATAATCTGCGAATTTTACTGTTCCGTTGCCGGCTGTGCTGCTTGTTCTTCGGGCGGCAGGGCATAGTACACTTGAATATCGCGGATCGGCTTAAAAATGTCAACCTCTCCACCGCCTTCGCCTCTTGTTCTGCGCTTCTGCCCTCCCACACGCCGGGATTCCCATTTTTTAGGGACCTTCAGACGCAACCTATGGGTGTGAATTGGCTCCGGTAGCTGTAACTTGAACTGATCTTGATAGTGATTCTTAACACTTCTAATCGTCTTCCAATCCCCAGATTCATCTACAACTTGGACTTCAAAGAATTCAAGTTTCCTTTATCTGCTACCACAATGATGCGCTGAACAGGCTGCGGTTTTGCCCATGTAAGCGTTGCCTGCGTAAAGTTCTCCTCTTCTTCTTGGTCCGCCTTGGTGAGTGCCTTCGTTTTCTCGATAATGAGCCTTGAGGTCTCTCCAACTGAAAATGCGTTATCATCATTCAGTTTTGGATCCCGACACTCCGCAAACGGGGCGATGTTCTGACTCCACTGTATCGGAGGCCCACCTGCCCCCAAACACCCCAGTGTGGAAACCAACCCCAGTATTAGAAAAGTTATTCCTACAAAACGCATATTTTGCCTCCTTTATTTTTTGTAAGTAAAGAGTAGAATGTGAAGCGTGATAATCCACTGATCGCGCTCCACCTCTATTAATCCTATTTCAACAGTTGATCAAGCTCCGCTTCGCTTTGATCCTTCGATCCCACTGCTTCTTCTGCACGTGCTACTGTCGCTGATTGGTAGCCATATAACTCGATTTCGTAAATCTTAGCTGGTGCGCGGCGATTTCCGCTCGCCCAAAAGTTCTGTCTCCGTTGACCCCGACGAAGCGACGCATCGTCGGTTGTGCCAAGCACGCGGATACGGATTTTGTCAGTGGGGAACGGTGCATTCACCGACAAGTCAATTGGATTTGACGCAACATTATTAACCTCTTTGATGATCTCCCAATCCTCGCTTCCCTTATCCGCATATACGGTGAATTTCTTCAAGTTGTCCGAATGAATGACAACCCGGCGAATCACCTTTCTTTCGGGGAGCATGACGATTGCCTGTGAGGTCGGAGCGGGACCGAAATTGTCCTGTGAACCTTCACGAAACGCCGTTTCCCCAAACGTCCTGATGTTGCCATCAATCATCCTTGCATTCGTTGCCCTTACCCCTGTTATCAAAGCATAATTTTCGCTCCACTCCTGTTTAGTCACAATTCCACAACCAAGCAGAAATAGAAGATAAAGGCAGACGGATAATAATCCCAAATAACGATCCATCGTTATACCTCCCCTTGGAGTAACAGCGCGCAAATCACCATGCGATTTACCTAGCGAACCCCTTTGATAATCTTCCAAGTTGTTCCACCCCGACTATCTTGAAGTTCAACGTTGAGTTGCTCTAACTGACCGCGGATTTTATCCGCCGTTTCCCAATCCTTGCGTTGCCTAGCATCCTCACGCACCTCCAAAATGAGACTCATCAGTTGCTCTGTCAAGGCTGCATGAGCATCGCTGGCAACTTCCTCCTCTGCGTATATACCAAGTACACTACAAACCTCAACCAAACCTTTGTATGCTCGACTTAGGACGCTTCCCCTCTCATCCGAAGAAATACCTTCGGTTGCGGTGAGAAACTGATTTACCTCGCCGACGCACTTAAAGATCGCCCCCAATGCCCCAGCGGTATTAAAATCCTCGTCCATTGCAGATTCAAAGTTGCGGTGCATCGTATTGATAGATTCGAGGGTGCGCATGGCTTCGGCATCGTTCAACGCCTCAGAAACATCCCCATCCGCGTCTCGATACGGTCTTAGGGCATCAAAACAGTTATTCAACCGTCGAACAGCACTGCTCGATTCAGTCAAGCTAGTTGGGTTATAATCTAATGGATGGCGATATTGCGCGGAAATCAGAAAATGACGAATCGCTTCAGCTGCATATTGCTGCACAGCATCGTGGACAAAGATGAAATTGCTCTCTGACTTACCCATCCGTCGTCCATCAATCTGCAAGAATGCCACATGCATCCAGTATCGAGCAAAGGTTTTGCCCGTCACCACCTCGCTCTGGGCAATCTCATTTTCATGGTGTGGGAATATGAGATCATGTCCGCCGGTGTGAATATCAATCGTTTCACCGAGGTGTTTCATCGCCATGGCAGAACACTCGATATGCCACCCCGGTCTGCCTTTCCCCCACGGGCTATCCCACCACGGCTCTTCCGCTTTCGACTTTTTCCAGAGATCGAAATCCCGCGGATCTTCCTTGCGTTCATCAACCTCAACGCGAGCGCCGGCAAGCAAATCCTCCGGCTTGCGATGAGACAGCTTTCCATACTCCGCAAAGTGGTTGACGCGGTAATACACGTCTCCATCGATCTCGTAAGCTGCCTGCTTGTCAATTAACGCCTGAATCAGGGTAATTATCTCCGAAATATGCTCGGTCGCTCTCGGATGAACATCAGCCGCACGAATGCCTAGCTTGCTGGAATCTTCAAAATAGGCATCCACATATTTCTGAGCAAGTTCAGAGGTGTCAATCCCTTGCTCATTTGCACGATTGATAATTTTATCGTCAATATCCGTCAGATTTTGAGCCATCGTGACGGTGTAACCTTTATATTCGAGATAGCGACGAACGATATCAGAAATTAGAAACGTGCGAGCGTTACCGATATGAAAGTAATCGTAGACAGTGGGACCACAACTGTACATGAAAACTTTTCCCTCATGCAACGGCACAAATTCCTCCAACTGCCTTGTGAGGGAGTTATAAATCTTTAATGCCATCAGTTTTCTTTCTAATTTAGGTCCCGATCCAATCGGGATCCACGATTCCGTGAACGTCGGAACGCAACGAGATCGGGAACTAAGGTCTTATTTATCAATCTTGCGTACAATGCCCCATCCCTTTAGGGTGGGGATGTAGCGCGCCAAAGTGCGTTGTTAGTCAAAAAACGGTTGAAATTGCAGGTAAAAGATGTTACAGTTATCTTGGTTTTCGTGAGAGGGCGCAACTCCACTGCTTAGTGGAGCCTCTCACCTCCAATTGCGTGGAGATGAAAGCCAGAGAGCCGAGTCCCTATGAAAACCTACAAGTTCAAAATGTATAGCAACCACACTAATAGTGAGTTGCAGCAAACGATTGACAGCCATGCTGAAGTATGGAATCACTTTGTAGCCTTGTGTCGCAGATACCATGCTATCTATGGGAAGTATCCGGGCAAAAAAGCACTGATGCGACACTTAACCAAGTTGAAGCGGCTCCCCCGCTTTTCACATTGGAATCTACTTCCCAGTCAATCGTTGCAGGACGTAATAGACCGACTTGATAAAGCGTACTCTAAACTGTTTACTGACCGCACAAACAGCAAGCGTTCCGGTCGTCCCCGTTTCAAGAGACGTAAACGATACAAGTCCTACACACTCAAGCAAGCCGGTTGGAAACTGCTACAAAACAACTCTATCCGTATCGGCAAACGCATCTACCGATATTTCAAAAGTCGGGAAGTCTTAGGCACGCCGAAACGCTGCACGATAAAACGTGACAGCATAGGAGACGTATGGCTAATCATTCTGGCAGACCATGTAGATACAGATTTAGAGTCTCCCACGACGGGTAATAACGCGGGGTTTGACTTTGGACTAAAGAGGTATCTCACCGGGTCTGACTACAATGACTACGAATCTCCACAATTCTTCAAGCGCGGTCTCAACACTATCAAACGTGCCAATCGCAACCATTCACGAAAGGTCACAAGGTCAAAGAATCGGGAACGTGCAAGAGTCAACCTTGCAAAGAAACATCGCAAGATTGCGAACCAAAGGCAAGATTTCCACTGGAAACTTGCTCATGACCTCACAGACAGATATGATTGGATTTCACTGGAGACCCTCAACCTCAAAGGCATGAAGTCCCTTTGGGGTCGCAAAGTCTCTGACTTAGGTTTTTCTGACTTTGTGCAGAAACTCAAGTATATCGCTTCCAAGAAAAGCACGGAAATCCGATTCATAGACAAGTGGTATCCTTCGAGTAAGACCTGCCATGTCTGTGGCGCAATCAACCCAGAGCTAAACCTTCGTGATAGAACATGGCAGTGTCAACCTGCCACACACAGTTGGATAGAGATCGCAATGCGGCACTCAATATCCATAGGGTGGGGACATCCACCCTCTCAGGAGAGGCCGTAAGTCCCGGTTCGCCGGGCAATCCTCGTTGATAGAGCAATTCGACTCCTTAAAGGGAACGGGTGAGAATATCCACCCTTTAGGGTGGGGGAGTATGTCAATAACACCTACCTTAATTCACTGAGACAAACAACGGCTTCAGCGGCAGCGGCTTTTCCTTCGCCAATGAAACCGAGGCCTTCCGACGTTGTCGCTTTGACATTCACCTGATCGCCTGAAATGCCTAGTATCTCGGCAAGGCGTTGGCGCATGGAAGGGATATAAGGCGCTAGTTTTGGGCGTTGCATAATCACCGTACTGTCCACGTTCTGAATCGCGTAATCTGCAGCAATTAATGCCTTCACTCTACCGAGCAAAATTAGGCTATCAATTCCGGCATACGCCGCATCCGTATCGGGAAAATGTTGGCCGATGTCACCCAGACCTGCTGCCCCTAGCACTGCATCGCAGATGGCATGGGTCAGTACATCCGCATCGGAGTGTCCAATCAAACCTAACTCGTATGGGATCGTTACCCCGCCGAGTATCAATTTACGATTTTCCCCCAATCGGTGAACATCGTAACCAATTCCTACACGCATGGTGGTTTATAGACCTGATTTTTTCATGCTTTGCTCATCAATGCTTCAGCAAGAATCAGATCCTCCGGGGTCGTGATCTTCAGATTGCCATAGCTTCCCATGACACACTTCACCTTAAGCCCCAGCTGCTCGACCAACGCTGCGTCATCAGTCAACTGGATCTGTTTTCGCTGGGCATGTCGGTGGGCTTCGATTAATAAGTCCCTCCGAAATACCTGCGGTGTCTGTACCGCCCAAAGTTGGCTCCGATCCGGTGTATCAACGACAAATCCGTCCCCATCGGTGATTTTGATGGTATCCTTGACAGGGACTGCGGCGACCGCTGCTCCCCAATCTGCTGCCGCTCCGAGACAGGTAAAAATCATTTCATCGGTCACAAAAGGGCGGACCCCATCATGGATGACAACGAAATCCGTATCATCCGGAAGCACTTTCAAGCCGTTAAAGACAGAATCTTGGCGCGTTTCGCCACCGGGAACAAGCCCAGCAACCTTTTGGAAGTCGTACGGCTCGATTACAGCAGATCGGCAAGCGTCGAAATCCGTTTCACCGACAATCACAAAGATCGCATCAACAACGGTACTTTGATCAAATACGCCGATCGTATGCGCAAGGACCGGTTTGTCAAGAAGCTCTAGGTACGGCTTCTTAGTACGATGACGTCCCATCCGACTTCCGCGGCCAGCCGCGGGAATAAGAACGCACGTCCTCTGGTTCATCAGTGTCCATTTCATCAGTCTTCGTACGCGTAAAAATCATCCGACCAGCGGTTGTTTGCAATGTTTGGGTAACAATTGCATCAATTGTCTGTCCAACATATTGCCTACCATACTCAACAATGACCATTGTCCCGTCATCAAGATAGCCAACACCTTGGTTCGGTTCTTTCCCTTCACGAAGAACACGCACCTGAATAACCTCACCGGCAACGACGACCGGACGAACCGAGTTTGCAAGCTCGTTGATGTTAAGCACCGTCACACCCTGAAGTTCAGCCACCTTATTCAAGTTAAAATCATTGGTAATGATTTTCGCCCCAATTTCTTGAGCGAGATGAATCAACTTGGCGTCTACCTCTGGAACTTCGGGAAAATCTTCTTCAGTTACCTCAACATCGACGTCAGGATTGTTTTGCATCAAACGTAAAATCTCGAAGCCACGTCGTCCTTTGTTGCGACGAAGTAGATCGGAAGAATCCGCGATGTGTTGCAATTCATTTAGGACAAATCGGGGAATCACAAACACGCCATCAATAAATCCTGTTTGGCAGATATCCAAAATCCGTCCATCAATAATCACACTCGTATCCAAGACCTTAATTGTCGGAGACTTGGATTGTATCCCGTGTGTGGTGAGAGAAAATAGTGCAAAAGCATCTCGCCTGCGATAGACAATCATTGTCCCTACATAAGCACATGAAAGAACAACGCCCCCCGTCAATACTGGGCTTATTGCGCTAGTCGTTGCTCGAATAATATAAATAATAAGACTAGCTACAATCAAACCGAATGTCAGGCCAGCGAAGCAGGCGAAAAAATCTCGTAGCAGTGAGCGCGGAATTGACAATTCAATTCCTACTAGAATAATAGTAACAAAAAAACCTATAGCGCCTCCTGTGAAATCACTGATGATAAATCCCAGCGCTGCGCCAAACAATGTAAAAGCGATGCGGATAATCCAAATTTGCATCCGAGCCACCCCCTTTCTTATAGTAGTGCGCTTAGTGCGTGGATAACTCAAAAATCACATTGGCACTTCGCAAACCTCCTTTCTTATAATAGTGCACTTAGTGCACCGTAAAGATCTTTGACACCAACCAACTCAATATCTTCCTTCAACTCTAAACCTTTACGATTGGACTCGGGGAAAACCGCGCGATTAAAACCTAACTTTGCGGTTTCTAGTAGCCGTTTCTCAATATGCGCAACGGCACGAACTTCTCCACCTAGACCGACCTCGCCAATGACAACAGTCCGTGGATCAATTGCTATATCTCGGTGACTCGACGTTATCGCGATGGCGGCACCTAAGTCAATACCCGGCTCATCAACGCGCATCCCGCCTGTAATATTGACAAATACATCCGAATCACCAATGTCAAGCCCAATCCGTTTCTGTAGGACTGCTATCAACAGCGCAATACGCTGGCGATCTACCCCTGCTGCCGTGTTGCGGGGAAAACCAAAGTTTGCAGGAGAAACCAAGGCTTGGAATTCCAGCAGTAACGGACGGGTGCCCTCAATGCTCGATACCACCACTGATCCAGAGGTATTCTCCTGTCGTTCACTGATAAACAACTCTGATGGATTCTTAACCTCGACAAGGCCACGACCTAACATCTCGAAGATCCCGATTTCGTTGGTCGAACCAAATCGGTTCTTCACAGAACGCAGAATGCGGTAGATATGCTGCTTCTCACCCTCAAAATAGAGAACTGTATCAACCATGTGTTCTAAAACACGGGGACCTGCCAGAGAACCCTCTTTAGTTACGTGTCCAACGAGGATGATTGGGATATTTTTACTTTTTGCGATAACCGATAATTGCGCTGCGCTCTCACGAACCTGTGCTACGCTGCCCGGGGCAGATTGTAATCCGGGGAGGTAGACTGCTTGAATCGAATCTATAACGACCATACGGGGATTGAGCTGTGTGATATGTGATTCGATCTGCTCCAAGTTATTTTCGCACAGAACGTACAGCAGATCAGAGGTGACGCCGAGCCGGTTTGCCCGCAGCTTTGTTTGGGCAACTGACTCCTCGCCTGACACATACAGCACTCCCCCATAAGCACGGCTCAACGCATCGCTCACCTGTAACAGTATCGTCGATTTACCAATTCCCGGATCGCCACCGATCAGCACCACAGACCCCGGCACAATCCCGCCACCAAGGACTCGGTCAAATTCATCAATCCCTGTGAGTTGCCGGTCTGATTCACTTGCACTAATCCGCGTAATAGGCGCAGGATCGCTCGCAGGCTGCGCTGCGAGTCGGGGATGCATAGAAGCTGCTACCTCGATCTCCTCAACGAAAGTGTTCCACTTATCACACTCCGGACAGCGACCAAGCCATCTGATAGAGGAGTGACCACATTCCTGACAAGCAAACTGTCGACTTTCTTTTGCCATTTTAGGTATTCGTCCCAGTGTCTAAGCCAGTTTACCAGTTTTTCGACAAGAACCGAAGTCCTGCTGTATAGCGGATATTACCCGATGTCAGATCTTCCGCGCCGATAATAATCTGTCCGTACGGAAAAAACCGCCACGCCACCTCCGCACCAAGTTCTGGACTGTTGCTAGTCAGGTGTGTGCCCTCTAAGGTAATACCAAGTCTCCGGGAGAGCAGCCACACATCAAATCCCAAGCCAACTTTTGAGCGTATGAACCCAACACGACCTCGCAGATTGTCTGTGAAGTCATAACCGTATTGGAAGTCTAGCTTTATCTCCTCTTCACGAGTCCCCAGACCGAGTCGGTACCACTGGTTATCCGAGGCAAATAGCAACACGCCTAATTCATTGTGTAGACTCTCTTCAAGGCTTAAATACCTGAGTTCGTAATCCCAACCGAATTCAGGTATCTTGAATTGCTCCGAACCCTGATCTAACCTCCGAGATAGGTCCTGAAGTGCGAGCATTGTCTCGTCTGCGGTTTTCATCGTATTTCGTACTTCATTGAGCGCGTCCGGTTTATTCAACAACTGAGCAATGCTGCCTTCCCCATGCTGCACGGTATGAAGCAATTGATCCACATTATCGCGCAGCCCATCCACTCCTTGAGTTGCATTGGTGAGGCTTTCGAGCAGCTGGTCAACTTTGGGCTTTTCAGTTGCAATAACCGCTTGGCTTTGTGCAATCAGATCCGAAACCCCAGCAGTCAATTCGGCGAGATCTTGATCTAACTGCTGAGACAATTGGCGAAAATTCGTAGCACTTGTTTGTAAGTCAACGATTATTTGTTCCACAGGGGAGGAGTTGCGATCTACCAAATCAAGTACCGCTCTATTAATATCGCCGATCTGACTGCTGATTAGTAAAGCATCGTTCTCTAACCTATCCATCAGACGGTTGAACCGTTTATAGGTTTGCCCCAAGCGGAAATCGTTCTCCTGTGCGATACGATTCAGATTTTTTACAGCTTCATCGGTAACTCCAACTACCTCCGTTAAAGCGCGGCTGGTTTGCTCAATGAGTGCCCGCATTTCCACAATGCTCGCGCTAACGTTCTCTTGATTCGATTTTATAAACTGATTTGCAGACTCAAGAAATTGAGTGCCTTCGCGAACAATGTGTCCTGCTTGTGTAGCGATCTCCGAAAGGTCAAGCGGATCTTCCCCCGTCAGTGGCAGGTCTGTCGGCTTTAAATTCGGACTCCCAACGGGACCATTGGTCAAATGAATATACGCTTCGCCAACAAAACCGATGACCCCCACTTTTACCAGACAACCTTGGCGGAGTCTTTGAAAAGCGTCCTTGATCCGCATCTGAATCTCAACGCGAGTTCCATCCTCGTTGAGTTCAACACCCGTGACTTTGCCGACCTGTACACCGGCGAGTTGAACCTTCGCACCAACGCGGAGATCGCCAGCATTATTAAGGTTGACTCGTAACAACTCGCCACTTACGCTCCAAGGGGAGTTAGCGGCATTCACTATCAAAACCACAAGGAGAACAATACCAATGATGACAACAAGCCCTACCTTGAGCTGCACACTCCACGACCCCATCAATCACCTCGCCTGTAATTGTCAATTCTGATGATGGTTTTCATTCGCAATAAATTGCTGTAAAACCGGGTTATCAATCTTCCAAATTTCATCTGGGGTTCCGTGAGCAATTACCTGACCTTGGTGTATCATTGCCATCCTTGTACCGACTGAGAACGCACTCGCCATATCGTGCGTAACAACAACAGAAGTCACTTGTAGCTTCTCATGCAGATCTCGTATGAGTCGATTGATTTCTAAGGCTGTAATCGGATCCAATCCTGTCGTCGGTTCATCGTATAGTATCACTTCTGGATTGCACGCAATAGCGCGGGCGAGTCCGACTCGCTTGCGCATACCCCCACTGAGCTCTGCCGGCCTCAGGTGCTCGGTGCCATCAAGCTGGACTAAATGTAGCTTTTCGGCAACAATTTCGTCAACTTCACGTTTACTGAGTTTCATGTGCTGGGAAACCATAAACCCGACGTTCTCCCCAACAGTCATCGAGTCAAAAAGGGCAGCTGATTGGAAAAGCATGCCGAGTTTTCGGCGGGTACGGTTCATGGCTTTGCGTGTAAGCGTGGTGACATCTTCGCCATCAATCCAGATTTGCCCTTGGTCTGGCTGCATTAACCCTGTAATCATTTTGAGCAGAACACTTTTCCCACACCCACTCTGCCCCATAACGACCAATGTCTCACCACGAGGGATGTAAAGCTCAAGCCCGGTGAGAACCTCTTTATTTTCAAAGTTTTTCCAAAGATCTTCAATCCAAATCATTTCACTTACGGCAGAGTTACGGCACAGTTAGGTGACGAGGATAACGCTGATAAACCTCGTCCCTTATTTCGCTCCGCCGGCTATTGCAACCCCCAAATTGCGTGAAGCACATGGTTCAAAAATGCATCCAGAGCCAAAATGGTAACCAACGAAGTTACCGCTGAACCTGTTGTGGATTTGCCAACCCCTTCGGCACCACCCGCTGCAGAGATTGTAAACCCTTTATGGCAACCTATCGAAGCAATCGCCATCCCAAACGCTGACGCTTTAACAAGACTGATAACAATACTGTCGATAAACAAATTTTCTTGGGCTAGTTTAAGAAAAAAACGACCATTCATATCAAACAGGACAATGGCTGCGAGATAGCCACCAGCAATGCCAAAAACAATCGCAAAAAGAGTCAGAATCGGCAGCATGATTGCACAGGCGAGAAAACGGGGAACGACGAGGTATTTGACCGGATTAGTTGCCATGACCTCAAGGGCATCTATCTGTTCGGTCACTTTCATAGTACCTAGTTCCGCCGTAATCGATGCACCGATCCGCCCGGCAAGGACAAAAGCGGTGACCATCGGTCCAAGCTCTTTGACGACAGACACACTGACAAACTTACCCAGTGTGTTTTCTGCTGAAAGCTGGACAAGCTGATGGTATCCCTGTGTCGCCAATACCATGCCGGTAAAAAGTCCGGAGATCAGTACAACCGATATCGAATTGACGCCAATCAAAAACAACTGGTGAACCAGCAGGCTAAGTTGAAAAGGACGCCTAAAGGCTAACGACCAAGTCTCCCAAACCAGCATGGCTGCACTCCCAATCCCAGATATCCAGTTTAGGGCTCGACCACCCAAAAAATCGATAGCGCGGACTAAAAAGCTACGCGAATCATATAGGGACTGACGTTGGATAGAGGATTGGTCATTCATAGAGACACGCGGGATAAAGGTTACAAGGAAAGCCTAAGAAATGCCTACGTATAAGGATCCTATCCCCCTACTAATAGGACATGTTGGCAAACCGCATCTGTGCTTTATTGAATTCTAATCTGACTGTACCTGTGGGCCCATTACGTTGCTTTTTGATAATCAGATCAGCAGTTCCTTGGTCATCCGCAGCTTCATCGTAATAATCTTCTCTATATAAGAAAGCGACTAAATCGGCGTCCTGCTCAATAGCTCCAGATTCCCGTAAATCGGATAATAGCGGACGTTTATCCGGGCGTTTCTCAACCTCACGGCTCAGTTGGGAACACGCGATAATCGGTGTATCCAGTTCCCAAGCGAGGGTCTTGAGCGCACGTGAAATATCAGAAATCTCTTCTACCCGTCCAGAATATCGACCTGAACCACTCAGCAGCTGCAAATAATCAACGATAATTACCGCGAGATCGTTGTGTTCGCCTTTCAAACGGCGACCCTCTGCACGCAACGTCTGTACAGTCACTCCTCTTCTATCATTAATAAAAAATTGGCACGGACATTAAGCTACTGACCGCCTGCGTCAAGCCTGTCCAATCCTCGCCTGTCAAGTTGCCGGTACGAAGGTGACCAAAGTTAATCTGGGCTTCAGCAGCCAACATCCGCAATAGCACTTGCTGCGTGGGCATCTCAAGGCTGAATATCGCAACCGGTAGTTCCTGCTCAATAGCAATATTCTGAGCCATATTCAGTACTAACGTACTTTTGCCCATGCTGGGCCGCGCCGCAATAATAATCAGATCACCGCGCTGTAACCCCGAAGTCATTAAATCAAAATCGGTAAAGCCCGTCGGTATACCGGCATATTGGTCCTGTTTGTGGAAGAGCTGCTCGATCCCTGCCAAAGTTTCCTTGACAATCGAACCAATCGATACAAATCCTTGGTCATTATCCGCTTGACCAAGACGAAAGACCCCTTCCTGGGCTTGATCTAGAACATCCCGAAAGTTCCTGATCCTGGTCACGCGCCAGATTGCTGATCTGCTCTCCCGTCTGCACCAACTGCCGGCGTGTCGATTTCTCTCGAACAATCTGTGCATAAAACTCGGTGCTTTCCGTTTCGACAACCCGGGCTTGTAAATCGTAAAGATACAGATCGCCACCCGCTCGATTGAGTTCGTTTTTTCTTTCAAGCTCATCCGACACAAGGAGCGGATCCACCTTGTTATGACGCTCATAAACCGCAAGAATCGCCGTACAAATGAGCTGATGATCCGTAGTAAAAAAAATCTCCGAAGTATAACCGAGGATAGCAATCACGCGGGGAATCACTGCGCTATCTACCATCATTGCCCCAAGCACAGCCTGCTCCGCTTCCCTGTCGTGAAGGGGTTCCGTAGTTTTGGTATTCATCGCTCAACCCCAGAGTTTATGACTGGTGGAGTATGTTCGTCAAGGGGACTCTTCACGAACAACAACAATCTGAATATCTGCGGTAACGTCAGCGTGAAAGCGTATGGGAACCATGAAAACACCTAGTTCTCTAATCGGTTCACCGAGTTCAATATTCCGCCGATCCACTTCAATATCCTGGCTCGCGAGTGCATCTGCAATATCCATCGAGGTAATAGATCCAAAAAGCCGATCGTTTTCCCCGGCGCGCCTTTGGATTGTACAAGTTACTTCTGCGATACGGCTTGCGAGTTCTTCAGCCCTTACCTTCGCTTCTTCACCTTGGGCTGCTATCAATCTACGCTCATGTTCAAGCAGCCGCCGGTTTTTCTCTGTTGCTCGAACTGCAAGCTGCATGGGGATGAGGTAGTTACGTGCATAACCATTGGCAACTGTTAAAATGTCCCCCTCACCTCCAAGCGTTTCAACTCTTTTTTTGAGAATAACTTCCATAAAATGCCTCTCAATTTTTATGACTAAGCATATTTACAATATGAGTCGGAAAACTATCACGCGTAGCCTCTCACCCATCATAATCTACTATTGTGTTGTAAAAGGCACTAAGGCAATGTTGCGCGCACGTTTGATGGCTCGTGTTACCTCCCTTTGATGCTTCGCACAGTTTCCCGAAACCCGTCGCGGCAGAATTTTACCGCGGTCCGTCATAAAATTTCTGAGTATTTCAATACTCTTATAATCAATGAAATCTACCTTTTCCATGCAAAATCGACACCGTTTACGACGGCCCCTTCGATAGGAAGTTTCACGGCCATCTCCTAAGCTGTCACGGGTATCCCTTGTGTCACTACGTCTGTCACCACGTTGTTCCCTTGCCACAATTTCAGTCCTCCAATTCGTAATACAGAAGAAAAGCGGGCATTGACCGCGCCCGCTTTTCGTTCCTAATGTTCGTTAAGTTCATGTAGCGGTTAATCTTAGAAAGGAATGTCGTCGTCAGTCGTAGACGGTCCCTCTTCCCCTGAAGATTGGGTTGATGAGGGGGCGGCTGCGGGGGACGCTTGATCGTAAGCACCACCACCGTCACCATCGCCATCACCATCTTGACGACCACCTACAAACTCAAATCGATCGACAAAAACGCTATGCTTACTTCGTCTTTGACCATCATCGGTTTCCCATGTTTGCAATCTCAAGCGACCTTCAACCAATATGGGACGACCTTTTTGAAAGTATTCGTTGATGATTTCAGCCGTTCTACCAAAAGTCTCAAGATCCACGAAACAAACTTCCTCTTTTTTTTCTCCAGATTGACGGTCTGTATACGTTCGATTCACAGCCAATCCCGCATTAGCAACTGCTGTTCCACTTGGAAGATATTTCAATTCTGGATCGCGGGTAAGGTTTCCCATGAGTATAACCTTGTTGTAGCTTGCCATGATTATTGTCTCCTTATGCTTTGGCTGATGCTATACTCCATTAGCCATATCAATAGCATTAAAAATATTTATCCTCATCTTCTCTAAAAGAACGAGTACCTGTCGATCTGCTTCTTTCTTCCTGTGCTGCCGACGGATGGCTCGGAGCAGGTGCGGTTAGATCCCCCTCAAATTGTACAACGATATGCTTGATGATCCGTTCCGTAATTCGATAGTGACCATTCAGTTGAGTTGCAAACTCAGGGCTACTTTCAAACACAATCAACACATAATAGCCATCATTGTGCTGCTTAATTGCATAAGCGAGCCTTTTCTTCCCCCATGGATCTACCTTTAGAACCTTACCTCCACCAGATCCAATAGCCGTCTTGACGCCTTCAATAACGTCGTTTGTTTGGCTTTCATCTAGATCTGGATTAATAATAAAAATAGTTTCGTATTGACTCAATGGTTTCGTACCTCCCTTTGGACGAATGGCTCCAATCTAAATTTTGACTGATATTTACTCGCAGAGAAAAAATCTCCTGCATCTCCCTCATAATAACAATACCAAAATTCATAATCAGTCAATTATGGAGCAGAGATTGGCTACATTATATCATAATTCGCTTGCTTTATCAACCGTTTTTAGTTGGACATAGAAATATGTAACAAAGTCTCTCGTGGAGCAAGATTCAGCCGAGACAAATGCGAAAATGGTAGCTGATTCTGGATGAATCCGAGTACAAGCAGATTCCTGTGGACAACATCGAACGGGTTAGCTATAATTTGTGTGGCTGCGACGGTATAGATTTGCCTACCATCTTTAGTTGAAAGGAGTAGTGACAATGTTATCCAAAACCTACTACTGTCTTGGTGTTGGGATTTTGTTCATTATCGCGACCGGTTGCCAAACCCAAACGTTACAAAGCTCGATCTTTGAACCGCCCCCAGAACTAAACAATTTCGCGCTTCTCAGTAAGGGCGCAGCCGCTGAAGCCTCACAACACTTCCCCAATCATCTACCCGAAGAAGTGATTGATGGCGACACCTCTTCGGAAACGTGGGATGAAGGCAGTGGTTGGGGGTGTACTTTGGAACATCTACGCACTTCAGATCTAAATAGACGACCGTATGTGCGAATCAATCTGCCCGAACCTATTGACATCCGGCGAATTGTCATGTACACAATCGATTCCGAGCAGTATCCTGCCATAAAGTACGGCATCAAAGACTACCGGATTGAATATTGGCACGGAACAGGCTGGGGATTGATTCCAACAGGTGATACGAAAGACCGACAGTACACAGCAAGGGATAACACCAAAGGGAAACGAGTGCACGAGGTTCGTGGCAAGCTGTTTGCCCAACACATCCGCCTTGTACCTGTGTCAACAAATGATACAGAGCGGATTTATCAGTATATGTCGCGGGAAAAACCTGTTTACGAAGTCAAAGGGCTTGCGCGAGTCATGGAATTGGAAGTGTGGGGATACCCAATAACAACAGGTCAAACGGCGCAGAAGTTGGCTCAAGCACTCGCCCCACAGGCAGATGTGCCGCCGAGCGACGAGGAGTTGATAAAGATGGTGTTAAAGCGATATGAGGAGGGATACGACAACGCCAATCTTGAGAAGGTCATGTCTTGCTTCTCAGCAAACTACAATTCCAGTGGGACGGACATATAATGATATTCAAGCCAGAGCGGCTGATTTTTTTGAAATGCACCATCAGATCAACATGACACTAACAGGGATCAACATCCACCGGAATGTAATCGATGATACCATCGTTGTCAACGGAATCTACACACTCCAGTATACACCGAAAGACAATGGAAAAACCGAACAGACTTCTGGTGCCCTTTCGTTGGTCTTAGCAGACACGGAGGAGGGATGGAAAATCATCCGCGCTAACTAGCCAGTGCGGAAACTTTCCCAATTCGTTACCGATTGGAGCCTTCATCGTTCCGGTAGGGTGCAAGAACATCATCAACCAACAGGGTTCTAGGAAACCACGAGACAACTTTGCACAGCACCTCATCAAGCAAAGCATCAGGACAAGAAGCCCCCGCGGTCAGGATAATATCAACGGGACCGTCATCAGTAGAGTGCATCGGCAGCCAATCGGTCGTTTCGCACACAGTTTTTGCGTGAATGTCCCAGTGACGGATGGACCGAGGCGATTCGGTCTCCCCGGCGTCGCGGACGAAGTACGTCGGCATTTTAGTCTCACACAACTCTACAAGGTGGCTGGTGTTGGAGGAATTGTATCCACCCACCACCAAGGCTAAGTCGCCACGGTCTTCGATGAGAGCGAGCGTCGCGTCCTGATTCTCTTTGGTCGCGTAGCACAGCGTATCCTTAGTATCGGCAAAATGTTCGTCAACACGTTCCGCACCGTATCGGTCTACCATCGCCCGCCGAAGTAGGTCTGCAATCGCCTGTGTTTCGGTCGCTAGCATCGTCGTTTGGTTGACAACACCGATACGTTTCAGGTCACGGTCTGGCTCAAAGCCGGGGGAGTAGCTATCCGCAAAATATTCAAAGAAAAACTCTCGGTCAGCTTCCCCGCATATCACTTTAGCAAGGTTCTTCGCTTCAACCAGATTCAGTACAACCACTACGGGTGCTCCCGATTTCGCATGGGAAAATGTCGCTCGCGTTTCTTCGTGGTATCGCTTGCCGTGCACTACGATTGTGTAATTTTGCTTGCCAATCTCCTCACTTTTCTTCCACACCTTTTCCACAAAAGGACAGGTCGTGTTGTAAGCGTAAGGATTGATGCCACGCTCATTCAGTTTAGACTGTATTTCCAGCGTCGTTCCAAAGGCAGGCACAATAACCACATCCGCGGGCATCAATTCATCGAAAGGGATTAATTGCTTGCCCGACGTTTCGCAGAGAAACCGCACACCCCGCTCACGGAGATCTGTGTTGACGTGAGGATTGTGAATCATCTCAGACAGTAGGAAGATCCGTTTATCCGGATTCTCCTCCAGCGCCCGGTAGGCAATTTCGATTGCGTTCTCCACCCCATAGCAGAACCCAAAGTGACGCGCAATCTTGAAACGCACCGGACCAAAGTCCAAGACAGAAGGGGTAAGGTCACGTTTGCGAGGATCGGTCACCCGGCGGGCTTGCTTCACCACAGAAATGATGGGGCTTCGGTAGAAAAGGGGAACGTTAAACTCTCTTGGCATTGATCACCGTTTCCACGGTTGGCTACTTAGGTAGAGCCTTCCACCTGCGGGGTACATCTATTTTGGCTGGATCTTCAAAAAATTCAGGAGGGAAGGTACGTTTTATTGACTCGTCAGACTCCATAACAGCAGATGGGGTAGATTCTATAATAGTATGAGTCCATCCATTATCCCTCTCCTAGTATCAATAATGTAGCTTCCTTCCAAACCCATCGCTCTCTCAAGAGATTTGCGTGATAACAATCCCTCGCCTTTGAGAGAATAGACATCAGCGAGCAAGTAGTGTGCCTCGACGAAGCGAGGGGCAATCTGGACCGCCTTTTTGAATTCTACAATAGCTTTGTCGAGTTTACCCTGCTCCAAGTAGGAAGCCCCAAGATCCTTATATACTTCCGCAGAGTCCAGTTTGAAGGCAACCGCTTCCTTATGCTTCTCTATATTATTACCACCTGTGCGAAGATTACAGGCAGACAGAAAACAACAACCCCCAACCAAAAAAGCAACAAATAACGTTTTCATTTCGTCGCCTCCCCTTCACTCACTAAAGACCTTCGTAATCTCGTCCGTCTCAAAAATAGGGAGTGGACAACGTTGGCTATCCACCTCAAGCCAGCAACCGCTCTCCGGCGGTAGCAACTGGCCGATAATTTGACAGGGGATATTGCGTTCAGTAATCGCCGACACGATCTCGTTGCTTTTCGTGGGGTCCGCCGCAATCAGCAACGCACCAGAGGAGATAACTCCTAGCGGATTCAGATTCAACTCATGACAAAGTCGCGCTGTCTCATCCGATATGAGTAGCGCATCTTGCCAGACAACCACCCCCAAGTTCGCAGCATGTGCAAGCTCGTGGATGGCTGTCGCGACGCCGCCTTCCGTTGGATCGTGCATTGCGTGGACACCACCCGTTTCAACAGCAATCAGTGCCTCTTCCAGCACTGAAATTCCCGGTGAGGTCAAATACTGTTTTGCTCGATTCAGAAAAGTGGGAGAAAACTTCGCCAATAGATCGGCTTCACACTCGCGGGCGATGATTGACGTGGCTTCAATGCCAAGCCCTTTCGTCAATATTAGATCATCCCCCGCTTGCGCCCCCGATGAAACGATTAGCTTGTCCTTCCCGACTTCGCCGAGCATTTGCCCAATGACAATTGGTCGGTCTAAACCGTAAGTAATTTCAGTATGTCCGCCGCACAGTGTAATGCCAAAATGATTACACGCAGTGTTAATCTGTTCCATGATACGGCGCACCGATGCTTCGGTCGTCCGGTTTTCCGGTAGAAGAATCGTCGTCAACAACCACTTTGGAACCGCCCCCATGGTTGCAATATCGTTGCTGTTGACGCAGATAAGATACCAGCCAATCTCATCGGTTGCAAAGGTAATCGGATCCGTTTTAGCAACCAGATACGATTCGCCAAAGTCTATTACAGCAGCGTCCTCCCCAATTTTCGGTCCAACAATGACGCGAGTGTCCCGATCCGGTTGAGGTAAAAGCTGCTCCAACAGATCAATCTTGAGTTTTCCGAGGGGCAACATCATTGGCGTGAATCCTGTTAAGCGGTGAGGACTTTTCGACCTCTCGCACGACGTTGAGAGAGAATCTTCTGGCCATCCCGCGTAGACATCCGTTTACGAAAGCCAAACTTATTTTTTCGTTTGCGACGGTGAGGTTGATATGTACGCTTCATCAGTACCTACTCCTAACTAATTTTAATTTTTCAAACAATCAACTCAAAACGAAGGGATGATAGTCTATCAGGTTAGGATTTGTCAAGCCTTTTTCCCACCGATAGATAGGATTTTGGCTTGATTTTACACCATGTTTCATGATATACTAAAGCAAATTTACTTAAGGACAGAAACTAAATCTAATCCCCACCGAACAATGGCTGACAGCCCCCGGTAATCCTCGCCTTTCTGTAGGTGAAGAATTTGTGGATAACCTGTGGATAACCTGTGGATAACTTGTGATTAGAGCAAATAATTTTCGTCCTTCGCGCGTTGTCAATTTTGTAGTAACGATCTTTTTCCTCATTTCGGTTTCCAGTTGTTTAGCAAGCAAATCAGTTAGGAAACCCAACCTTTTTACATCAATAGTTTATTGCTATATCGCTTGAATTTCCCTGAAGGAACCCTCCAATTATAGGAATTAATATAATGCGGTATACCCCGGATCAAATCTGGTTGAAAATTCTGTCTGAGTTAGGCGACACCATTCGAGAAGATGTTTACCTGCGTCAAGCCAAACCAATGGCTCTCACAGAAAGTGAACTGACAGTTTCAGTTCCGAGTGTGTATACACACGAGCAAATTGCAAGCCGTTTTCTTCCTGATATCAACGGTCTCCTAGAGAAACAGATTGGCGCAAACTGTCGGCTCAAAATCATTGCTGCACAGCCCGATGGAAAAAGGCACCCTGAACCTTCGGTCTCATCTACCCCTGCTACTGAACCTGATGATGATGCCCCCTCGACCGATACAACCCTTAACCCCGAATATACTTTCGATCGGTTCGTTGTAGGAACAGGCAATCGTTTGAGTCATGCGGCATCACTTGCTGTGTCAGAAAATCCCGGGAAGATTTACAACCCGCTTTTCATCTATGGCGGTGTGGGATTGGGTAAGACCCACCTTCTGCACGCAATCGGCAACCGGATCCAAGAGGTTCATTCCAAGCAGAAAGTACTCTATATCTCTTCTGAGACCTTTATGAATGAATATATTGACTCTATCATCACTCGCACAACCGCCTTCGATTTCCGAAGCAAATATCGGACGGTCGATGTGCTCCTTATTGATGATATTCAATTTTTACAACGTAAGGAGGGGACTCAGGAAGAATTTTTCCATACTTTTAATGAACTTCACCAAAATTCAAACCATATTGTGATGACAAGCGACCGCCCACCGAAAAACCTTGAAACCGTTGAAGAACGCTTACGCTCCCGTTTTGAGTGGGGAATGGTTGCAGACATCAGTCCACCACAATTTGAAACAAGGATCGCTATCCTTCGCCAGAAATGTGAAGACCAAAATTTGGAAAATGTTCCCGACTCCGTTTTAAGCTACATTGCCGAAGCGATTCAAACAAACATTCGGGACCTAGAGGGATCACTCATTAGGGTTGCCGCAGAAGCAAGTCTTTTTAATGAGGAATTGACAGTCGATTTTGCTCGTAATGTGTTAAACAACGTCGCCACACCGGCACCCCGAATTAACTCTAAAGCTATCACGGCAGAAGATATTCAAAAAGTGGTAGCGGGCTATTTTCGCCTCAAAATCAGTGACCTCAAATCCTCTACACGTACAAAAGCAATTGTTGTTCCCCGACAAATTGCCATGTATCTTTGCCGCCAACTAACCAACCTTTCCCTGATGGAAATCGCAGATGCTTTCGGCAGGCAAGATCACACGACCATTTTACACGCTAATAACCGAATTGAAGAAAGTATCCGAGCAGACGCGGAACTGTACCAAACAATTAACTTTTTAATCGAAGATATTCAATAATGGAAACATATTCTTCAAATTGTTAATGTGGATAACCTGTGGATAAACCTGTGGATAACTTGTGGATAACTTGTGGATAGATGTGGATAACTTTGGGCCTGTGGATAACTTGTGGATAACTTTAAAAGTTATCCACAATTCGTCCACAGGCTTCCGACCAGTCGTGGCGCGGGTTTAAGGGAGTTATCCACATATCCACATCCCCTACTACTACTATTAATTATATATATATTAATAAGATAAAGAGTAGATAAGATATATGTGACCATATTTGTCAGAAAGTATTTATGAAGATTTAACTTAGAAAACATAATTTTCTTAGGAGAAAGATGATGCAATTGATTTTCACAAAAGAAGATCTGTTTAGATGTATTCAAGTATTACAAAGTGTAGCTGCTGGTAGGAATACCCTTCCAATATTATCGAATGTCCTGATTCGTGCAACGAACGGACAAATCGAAATTGCAGCAACCGATCTTGAAGTTAGCATTCAGACCGTTGTCCCCGGTACTATCGTTGACGAAGGTGCCATTACCGTATCAGCAAGAAAGCTGTCTGAAATTGTACGTGAGTTGCCAGACCAAGAAATAAGGCTTTCAACAACGGCAAACGATCGAATCGAAATTACCTGTGGAGAAGGCGTTTATAAAATTATCGGACTTCCTGATGATGAGTTTCCTGCGCTTCCCTCAATTAGCGGAGCGTTTTTTACAATTGATGGTGAATTGCTCTGTTCGATGATTGATAAAACCGAGTTTTCTGCTTCCACTGAGGAAACGCGATACTTCTTGAATGGACTTTATTTTGATCTGACACCCGAAATAACTCAGATTGTTGCAACTGACGGACGACGCCTTGCTGTCGCATCTAGTGATGCACTGATACCGCCACCTCAAGAACCGATAGGAATTATCGTTCCACTCAAAGCGGTCCGGGAGATTACCAAAACCTTTGCAGAATCAGCGGAGGTTAAAGTCTGCTTGTTAGAAAACCAGATTGTTTTCGCTGATGATGATTCCACTTTGACCTCTCGATTGGTTGAGGGAGAATATCCCAAGTACCAACAGATTATCCCCAGTGATAACGAGGTTCACCTGACACTTAATGTCGATAAGATGCTGGGTGGGTTGAGGCGAGTGGCACTGTTATCCAATCCGAAAACCTACTCAATTCGTTTGGATGTTCAGGACGGTAAAGTGAGAATCTCTGCTAAGGCACCCGAGCTGGGAGAGGCGTATGAAACGGTAGATGTCGAAAGTGGTGATGGGGAGATTCAGATCGCTTTTGATGCGCGTTTCCTCGTGGAAGCCGTGGGACATATCCAAGCCGAAGATTTCCGTTTGGAACTCAAAGATTCCCTCAGTGCGGCTGTCTTAAAACCTGCTGGCGATGATGGGCATCTCTGCTTAATCATGCCGATGCGGCTTGATTCATAACAGTTTCCAAATCTAAAGAATAGAGTTCTTTCACTGAACAGGCTCTTCGCGCACACTAAAAGTGCCTTACGACAATGCGACTAAACCAACTTTTGTTGCGTAATTTTCGTAGTTATGCTGATTGTGAAGTTGAATTCACCGATCGAGTGAACTTGATTGTTGGAGAAAACGCGCAGGGGAAAACAACACTACTAGAAGCAATCTATTTCCTCAGCACGGCGAAATCACACCGCACCTATCCTGATAATGAATTGATACGGCACCACGAAAGTTGGTTTTACCTCAAAGGGAAGATTGCCGCTACAGATGGTTCGCCTCCGAATCCAGAACCTCACGATCTGCAGCCATTAAACTTGATGACGGTTGAAGCCTCGAACGAGTTGAGTGGTAAGAAGCGTTTCAAGTTCAATGGGATTATTCAGAAAAAACTTTCTCAGTGGATAGGTCAGTTCAACGTTGTTTTTTTCTCCCCTGAATCACTCACTTTGGTCAAAGGTTCGCCGGCAGACCGTCGGCGTTTTATCGATCTTCTGATTTCCCAAATCAATTCGGCGTACTTGAATTCTCTCCAAAACTACCAATTTGCGCTCAAGCAGCGCAACGAGTTGCTAAAACAAATTCGATCGAAACAGGCTAGCCCTGACTTCCTCGATCCGTGGGATGATATACTCACTGCTGAAGGAATCTCTATCATCCGAACACGCGTGAGAATCTTTGACCAATTAAAGACTTACGTTCAAGCCAAGCACGCTGAATTAACCGGAAATCGTGAAATACTCGAATTGAAATACCAACCTTCTCCTGAAAAGATTGATGGTGCGATGGAGCAAGAGGCGACAGAACTATTTCGCCGGGGGCTACAATCTTCCCGATCTTACGATATTCTGCGTGGTATGACTTCGGTGGGACCACACCGGGACGATTTCAAATTAATATTGGAAGCACAGTCCGCCGGAGCGATGTACTTTCAGGAAGCAAAAGCCTTTGGATCGCAGGGGCAACAACGAACAATTGCCTTAGCTCTCAAACTTGGGGAATTGGAATTAATACGTGAAACCACAGGCAAAACTCCTATCGTTCTATTGGATGACGTTTTCTCAGAGTTGGATGAGGAGCGTTCGTCCTTTTTATTTAGCTTGCTAGGACGATTGAATGCGCAAACATTTATCACTTCAACGCGGCAGGAGGCATGGGTGCCAGAGCTAGGTGATTGCCGCGTGTTTACGGTGCATGATGGACAAGTCAACTGAGAAAACAGAACGCATCGATCTACTTCTTGATGGACTTATTCGTGATTATGGATTGGATCACAAAGTTCTTGAAGTAAAAGTCTTTGCCGCTTGGAAGGAAGTTGTCGGTGCGTTGATTGCTCGCAACACCCAACCGATTTCACTGGTTAACGGTAAACTAACCGTTTATGCATCCGCTCATGTCTGGGTCAACGAACTTCAGATGTTGAGAGGGCAAATAATTCCCAAAATCAATAAAGCCGTCAATTTTCTTGCGGTGAAAACCTTAGAATCTTCTGTTAAACCGATTCACTCGTCAAAGTCTCCCAAAAGTCAACGTTTTCACCGTCCCAAACGTCTAAAGTTAGAGACTGCTGAATTAGATACGGAGACATTAAAACGCATTGATCAGACCGTTGCATCGGTCGAAGATCCGGATTTAAAAGCACGCTTAAAGCGACTTTTTATCAAACAGAGCCAACGTGCTTTAATTGAAGATAAGTAATAGAAGTTGATGAAAGGAGTAAAGATATATGGGGGAGGCTTCCTCTTACACAGCAAAAAGTATCCAGGTACTTAAAGGATTAGAAGCAGTTCGCAAACGTCCTAGTATGTACATCGGTAGCACCGGACCCACAGGGCTACACCACCTGATCAAAGAGTTAGTCGATAATTCAATTGACGAGATTACTGCCGGCTTCGGTTCCGTGGTTGAAATTATCCTCCACGCCGATGGCAGCGCAACTGTGAGTGATCAAGGGCGTGGGATTCCAGTCGGTAGACATGCAAGCGGCGTTTCTGCGTTACAGGTTGTGATGACGACATTGCATGCCGGCGGAAAATTCGACGGACGCGCAAGTTCAGGATATAAAACAGCTGGCGGTTTGCACGGTGTTGGTGCCTCTATTGTGAATGCCCTATCAGAATGGATCCATGTCCAAGTTAGGCAAAATGGGAAGGTACATCAGCAAAAGTATGCGCGCGGTATACCTTTGACAAAAGTTGAAGTTGTCGGCGTGAGCGAAAAAACAGGTACAACGACAACCTTCATGCCAGATTCAGAAGTCTTTGAAACCATTTACTTCTCACATGATGTCTTAGCAGAACGCCTCCGCGAATTTGCATTTCTCAATCGTGGTATTAAGATTGTTTTCAAAGACGAGCGACGCACTGAAGACGGTAAGGAGAGGGAAACTCGTGTGTTTCAGTATGCGGGCGGTATTTCGTCATTTGTCCAATATCATAACCAAAACAAAGAGGTTCTCCACAAAGATCCCATTTACATAGAGGGGATCAGAGATGATGTTACGGTCGAAATTGCGCTGCAATTCAATACCGGTTATTCCGAAAATCTCTTTTCCTACGCCAATAATGTCCGCACCCCCGAAGGTGGATTTCATGAGAGCGGTTTCAAAAGCGCATTTACACGGACTTTCAACGCTTATGCGAGGTCTTATGACCTCCTAAAGAACACAAAGATTACTTTGTCAGGCGAGGATATTCGTGAAGGAATGACCGCTGTCATTAGTGTGAAGGTGCCTGAACCACAGTTTGAAGGACAGACAAAACAAAAATTGGGGAATACTGAGGTTGAGGGGATTGTGCAAGCGCTCGTCAATGAAAAGTTAAAAGCCTATCTCGAAGAAAACCCAAACATTGCCAAAAAGGTCATCCAAAAGAGTATTCAAGCCGCGCAAGCACGGGACGCTGCTCGAAGGGCACGGGAAGTCATCCGCCGGAAGGGGATATTGGATTCCGCATCAATGCCCGGCAAACTTGCCGATTGTTCTGAACGCGACCCCGCACTGTGCGAAGCATTTCTCGTTGAAGGCGATTCAGCCGGTGGGACAGCAAAACAAGGACGTGACCGGCGTTTTCAAGCAATATTGCCATTAAAGGGAAAAGGCATCAACGTTGCCAAGGCACGCTTAGATAAGATTCTCAAGAACGATCAGATCATCGACATTGTCACTATGTTGGGAACGGGGATTGGTCAAGAAGATTTTACGCTGGAGAAGTTGCGCTATAACAAGGTGATTATCATGGCTGATGCTGATGTTGATGGCGCACATATTCGCACCTTGCTCTTGACTTTCTTCTTCCGTCAGATGCCCCAATTGGTTCTGGAAGGACATCTGTACATCGCTCAACCACCACTGTATCAAATTCGGAAGGGACGTCGCGCCCGATACCTCCAAAACGACGAACAGATGAATGATTATCTCTTGGAAGCTTCGATGGAAAGCGCGAAACTGACCAACAGCCGGCGTGATAAACCGTACACAGAAAAACAGTTTCGCACAATTCTTGAGACCATCCGAAAAATTGAGAGTTTATTAAGCGAGTTAGGGCGAAAAGAGATTGATACAGATCGTATTTTTGGTCAACGTTTTCGCGATGAAGAGACCGTCCCCTTACTCCTAGTTCAAACGGATGGGGGAAAATTCTACCGTTTTGAGGATGAAGATATCGATCAGCTGATTGAACAGAATACAAATTCTCAGCTGGAGCTTGCAGATCTCGAGGAGACAAGCGAGGTGGTGATTGAAGATGTCTCAGATATGTCCGAAATCCGAGAGTTGGATAAGCTCATTGAAGGGCTAAACAGATATGATATAGTGCCTCACGATTTTGATCGCTCAAATGGGATCGAGAATAGTAACGGTAATTCGACCTTTACCATCCAAGACGGTGACCGGGAGCCTCGAAAATCGAATACCGTATGGGAAATGCTGGGTGCCATTGAGGAGATTGGGCGACGTGGTACCAGTATTACCCGCTACAAAGGGCTTGCGGAGATGAACGCAGATCAGTTGAAAGACACGACCATGAACCGCGAATCTCGAATCCTGCTTCAGGTCAAGATGGAGGATGCTGTCGAGGCAGATCGGATGTTTACCCTGCTCATGGGCGATGATGTTGATCCACGGCGTGTCTTTATCGAAAAATATGGGAGTCAGGTGAATCTCGACCTATATGGGGCGTAATGATGTCAAATGATGTCGTGAATTGGCGTGACAGTGGAATCCGAATTGTCCGCAGCGATCAACTTGATATGAATACGCCGCAGACTCCCGGCATGAACCGTGCCGCTGCCATCAATCGTGCGACCACCGGGGCGAACAAGCTCTGGGCTGGCACGGTGAATATTCAACCGAACGCAAAAACTGGCGCACACCACCATGGAGCGTTGGAGAGCGTGATTTACGTAGTGAATGGACGCGCGCGTATGCGGTGGGGAGAGCAGCTTGAATTTGTCGCAGAGGCGGGTCCTGGCGATTTCATCTATGTACCGCCCTTTGTACCGCACCAAGAAATTAACGCCAGCACGGACGAACCCCTCTCCTGCGTCTTGGTGCGAAGCGGTCAAGAGCCGATTGTTATCAACTTGGACATTGAACCGGTGGAGCCACCGGAGGAAGTCTATTGGGTTGACCCGATCCACCCTGAACCATAAAGGTTCAAAATGACCAGAAAAATGATTAAAATAAAAATTCCTAGACAAACATGGCACAAAGCTTGGAAATTGTTGTTCCAAGAAGGACATGTCACGCGAGTGTCCAAAGATTACGTCTATCTGATTTCGGATCGGCACCTACAAATACTAAAAGAAAAACAACTTCCATTTGAGGAGATAGACACCGTTGTTAGTCCAAGTGAAAAAATACGACATTTACTTGCCTCTCCATTATTGACTTTGAACTTCCGAGTCAACAACCCAATTTTTTGAGGAATACAAAGAGACCTTAAAATCTCAATTTCAGCAAGAAGAGATACTAATCACGGTTCAAGAAATTGGAGTGTTCTAGAACATTCACTTGACGGTAAGCTATACTAAGGAGTAAAGCAGAACGTGCTAACACGAAACGATGAAAATACTAATATTGTCACGCGATATATTGAGGATGAGTTAAGGGAATCCTACCTCACCTACGCGATGAGCGTCAACACCAACCGGGCGATCCCTGACCTAAGGGATGGATTGAAGCCCAGTACGCGACGCCTCCTCTACGCTATGGGAGAGATGAACCTCACGGCAGGTCGTTCCTATGACAAGTGCGCGGCTGTCGTTGGTGAGGTCATGAAGAACTTCCATCCGCATGGCGACGGTCCAATCTACGATACATTGGTTGGACTAGTTCAGGACTTTGCCATGCGTTACCCTTTGGTGGACGGACAGGGAAATTTTGGGTCAATTGACGACGACCCACCGGGGGCAATGCGCTACACAGAATGCCGTTTGATGCGGATCGCGGATGAGATGTTGGCAGACATCCACAAAAATACCGTCGATTTCCAACCGAATTACAAGGAATCCACGACTGAACCGACCGTGCTTCCGGCGCGATTGCCAAACTTGCTAGTCAACGGCACGACCGGTATTGGCGTGGGATACTTGACACGAATTCCGCCGCATAATTTAGGAGAGATCGTTGATGGGTTAATGCATTTTGCTGGAGAACCCAGAAGCAACCCTTGAAGACCTCATGGTGCATATCCCTGGTCCCGACTTCCCAACAGCAGCCGAGATTGTCGGACGCGCCGGTATTCGTGACATATACGCCAATGGCAGAGGCTCAATCACCGTCCGAGGAAAAGCGGTCATTGAGCGAACAAAAGAGGGCAGAGAGCGCATCCTCATCACAGAGATTCCGTACCAAGTTAAGAAAAATCACTTACTTCAGAAGATGTATGATCTTGTCGCCGGTAAGATAATCACAGGAATCTCCGATATCCGCGACGAGTCCGATCACAACATGCGGGTTATTGTTGAACTCAAACGGGGCGAGATTGCACAGGTGATTTTGAACCAGCTATACAAGCATGCGCAGATGCAAACCAACTACAGTGCGATTATGCTATGCCTCGTTGATGGGTTGCCCAAGGTACTGTCTCTGAAGGAGATCATGAGTTACTACCTCGTACATCGTCGAGAGGTCGTTCGCCGTCGGACTCAATACGATCTCGACGTCTGTGAACGACGATCACATATTCTGGAAGGGTACCGCATCGCCTTAAACAACATTGAAGATGTGATCGACATTGTTCAAACCGCGGAATCTCCCGAAGATGCCCGAAACCTATTAATAGAGAATTATGACCTTTCAGAGGTGCAGGCGAGTGAAATCTTAACCATGACGCTTCGCCAATTGACAGGACTGAACGACAGAAAATTAACGACGAGTACGCAAACCTTATCGAACAGATTGAAGAGTTGCGGACAATCCTTGGTAGTGAAATTCTCATTACTAATATTATCAAAGAGGAATTATTAGAGCTAAAAGCCAAATACGCCGGCGAACGACGAACCCAAATCGTTGATGCAGCGACCGAGTTTAATATTGAAGACCTCATCGCTGATGAAGAGATGGTTGTGGCTATTTCCCACGAAGGGTATATCAAGCGGGTGCCAATCACCACCTATCGTCGTCAACATCGAGGCGGGGTTGGGGTGATCGGGATGCAGAGCAAGGAAGGGGATTATCCCGAGCAGGTCTTTATCGCATCAGCCCACCAATATATCCTCTTCTTTACGGATCGGGGCAAATGCTATTGGCTGAAGGTCTTCGAGATTCCCGAACGGGGTCGGACTGCATCGGGGCAAGCAATTGTCAATCTGCTGCGGTTAGAAAACGATGAGAAGATTACCGCATTTGTACCGGTGCGCGAGTTTGATGAAGAACGGTTTGTTTTTATGGCAACAGAGAGAGGTATTGTCAAGAAGTGCAGCCTCGCGGTCTTTAGCAGACCAAATTCTGCCGGAATTATTGCAATCAAACTCGACGAAGGAGACAAACTCATTGGGGCACAATTGACTGAAGGCGATCACAATATTCTCTTGGTCACGCGATCTGGGGGATCCATCCGTTTCAATGAAGAAGAAGTTCGGAAACTGGGGCGGGCCACAATGGGTGTTCGTGGAATCCGTTTGGAGAAAGACGATTTTGTCGTCGGTATGGTCGCTGCGGTTGATGAGGGCGAGACCGTGTTAATCGTGACGGAAAACGGCTATGGCAAACGTACGCTATTGGCGAATTATCGTTTGCAGGGACGTGCCGGAAAAGGCGTGATTGCGATTAAAACAAGCGCCCGCAACGGGCCCGTTGTCGCAATGAAAATGGTGGCGGACAATGACGAACTGATTATTGTAAATTCAAACGGCATGTTAACACGCATGGTGGTCAACGATATCCGCACGATCGGGAGAAATACGCAGGGTGTGCGTTTAATGTCCTTACGGAAAGAGGAGATTGTTGTTGATGTCGGAAAAATCCCCCAAAATGGTGAGGAAGTCCAAAATGATGACGAATCCGAAACTGACGAAAGTTGATAAGCCACCTGTAGAAAGGTCTTAATGTGATACGTTTATCAGCGATATCGCTTGCTATCCTGATAGTGGTGAATTTAAATGCACAACTGAACGCTTCTGACACGGCAGGATCAGAGTCAACGGTGGATAACGGTCGGATCGTTGATAAACCGTTACGTCCCGAATATGAGCGTGCGAAGCGGGTTTATGCCCACTTGATTCCCGCCACCTATCTCCGGGTGACAACTAAACTGTTTCCTGCAAAAAAAGAGTATCAGCAGATTCTACGTGAACATGAAGCTTCAGCCTTTGTCCATACTCAAATGGCGAGCTTGAGCATGGATATATACGACCTCCCAACTGCGGAGCAACACTGCCGTAGAGCCATTGAAATTGATCCCGAAAAGCCAATGCCTTATTACCTGCTGGGGCAGGGTTATGATCTCGCGATACGGAAACGCAAAAGACAAAGATAAATGGGGCGATATTGTTGCGACCTTCCAAAAAGTCGTCGAACTGGATCCCGACCATTACGGATTTGAGAAAAATGGACGTCCTTTCAGTGCGTACCACTACCTTGGGGAAATTTCAGAGCAGATGGGAGACTACCAATCTGCCGCCAACGCTTTCAAAGAACTGATTCGCATCATGCCCTATCAGCCAGCGTTCTATTTACGGTTAGGCAGCCTCTATGACCAGTTGGACAATAAGCAGGAAGCAATCACCGCTTACGAGCGTGCAATCAAAATCAACCGCGACCTATGGCGAGCGCATGATGCACTGTGGAAATTGTGCTTTGAGCATTATTATCAGTTATATCAAGAGGATCAGTTAGAGGCTGCAGCAGAAAATCTCCGGAAAGCAGTTCACTCTTATTCTGAACTGCGACGACTTGCCCCACCCGCTAACCACGAACACGACAATGATTTGCTAGCACAGTTTCGTGCACGTCTTGGGAGGCTTTACGTCGTCCTCCAACGGGAAAACGAGGCAATTGAAGTTTTAGAAAAATCGTTAGAAACAACACCCGATAACCCCGATACAAACTACTGGCTTGGAATTGCTTACCAAGAGATTGGAAACCCTGAACAAGCAGAACGCTATCTCAGAACAACAATTGCACTCTCACCCGAACGTGAAGAGGCTTACAACGCGCTCGGATATTTCTTCGCCGAACGTGGAACTAACTTAGACGAAGCTGTGGGGCTAATCCAGAAAGCTTTGAAAAAATCTCCAGCAAATGGTGCTTATTTGGATAGCCTCGGTTGGGTATATTTCAAGCAGGGCAAACTGAATGACGCATTGAAGCAACTCGAAAAAGCAGTTATCTACATGCCGGATAGCGTAGAAGTCCAAGATCATCTGGGGGAGGTTTATCTAAGAAAAGGACTCAAGAAAGAAGCGGTCGCAGCGTGGCAAAAAGCGATTCAACTATCACCGGGTAATACCGCGATTCTGGAGAAACTGAAAAAGCATGGACAAAAGTAAACCCCGAAAAATGAGGAAATGGCAATCTGGCGCGTTCATTGGTTCGTGGTTTCATGAGTTCATGCAGGGCGTGTGGAATGGACAATCTGTTTCACGTTTTACGCATCGCGTTTTACGTATTACGCTTTACGTTCTGCTGGGAGTGTCAACCGCTTATGGTTGGATCGATGGCACTCCCTATTTTTATGAACATTTCGGTCCTGTCCTCAAGGATGCTTCTGAAGTTCCTTCTGCGCCTGCTCAACCAAATGCACCTCAACTGGCACTCGGAGATCGCAAGGACTTCTTCTCGGTCAATTTTAACACCCACGAACAATATATTGTTCAATCCACATTGCGAGCGATTGGAGAGTTCTGTTACATCTTCGTTGAGGATTCGCAGTGGTTACGGACGGTGAATGAAGAAAAGGTTCGCTCGGTGCGTCGTGCATTTGATGATGCGGCACCGGCTGATTTGAATCGTGGAATCTATGAAATCGAAACGGAGCTTTTTGGCGCACCGCCAGATATTGATGGCGATAAGCGGATCTATCTGCTTTTATTAGACATTCGTGACGGAGAAACACGAGGCAGCAGTTTCGTCGCAGGGTTTTTCAGCCCAGTGAACCAGCACCGAGGCGTTCTGAGACACCCGGAGATAGGTATTCCGGTGCGTAGCAATGAGCTCGATATGCTCTATCTGGACACCGATCCCCAAAACGCAGGAAGCGAGAAAGCGTTCGGTGTGCTTGCCCACGAATTTGCGCATCTCATCCACTGGCGGCATGACGCAGATGAAGCAATCTGGATCAATGAAGGCTGCGCTGAATATGCTATGTTCGTTTGTGGCTACCAAGTAAGAGGGCATGTCTCATCATTTCAACAGAATCCACATATCTCGTTAATAGATTGGCCCCAAGGAACGCGCAGCCAACTCGCCCATTACGGTGCGGCCTACTTATGGATGCTTTATCTCCATGAACACTACGGCGGTTCACAAACGATCGCCGCAATCGTGAAAGATCGAGCGAACGGAATCTCCGGCATCGATAATGCCTTGCACTCGCGCGGTATAGAAGCAACCTTCCCCGTTATCTATGCTGATTGGAAGGTCGCAAATTATCTGGACGATACCGAATTTGCTGATGGGCAGTACGGTTATCAGAATGAGCAACTAAGGCTCCGGCACCGCCGTGAGCATCGTTCATATCCTGTGTCCGTTGAAAACAACGTACTTGCTAGCTATGGATCAGACTATATCCCCTTCTACCCTAGTGCCAGAAATGGTAGTTGAGTCTTTCCTTTGAAGGCGATAATCGTCTCCCTTACGATGTCAAAGCAATTGAATTCCAAGGTGAACAGCCGACGACAGTACACGATATGTCGTTGACTGAGATGGGTAAAGGGAGTCTACTTATCCTAGATTTTGGGCAGGCTGTCGGGAAAGTCACTCTTATCCCAAGTGTCCAACCCGAGCACGATCTATCAGGACACAGCGTATCATCTTACGCTTATGGCGCACAGCAGATTATTGAAAAGATAGAGTTTAACGCAACAGTCTTGCCCAATCCCGTTCATCCAAGATATTGGGATATCATCGCTGTTCCAAACCACTCAGTTGGTGGAAGTCCGCCACAAATCACGGTTGTGCAAAATGCAGAGCCCATTATATCAGCAACCCCAATGAAAGCTGTGCAAGATGGAGCTATTTACACATATTCCCTTTATCTTTCTCCGGAGATAACCCCTGAAAGCGTCCGGTGGGAGATTGTCTTCTTGGGGGAATCGGTTGGATCCGGTGAACTAAAAAAACACAACGAGTAGATAGAGGCTTTTCTCTAAATTAAATGCAAAGTTGCAAAGACGCTAGGACGCAGACGGGAAAACAGTCGGTTCTGTAACATTGATAAGTTGAAACAAACAGAGCCGGTGCTTGAAAACAGATTCTTTCGTTTTCCTTTTACGCATCACGTTTTACGCTTCAAGGAGGTTAAACATGGCAACACCAACTTTTTACGCAGGAACGGTAGGTCAAAGTGTATGGCGCAGCAATGATGGTGGTGATTCATGGGCTCGAGCAAGTAACGGAATGTTTCCGGAAGCGGATATTCGTGCCCTTTGCTGCAAATCCCGATGATTCATCAATCCTCTTTGCGGGAACAGAAACCGGCATTTTCCGCACACAAAATGGCGGGGATAATTGGGAACAGATCAATTCCCCTATGGATGGGCTGCAAATCTGGGCAATTGCAATTAATCCCAATAACCCCGATGTCCTCTACGCAGGCACCTGTCCATCTGCCCTATTCAAATCAAGTGATGGCGGGGATACATGGAACCAGCTCGGTGTTGAGCTTGCTGAAGAGTGTGAGGGTGTGCCAATCATACCGCGCGTAACATCGATCTCAATTGATCCGGAGGATGATCAGACCATCTATGCGGGTATTGAGATTGACGGGCTACGTCTCTCCACCGATGGCGGTGAGACATGGGTAGAGCGCAGCGAAGGACTAAGCAGTCTCGATATTCATGGGCTGACTGTTGTCCCCGGCGATTCCAAGGCACTCGTTGCCGCGACAAATAACGATGTATGCGTCACGACGGACATGAATGAGTGGACACCGCTCAGTGTCGGCGAGGGCTTCCCTGGCCCTACTGTCGAGCAGCGATGTATGTTCCGATGAATGGTACAGGTCGAGTTTATATTGGAGCGGGAAATGGTCCCCCCGGAGATGAAGGCGGTCTGTTCTACACCGATAACCTCGGTAAATCGTGGGAACGAGCAGATCTTGGGCTGACAGCCAACAGCACAATCTGGTGTTTGGCACAGCAGCCAGAGGTGCCCGGCTGGTTGTTCGCTTGTAGCGTCAACGGTCAGCTTTTCCGCAGCACCGATGATGGTGCGTCGTGGTCCAAGCTTTCGCATGAGTTTGGCGAAGTCCGTGCGCTAGCAATTGTGCCATGAGAGGTTAGCGAACTTATCGAAACTCCCTTTAGACCTAAATCCAAAGTGTAGGGAACAACTCTTGGACTCTCGGTCACAAACCGGAGGATCGTTGTTCCCTACTGGGATACAGACTGCTTTAAACCTAATTCCGTCACATCGGAACGACGCAACAATATCGGGAATTGAAGAATTTCTTGAATCCAATGAATCCTGATTGGATTTACTAAAAGAATCCCTTGCGGATCTCACTTGATATTTGAAAGTAGATTTGGTATACTTCAACTGCGCGGAGTGATAGAATAACTATTGGTGGAATTCAGATGGATAGTCTTTTAGCTGTCCAAGAGTGTTAGCCACCCAAGTATCACTTCGGAATTTTTTGTAGACATAGAAGAGAGGTTGAGTGTTGTGAATAAGAGTGCAAAAAGTATTTTGGTTTGGTTGTTTTTGGCGTCATTTGTTGCCTATGCCATGTACCACTTTTTAAGTTCAGGTAAGGAAAAGGTACACCAGCTTGCGGCATCAGACTTTTATGCCTATCTTCGACAACCAAATGGCAAGGACCTATTTGAAGGAAAAATCGAAATCGGTAAAGAGTGGATTAAAGGAAAATTCAGAGAGCCACAACACATTCTACTAGATGATGAAATGCCCAGAGGTGGAGGAGAATCAGCAACGTTTCAGGAATTTCGAACCAGTCGTGATCTTTACTCTGAATACCCACTTCAAGAAAAACTTATTGAGTATCAAATTCCATTTGATAATGAACGTTCATCGGCTGTTCCCCAATGGATTGTGATCTTCGGCTCGACAATCTTGCCAATCCTGCTCTTCCTAGGGATCATGGTCTTCATTTCAAGGCAGATGCAAGGCACGGGCAATCGAGCTTTATCATTCGGAAAAAGCCGAGCTCGACTACATTCTGAAAGCGAATCGAAAATTACCTTTGACGATGTCGCTGGCTGTGATGAGGCGAAAGAAGGACTAGAAGAAGTGATCCAGTTCCTGAAAGATCCGCAGAAATTTCAGAGACTGGGTGGACGTATTCCAAAAGGGGTACTGTTAATGGGACCGCCGGGCACCGGAAAAACTTTACTTGCGCGTGCCGTCGCCGGGGAAGCCAATGTTCCATTTTACAGTATCAGTGGATCTGATTTTGTTGAAATGTTTGTGGGAGTCGGTGCTTCCCGCGTCCGCGATCTGTTTGAGACCGGAAAGAAGAATGCACCGTGCATCATCTTTATTGACGAGTTGGATGCAGTTGGGCGACATCGTGGCGCAGGCATTGGTGGTGGGCATGATGAGCGCGAACAGACCCTAAATCAACTTCTCGTAGAAATGGACGGATTTGATACCTCTGAGGGCGTTATTCTCATCGCTGCGACGAACCGTCCCGATGTGTTAGATCCCGCGCTCCTCCGTCCGGGGCGCTTCGATCGCCAAATTGTCGTTGACCTCCCTGATGTCAAAGGGCGTGAAGATATTTTCAAAGTCCATACGGCGGGCATTGAAACGGACCCAGATGTAGACTTGGAGAGACTCGCAAAAGCGACACCCTACTTTTCAGGAGCGGATATCGAAAATATGGTGAACGAAGCGGCGCTGCTGGCAGCCAAAGAGGACAAAGATTCCGTTGAAATGAGTTTCTTTGATGAAGCCAAAGACCGCGTACTGATGGGACCCGAACGTCGTAGCCTCGTTATCAGTGACGATGACAGGCGCGCCACCGCATATCATGAGGCAGGACATGCCCTATTACGACATGTTATTCCTGAAAATGACCCGAACTATAAAGCCACCATTATTCCGCGTGGACGATCGCTCGGTGTTTCGGTGGCACTTCCCATCCAAGAACGTCGGAACTTCAACAAAAAATATCTCCTTGGCAGTATTACCACGGCACTCGGTGGACGTGTCGCTGAAGAACTGATCTTTGGTGAATTGACCACCGGTGCACAGAACGATTTTGAACAGGCAACCGATATCGCCCGTAAGATGGTCACGCAATGGGGCATGAGCGATCTTGGACCGCTCTCCTTCGGACGACGTGAAGAGCAGGTCTTTTTGGGCAAAGAGATTGCACATCACCAAGATTATAGTGACAAAACAGCGATTGAAATTGATGAAGCTGTCCATGGCATTGTTATGGAGTGCTATAATAGAGCGAGAAAGCTCATTGAAACGAACCTTGATGGGCTGAAGAAGCTCGCTGATGGGTTGCTCGAACGCGAAACACTCGTCACGGAAGATATTGAAGAGATACTTGGTCCCCGTCCTCAACTTTCTCCGATTGCATCATGAATTGCCGAGGAAAATCGCTTACTTTCGGGAAATGCACACGGATCATGGGCGTCCTCAACGTCACCCCGGATTCCTTCTCTGACGGTGGGCGTTATCTTGATACCAACCGTGCGATTGCCTACGCCCACCAGATGATCGAAGATGGTGCGGATATTATCGACATCGGTGGCGAATCTTCTCGACCGGGGGCCTTACCCGTCTCCACAGATGAAGAGTTAGCTCGTGTCCTACCGGTGATTGAAGTCCTTGCAAACGGGACGGAGGCACTTATTTCGATTGACACTTATAAACCCGCTGTTGCGCGCAGTGCGCTTCAAGCGGGTGCGAATATTGTCAACGATATTACAGGCTAAGCGACGCAGATATGGCGGGAGTTGTTGCCGAGATGGACGCCGGGCTGATTCTCATGCACATGAAGGGTGTTCCCCGTACAATGCAGCGCTCGCCGGTGTATCGCGATCTCATCCCTGAAATTCTGACTTTTCTTCGACAACGGATCGACAAGGCACAAGCAGAGGGAGTCTGTCCCGACCGGATTATGATTGACCCCGGTATCGGATTTGGTAAAACCGGCGGGCATAATCTAGAGATTTTACGCTGTCTTGATGCGTTTCAGAGCCTAGATAAACCCATCCTTATTGGTACTTCCAGAAAATCATTCATTGGGAGATTCTTAATCTGCCCAATCCAGATGATCGGCTGGAAGGCACTGCTGCGACGGTCACGTGGGCAATTGCTCACGGTGCAGACGTCGTTCGCGTCCACGATGTAAAGGCAATGTGTCAGGTTGCTCGAATGACAGATGCAATTCATCGTCGCACAGATTAAAATCCCTACTAAAAAACTGAAGATTTGATTGTTTACGTACAACGAATCAAAAGCGCAACATACGAAAATTGATTATAGGTATTGATATTGTTGAGATCAATGTACCGGGAATCTGTGTGCGAATACCTTCCTTGCGGGCAGCTATAAATATGAATAAGAGCCAATCGTGCGACTTTGCATGTCTCACGTTAGACCCAATACGCAGCTTTGTAATCACGCTCATCACACTGTTACTTCTCTTCGGTGGGGAAAATCACGCCTCAGCCCAAGTCATCAACGAAGATTTTCGCGCGTCAACAAATATGTTCCTCAAAAGGCTTGCATCAGCAAAGCATCTGAGGATGGGGGACAACTTCGTCAGTTCAATTTCGGGGATAAATGCCCTTAACAGCAATCCTGCCGGACTCAGTTTCATCAATAGCAACCGTCTCGTCACAAACGTTTCACGATTTCCGCGCACTGTTGCCATCATTACAAAATTGAACGATGTTGAGCGATACGAAGACCACAGCCAGTACGCGCTTCGTGCATCAGGGCTTGAGTTTATAAACTATAGTATGCCCTTGGGAACAGCAGGCGGCTTGGGGTTCGATTTCGCCATCGGACATGAGGGACGATTCAGCCGCGTCAATAACCTTGGAAAAGCAACGAACAGTTTCCCCGAAACCGATTTTGCGATTGGAGTCAGTTATGCAGTTAAACCGTTTCGAGGATTTGCTGTTGGTGCTGATGCCAGATGGCTGCGATCTAAGGTACAGGATGGTGAAGGCAGCCGGCATATCGGACACGGTTACGCTTATAATTTAGGACTGATCCAGCAATTGGGCAAACACCTCCGCATCGGCGGCATGATTAGAAACTTGAGCAACGGATTATCATTCACCGATAGCTCTATTCCCGATCGCATCCATCGAGATATCCTTCTAGGTGGGAGTTACCAATTCCATTATAAAGATGTAGATATTCAGATTGGTTTGGATCTGAACCCACCCTTTGAGGATGGTGTCCGAACCAACTTTGGCGGAACTGTCTGGTATCGTGATTTCATCGGTGGGCGCATAGGTTATCTGCGTCACGCCGAAAAGCGGTTCGGTTCAATCTTTAGTCTCGAAACAGAGCAAGCTGGCTCCGAGGATAGACTCTGGAAAACTGAAGGACTGACACTGGGGCTTGGGTTACAGGTCAGCGGAATTTATATAAACGCAGCCTATACACCGCAGATACGACCGACGGAAAATGACGGTGAGCAGATCCGCGTCGAAAGTGGTAAATCTGTGTACTCATTTTCAATCGAGCAGCGTTTTTGAGAAGAACATAGACTAACCTGCACCAACCGTTATTTTTTTCGTATTATGCGTCACATTTCACGTACCACGCCTACTATGTCAGACGAATACAAAACCATCGTTGGGACAGCCCAACTGAAGTTGGTTGTCAAAAAATCGCGCTTTTTTGGGCTTGCCACATCAGTTGATACAATACAGGGGTCGAAAAGATTTCTGGCACTCGTCCAAGAGAAATACCCCAACGCCTCCCACTACTGCTACGCTCACAATATCGGATGGGGGCGTGAAAAGCGCGAATATGCCACCGATGCCGGTGAGCCAAGAAACTCCGCAGGTCCCCCAATTTTAAGAGCTGTGGTTGCCTCTCAACTCTCGAATGTTATCTGCGTTGTCGTCCGTTACTACGGCGGCATCAATCTTGGCGTCGGTGGACTTATTCGGGCTTACGGTCGATGTGCGAGGGAATGTTTAGCGAGTGCAAAAATTGAAACTCAGATTTTTTACAAGACGCTACAGGTGCGGACACCTTATGAACAGATTGGTTCGGTCCTCAAACTGTGTGGCAGATTAGGAGGAAAGGTGGTAAACGTCGAATATGGTCAACGTGCAACCGCACATCTGCAAATTCGCCAACGGGAAATTGAAAACTTTCAAAAAAATCTGCGAGGAATCAACGCTGATATTGACGTGATTGATCCTGTGAATGTATAATCTATTGGTATTAAATCTTGAGTGTGTAGATATCAAGTATACAGGCAGTGTTACTAACTCTTGAAGGGCGAAGTCAAAAAATTCACGTACATAAGTCAACATGAATGGGTTGAAGTTGGAGAGAATGACGGGGTCGTTGGGATCACCGAGCGCATCCAACTAGAGTATGGTAATATTATCTTTATTGAACTGCCCAGTGGCGACGAATATGAACAAGATGAGCCACTGGGCAGAGTAGAAGTGACTGATGGTAATACTTTTCCTATCTATGCGCCAGCGACCGGGGAGATTAAAGAAATCAACACCACGCTGGAGGAGGATCCGGATCTTATTAATCATTCGCCTGAAGGGGATGGCTGGATCTGTCGGATAAGCATTGAGAGTCCTAGGGAGCTTGATGTATTGATGGACGCCGATGCGTACATTGACTATGAGGAAGAAGAGCTCGACAATGAATACATGGATGAGGAAGATTTTTACGACGAGGATGAGGCTTATGACTACATTAATCTACCCCAAAAACCTTCTGCTACGCTCCCCGCCTCAAATAGATTCCCTATTCTTCTCCTACGATACAAAGGATCTTTATGTCATTAGTCAGATTAGACCAAGTCACAAAATCGTATGACCCTTACCTCATTCTGGACGAAGTCTCTTTGTCAATTGAACACGGTGATCGGATTGGGTTGATTGGGAAGAACGGAACTGGTAAAACTACGCTGATTGAAATTATTGCCGGTATAATCGAGGACTTCAAAGGGAGCGTTGGGTACGCGAAGCGACTACAAATCGGGTATCTCAGCCAAGAGCCCAATTTGGAAGCCGACTGCTCACTCCGGCAAGAGATGTTCAAGGTCTTTCAGGAACGGCGGGGCTTGGAAGATGAGATGCTGCTGCTCAGTGAAGATATGGCAGAAGATCCAAATTTGCTTGATAGATATGCTCGGCTGCAAGAGCAGCACGAACGAATGGGTCGGTTACGACTATGAATATCAAACAGGTCGAACGCTGGGCGGGTTAGGATCTTCGTGACAGTGATTTTAACTTGAAAATTGGTGTCTTGAGTGGTGGACAGAAAAGCCGTGCCGCGCTCGCGAAATTGCTGCTTGAAGATCCGGATTTGTTACTGCTCGACGAACCTACCAACCATCTGGACATCAATGCGATTGAGTGGTTGGAAAACTTCCTAAATACCGAATATCGAGGGGCGGTCATCATCGTTTCTCACGACCGCTACTTTTTGGATCGCGTTGCCCGCAAGATTGTCGGGTTACGAAACCACAAGCTCAAGGAGTACCCCGGAAATTACACAAGATATCTCGAAATCAGACAAACTGAAAAAATAGCGCAGGAACGGGAATATAAAAAGCAGCAACGGTATATCGCTCACGAGGAGGACTTTATCCGTCGCAATATGGCTGGGCAACGCACGCGGGAGGCACAAGGCCGGCAGAAGTTGCTCAACCGCCTTGAACGCGTAGAAAAGCCAGAGACCGCTGAGAAAACAATCAAACTCCGCTTCACGCCGGATGTACGAGGTGGAAACGACATTTTGCAGTGTCAGGACTTAGGGAAGCGGTACGGCGATAAGCAAATCTTTGAAGACGTGAATCTGGAGATCTACCGTCAGGATGTTGTCGGTGTCATCGGTCCCAATGGCGTTGGAAAAACGACCTTGTTCCGAATGATCCTCGGAAACGAACTGCCGACTTCAGGGAAGTTGAAGATTGGGCACAACCTCCATTTTGGGTACTACGACCAAGAGCTTGCAGGACTCAACCAAGATAACACAATTATTGATGAGATTTGGGCGTTGCGTCCAACACAGAAACAGGGGGAGATTCGCAGTTTTCTCGGACGGTTCCTGTTCTCTGAGGATGAGGTGTTCAAATGGATTGGCGACCTCAGCGGCGGCGAACAGAGCCGCGTCATGCTCGCTAAGTTGCTCCTCGAAAATGCAAATGTTCTCCTGCTTGATGAGCCGACAAATCACCTAGACATACCGTCGCGTGAAGTCCTTGAGGAGGCATTGGCAGAATACCCGGCGACCATTTTTATGGTTTCTCATGACCGTTATTTTCTGAACAAGCTTGTCAACAAACTGTTGGTCTTTGAGAATGGAACGGCGAAGCTCTTTTTCGGAACTTACGCCGAATATGAAGTCCACGTCCGACAGCAGAAGCGAGAGGTAATGCAAGCTAAGGAGGAAACAGAGAAGGCAAGAAAGGCAGAGCGGCAGGAAAAACAGCAGAGGGAGAGATTGCGAGTTGCTTCAACTTCAAAGAAATCGAAAAAGAAACGGCGGGTGAAAGCACAGCGCGTGGCTGATGTGTGATGGGGGATTGTGACTATTAGATCTGTATGCTTCAACGAAGTTGAGTCAACAATTCCGCTGGCGTCCAGACAGGAATGGTTGCAGCCTTGAAGCCATCTTTGTCGCGGGTCACAATCGCGTCAATCCCTGTAATGCTAGCACAAGCAATTTGCAGATTGTCTTCAAAATCGTTTCCCGGCAATGCCTCCGCTTGCTCTAGAGTCTGACGATCGACTGTACAAATCTCGAAGGCTTCCAAACAGGTACGTACCGTCGTACGAGCAATTTCCAATCCAGCCAATCGACGGGCAATATAAAAAATATCGGTCATCGCGGAAGCCAAAACGTATCCGACAATTCGTCCCTCATCGTTGGCCCGCCAAACGGCTATAGCTTCTGTGACCCAAGGTTTACGTTTCAAAAGGACATCCAGCACGACGTTGATATCAAATAAAATGTGCATCAACCGTACTTCTCCATATGATGTTCGTCAAGCCACTGTTGAACTTCTGCATCCGACGGTGCTGATTGGCTTGTCGCTAGGAGGCCGAGAGCCTTTTCCAAAGTATTGCGTTTAGATCGGGAATTTTCCACTTCTGGTGCAAGTGTTTTTAGAACATCTTGCACGAGTGAAAAGCGGCTAGCAGGTGGCCAGCCTCGAACAATTTCGATGATTGCTTTGTAGTTGATTGGTTCAACGATTGGCATAGTCCTTTCCCCCTTCAGTCATATATTAAAGTGGCTACTACTATACCATTTTGACGAACGAATCGTCAATATCAAGATTCAACCGGAGCCTCTTCTAGGATAAGGAGACCATAGCTTTGACATCAGAATTGTCGTCCATAGACCTTCATAACGAAGCCCTCGTCATTGATTCTCACAACGATACGATTGTCGGGCATATCAGGCGAGGAAATGTCAGCATTTCGGATCGGGAGACCCCCAACCGCGTCCGGCACGATGGAACAATTGCCTATATGCGCGGTCCCCTCGATTCCGCAGCCAGCCAGATGGATATCCAGATCAATCTGCCGAAGATGCGTCAAGGCGGGGTTGACGCTGCTTTTTTTGCAATTGATGTAACGCGAGCGTGGAAGAATCATCTCAGCTACGCCTTAGATGCCATCGGCTTTTTTAAGGCAGAGGTCGAGACCCACGCCGATGAAATCATCATCGCAAGGACAGCGGAAGATATTCGGGAGGCAAAAGCGGCGGGCAAACTTGCTGCAATTTTGGTCATTGAGAACAGCGACGGTGTGGAGCGAAGTCTGAACATCCTGAAAAGCCTCCACCACTTGGGCGTCCGATCTATTGGATTGACCCACGATCCGACCTCATGGGCGGCGGCTGGCAACGGCGAAACAGATAGCGGTGGCGGACTTACCCGATTTGGCGTCCAACTGGTGAAAGAGATGAATCGACTAGGGATGCTTGTCGATGTCTCTCACATTAGTGAGCGAGGCTTTTGGGACGTGCTGGAAATTGCCGAACGCCCCGTGATCGCTTCCCACAGCAACTGCAAGGCACTCTGCGGTCATCCACGCAATCTGACCGACGAACAGATTAAGCGCATCGCCGAGAAACGGCGGCGTCATCGGTTCGACCTTCGTGACATGGTTCATTGACGACAATGCCCCTTCGTTTTCCCGTTATCTGGACCATATCGATCACATCGTCAATCTGGTCGGGGATGACCACGTTGGCATCGGATCCGATTTTGATGGCGGTGGCTGAACAACTCAGGGATGCGACGAGAGTTCCCGAAAATTACCGAAGCGTTGTTGGAACGGGGCTATTCGCCTGTGTCGATCCGGAAGATCCTTGGCGAAAATCATCTGCGGGTGTTCGCGGAGGCATGTCCGGGATAAATGTCGTTTATGGGCACAGATTGGTCGGAAGATTTCCGTGCAATACCCTACAACTCTCCACGCAACACCAAGCGATCATCCATCACCTCACCCTTACCGTTGCGCGTACCGGTCGGCATATAGTGAATGACCATCCCCCGACGCCTGCGGTGTGACCGATTCGGATTGGTCTGATGCAGCATCAGACAGTGATGCACCATCGCGTACCCCGCTTTGAGCGGTACAGGTGCCGCACGATTTTCCTCCACATTTGCCTGCAGCAAAGCCGGAAGTTTCCCTTTCTCTGATACGGCGCGATCGTGATCTGGCGCGCTTTCCAAATGGCTACCGGGGATGACATTCATGCACCCGTTCTCTTCGTCTGGCGTCGTCGAGTGCCATCCAGATGCTCACGAGGTTCGCCGGCGTACAACGCCAGTATCCGTTGTCCTGATGCCACGGCACTTCCCCCCCATGACGGGCAGGCTTATACAGGGCTTGATCGTGGAACAACTGGATGTTGGAACCAATCAAGCTCTCGGCGATGTCCAACAACGGCTCATGATAGAGCAGTTGACGGTACACCTCATCAAATCGCCACATCTCCATAATCTGCAGCATCTCCTCCGAACGGTCTGCGGTCTCGTCCTGCTCCGAATCACCGATGACAGCGAGGTTGCGTAGCCCTTCGCCACTTGTACCACGTTTTTTCGCAAACAACGCGTCGTAATGCTCGCGCAACAAAGCGAGGTGATCATCTGTAATGAGGTGATGTGGGATTTTGAGATACCCTTTGTGTTGAAACTGTTCAACTTGTTGTGGCGTGAGTTTCATAGAATTCTCCTTCCAATCGGTATAACAGATTCTATCCATAGAAGCACATTATCCTAGCGCAACCGGCTCTCCAATCTCCGCTGACCGCTTCACCGCTCGGCAAATCGCCACCGCTTTCATACCCGCTTCGCCACTTGCCCGCGGTTCGCTGCCCGTTTGAATGCACTCAATGAAGTGCTCGATCTCTGCACCGAAAGAATCAAAATCTAGGTAGTTTTCCTCGTGCAAGGTCTCTGGATCGTTTCGGAAAGAATAGTGCAAAGTGTCCACACGATCAAACCCGCCTGTCACTTCAGCGACGCCGTTTTCGTTGGCGGCGTAGAAATCCTCAAAATTGAACTCTCCCATCGAAACCATGCCAGCGTTGACAACCCCAATCGCGCCGCTTTTGAAGCGCAGGGTAAACATCGCACAGTCAATCTGTGGCTTCCGGTGCGGCGCAAAGAAGGTCCCGCCCTCGGCGTAAACCCGCTCGACATCTCCCATCAGAAAACCGAGAATGTCTGCGGCATGCACAGCGTTTTCGAGGATAGGTCCGCCCCCATCGTCCTCTGCCCAGAACCAATCTTTGTTCGACATCCCCGGATGCGGATACCGGTGAACCATGTACTGAATCGGTCCAAATTCGCCTTCCGTCAGTTCCTTCAAACGTAGAAGCGGCGGGATAAACCTTTTCTTATGCCCAATCTGCAAAACGACTACCCGCCGATTTGCACACATCAACCATCTCCTGACAGTCTGCAACCGTACTCGCCATCGGCTTCTCACACAGTACATGAATGCCACGCTCTGCCGCGGCGCGTGTTAACGCCAGATGAATCTTCGGCGGTGTGCAGATACTAATTGCCGTCAAATCCTCCGTATCCAGCATCTCCTCCGTAGAGGTATAACCCTTGACACCGTACTGTGACGCGAAATCGTCTGCAATTTGTGGGACGATGTCACATACACTGACCAACTCGGCGTCGGGATTCTCATCCCACCGATCAACATGGGCGCGACCAACGCCCGCTAATCCAATCACTGCAACTTTCATACGATACTCCTAATATATTCTAACCCAAGTTACCGTTTTCACTCCAGCGGAACGATATGTGTTGTGGGGTAGGTAGCAACTTACGTTATTCTATTGAAGGATAATAACCCTATATGTGAAGGATAATACCCCTATCTGTTCTGTAGTTTAGCAGAGGGGATTTACAGAGTCAAGGCAAACGAAAGATAAAACTAGGGCAATCGCATGTAAATATTATGTAGGGCTTTGGCATACCACAATGTCAATCTAATCGTAGCCGCAGGTGCTAATTGGTCAATTGTCTAATTTCTATAACAGATGCAATTCCCCTACATATAAAACTTGACAACGGATAGTGAATCTCATACACTAAAGCCTAGCAGCCATTCTGAGTTGTTCGTGGGAGGAGGCGTCTACATTGATCTGTCCCAAATGCGGCGGTAAGATACAAACGCTTAAAAACGAATCTGCATTTTGCTTGGATTGCGAGTGGGATAACCTAGAGAAAATCCCTCAATCGGGGCAACGGGCGGATTGCAGGCACCTGTGGGTTTTACAGGTAAACCAAGCCGATGGAACATCACAGTGGTGGTGTGTGCACTGCTCTGAACGTCGTGACTTTCAGATGGCATTGATGTATCTGAGACCTTAGGGAATGTCTCGAATTCAGGTTTCTAAGGAGAACAGGGAGATTATTTTATGGGTTTTTCATTAGCAGATAAGGTTGCCATTGTCGTGGGAAGTAGCAGTGGCATGGGGAGAGCAACCGCGGTCACTTTTGCCGAAGCAGGGGCAAAGGTTGTGCCTGCTGCACGGAGTGCCGATAAGCTCGCAGCGTTGGCGGAAGATATTGGCGAGAATGCAATCGCCTGCCCGACCGACGTGCAAGATTCGGCAGCCGTGGATAGGCTCATTGCCACAACATTAGAACACTTCGGACGGATTGATGTGCTCGTCTACGTCACCGGCACAAACATTCCCGAACGGAGCCTTGAAGTTTTATCCAACGAAACGTGGGATATGATGATCCAGACGAACCTGACCGGAGCGTTTTACTGTACGAGAGCAGTCCTGCCAACGATGCGCCATCAAAAGGACGGCTTAATTATTTATGTCTCCAGTGGAGCGGTGCAGCGTCCCGATACATCTGGCGTCTCCTATCAAGCAACCAAGCACGGGATGGTCGGTCTCGCTCACGGCACGTTCCAAGAAGAAAAGGAGAATGGCATCCGCACCTCAATGCTCTTCCCCGGTTTGACGGATACGCCGCTCGTCCTGCAACGTCCAGTGCCAACCCCACCCGAAGTGATGGCAAAATCTCTACAACCACAGGATGTCGCCGATGCGTGTCTATTGGTTGCTTCCCTACCAGCGCGGGTTTATGTCCCAGAATTAGTGATGCTGCCTTCGGGTTTAGCGTAGTCAGAATCATGCCGTTATCCAATCAAAAACTGAAAATGGTCAAGAAATTCGCCTCTGTTCTTATTTTTTAATCTTCATTCCAACACTCCTCTTTGCTCAAGAGGATCTACTCGTCAAGATTCCTCAAAGTTCCAACCAACACCTCCAGTTTCTGCAAGCGCATCATGGGATCAAGTTACGCTATCGCACACCTGATTTTGCCATCATTCAAGTCCCCTTAACTTCCGGTTCCATTGAGGCGAGTCCGAGTCTCTTGACCGAGCTACCAGACCCACAAGTTCTGGGTACCGTTACGCCCGGTTTCAACTACTACGTCCTCTGGCTCCCTTCGGCGGAAGAGCGTGCGGCAATCGAGGCGTATGGGGAAATTTTACACCAGTTCGGTGGCTTTTCCCTGCTCAAGTTGCACGCCAATCTTGAATCCGTCCTGTTAGATCTGCCAGTGCATCACCGTGCGAAGCTGCCCGCCAATGTTGTCCTGCCGGAATTTCAGCCTCCCTCGTTCGCTCCGAGTATACCCGCATCACCCCAGCAACAATCGGTCATTCAAGGACTGCTCGATCAAGCAGATGGCTCTAGATGGCTTTGGCAGACTATCGCCCTCGTCGAGAATGAAGACCTCCGGCGGCCGGGGCAATTTTTCCGAAGCCGGTACGCCCTCCGAGTCCGCGATGCCGTTCAATTTGATGACAAGCCGGAACCCGATCACGCTTGCGATAACTCCGCAGACTACATCGCCCAACAGTTTCGCAGCTACGGTCTGAAGGTCGAATTCGATCCGTTTGACCATCGGCGTCGATCCGCACTTGGGACGTTGGTGGGGGAATACGTGATGCGGAATGTGGTCGCCACGCTGCCGGGGAAAGGTCCAAACAAAGATCGAATCTACCTGATGGTGGGACATTATGACAGCATCGCCTCCAAAACCCCCGGCTGGGATGGGGGATGGAGAAGGATGGCTGCACCGGGTGCCTCCGATAATGCGTCAGGCATCGCCGAAATGCTGGAGACCGCGCGCATTCTGAGCCAGCAAGACTTTTGACTTCACGGTTCGATTTATCGCTTTTCGGGGGAAGAATTGTTTCTTTTCGGAAGCAAACATTATACACAGTTGGTTCGGGAGCGTGGAGATGACATCGCCGGCGTCATAAACTTCGATCTTCTAGGACATGACCCGGACGGGAACTTGGATATCCATGTGCTTGGCGATGAGCAGTCACAGTGGCTCGTCAACGCATTCGGTGCCGCTGCGGAACAATACAGACTGCCGATAGATCTACGCCTGAAAAACGATCCCAGTTTTATCTTCAGTGATCACTCCCCATTTTGGGACATCGGCATCCCGGCGGTGATGGTGGCGGAGGAATCATCCCTCGATGCGCCGGACGAATCGACCGAATATATCCATAGCCAAGAGGATGACTTGACCAAAATCTCGATACCGCTGTTGGGGAATTGGCTATCAAGTTAGCCGTAGCGACCCTTGCCGAACTCGCTGGTCCCATCGTTGGGTCAGGCGATCCACTGAACCCTGATATCTTCTGGGAATCCGAAGGCATCACCGTTTCCAACCCCTCTCCTACTAAGGGGATGAGGTCATCATCACCGCAGATGTGGCAAACGCGGGCCCCATCCCTGTTGAGAACATCACCGTTCAGTTTGTCGTTGTCAATCCCGACGGAAGCTCCGAAACCCTGTTTGAACAAAGCGTAGACCTGAGCGTCAACCAATCGAAAACGGTCACCGCTCGCTTCACACCAGCCACTTGGGGCGTATTTACCCTCCGTGCCCTAGTAAACGACGATACGCGTGTCTTTGAGTCCAATTTCAACAACAATCGGATCGAAACCGAATTGACGGTGGCGGATCCGCGCGTGACCATCGAAAACATCGTTGCCTACCCGAACCCACTCCGTCTCAACCAGCCGAATGCTGCTCTCAAACTGACTTATACACTGAGTCGTGATGCGGAGGTCATCGTCTCCATCTACGACACCGTCGGTGAGCAGGTTCTTGAAAGTGTATTCCTCGCCGGAGACAACGGCGGTCGATTGGGCGCGAATGACGCCTTTACTTGGGAAGGCAGGCGGAACTTCTTTGAACTTGTCACGCCCGGTATTTACATCTGCCGTATCACCGCAACCGATGCAGATGGCGAATCGCGGACGGAAGGTACAAAAATCGCTGTGATTCGGTAGTTTGATGAGTTGACGTTTGCAAAACTGCCAGCGCAGTTTTTAGCTCCCCTGAAACCGAAACGCAAACAGATCCGCGTCCTTGACGGGCGAAGCGTAACCGCACCGGCTGACCCGCCAACGAGCGCAGATCTCCCCCACCCTCCCACTTGACTGTACCATCAATCTCGTCACCGAATATCTCAGAACACGCGTCCAGTGTGAAGCCCGGCTGCGGGTGCCCTTCCGCATCCTGGATCTCAACCCGAACAAATCCCACCGCTGATGTCGAGAAAGTTCAATCTCAGGCTATCGCCCGTGAAAATCAGCGGACGGGTGATAAACTCACCCCCGACGTACCCTGCGCGGACCGACACAAACCCATCCGTTCGGAGCGAGAATCGACGAATATGAACAGTCGGCAGCCGCCAGTTTGCCATGCTGTATAGCGAGATTTCTTCGGGCGAGGTTTCGAGAATACCCCGTTCCATGTAAATCCCGCGCTCATGCCAGTTGCCCGCATCGAGTCCGGGACGGACAAAAGCCTCCATAAAGCTGCGATCGAAGTGGATTCCATCGCGGCTCGACATAAACACAATGTCATTCACACCCGGACCGTATTCCCAATCCGGAACCGGCTCACGTTCTGGCACAAAGCGCGCAGGAAACATCAGGTACATCCCCGGCGCACGCTCATAAGGGACGCAGGCGTTGGTGTAGAGATGTTCAAAAGGAGTCCCATCGGCGTCAATTGATTCAAGCGGTGTCCACTGGCGAAAGTCTTTGGAGGTTGTGCGTCGAATCCAGCGCACCCCATTCTTGAAGTTGCCCCTACCCGCCACACCCCGCGTATAGGCGACATATTCCTCCCGTTCCGCGTCCCAGAAAGCGATGTTATGCGAATCAAATGGTCGGTCGGTCAGAATTGGTTCATCCTGCATCAATCGCCAGCGGAGACCGTCCGGCGAGACCAACGCGAGTATATCGCCGGTACGCACGATAGCTTTATACCGTTCTTCATCCGGCGCATCGGGGTTGAGATCGAGGAACGGCGACATATTGTTACCCGGTCCCGTCCAAACGAGGTTGTTGTCCTTTGAGCCTTGAAATTCAATCAGACCGAGTCGCGGCTTTTCCCAGTGAACCCCGTCCGTGCTTTCAGCGTAGGCGATGAGCGGCAGACGCTCACCACGAATTGGCATCTCCTGATCGCAGCGATACCACGCACGGAAACGGTCGCCCTCGCGAAACGTTACCATGTAAGGAGACGCCGCCCCGTTCCCATGGATGTTCGGCGGAAATTACAATCTCACGACGCGCAGGTTCATGCAACGGCCGCGTGACATCAATCGCTTCAGTAATCCAGAAATCGTCCACGAATAGTTGACGATCTGTGCCGATGTGGATAGGTGTGCTGTCATTATCATGTCGTGCCATTTTACCCTCTATAAATTGATGGTTATCAACGCTGCTTTCTGCTATAATTTCCAAGGTAACCTGTAGGTCAGGCACCAATGAAATGGTTTTCACGTCTCACGTTCTTAAGGAATATCATGCCCCAAGCTCGCCCCAATATTATACTGATAATGTGCGATCAGATGCGATGGGATGCCGCCGGCTTCGCGGGGAGTTCGATTGTCCAGACGCCGCATCTCGATCGGCTGGCTCAAAGCGGGGTCTGCTTTGAAAATACCTACTGTGCCTCCCCTGTCTGTTCACCCGCCCGTGCCAGTTGGCTGACGGGACTCTACCCCCACGCCCACCTGCAACTGAAAAATTACGGGCCCGGCTCAATTGGGAAATGGGGGAGCTACCTGCCCCCTGACCGTGTGACTATCGGCGATGTCCTCAAATCCGCCGGTTATCGCTGTGGCATGGTGGGTCCTTGGCATCTTGGAAACGACCACCTCCCCCAGCACGGATTCGACGATTTTTGGTGCACCTATCGCTATCTTGGCAAAGATTACCCTGATCCGCTCTTTGATTCCTTTGATCGCGCGGGAGTTCCCAATCTCTACCTCAAAGACGCTGAAGGGATGACACAGTACGGAAACACGCTGGAATTTGGGGTGATCACGACCCCCGACAGCAGCGCACCACTTGGACGATAGATCGATCCCTCGAATTTATCCAACAACCGCACGATGCCCCGTTCTTCCTGTTCGTAAGTATCAAAGACCCGCACCCGCGCGTCTTGGTGCCACCCGAACTGGTTGAACTGTATCCAGAAGACCAGATGCCGCTTCCCGCTCTCGTTTCGAGATCCCCTTGACGGCAAACCGCTATCTCAAGCGCGTGCAAAATTTCAGATTCCCTCAACCGTGACCGACGACCAATTTCGTCGAGTGATTGCGTACTACTACGCCCTAATTACGCATATCGACATACAGGTTGATCGTCTACTCCGCGCCCTTGAGACACAAGGCATCATTCAGGACACGATTGTAGCCTTTATCAGCGACCACGGCGAGATGCTTGGCGACCACGGTTTCACGGAGAAATGCCTCATGTACGAAGCATCGGTTCGCGTGCCGTGTCTACTCTCTTGGCGCGGGACTTTACCTGCGGAGGCGCGAGTGAAAACACCGTTGGGCGGCGTTGACCTGATGCCGACCCTGCTTGCGTTGGCGGGAGAGGAACCACCATCGCCGATTGATGGGCGCTCCGTCGCCGCGGCAATTCTCGCAGGCGAGGAGCCCACCCCGCAGCCGGTTTTCGCCGAGATTGCCAGCAATGAAGCGATTTATCACGGCGCACAGGATCCAGAACAGCTAGCCGCTCACGCCATGGTCTACGATGGACGTTGGAAATATATCCGCAACCGCTTTGATATTGATGAGTTGTACGACTTGGAGACGGATGCGGAGGAGATGCGAAACCTCGCTGTTCAACCCGAACACCGCGAACGGGTGGATTCCATGCGCCGTCAGATTGCTGAGATGGTTTGCCATACCGGCCCCGGTCCCTACGATTGGTGCTTGTCTGATGGTGCAATGACAGCTGCAACTCAATAATCGGCAACTTCGCAAAACTCAAAAAGCTCCCGCGCCCGCTCCGAAAATTCCTCATACGTCTCCGGCGGCACTTTCGTCGCATGACCGATACTAATCCACGACAGCCCATAGCAGACTACAATTTCGGGACGCGGTCCATTGGAGGTGTTGGGTGTGCCACGATGCAGTGTGCGGACATCCTGTATCCACATCGTGCCTTTTTTCATGTTCAGCCGACGGGCGGACGGAAAATTCCCTTGCGTTAGCACATCGTCGTAACGGCTCTCTAGTTCGGGTTGGCGATATACTGTGTTGATGGCAGCACCTCGATGCTACCATTCTCCTCTGAAGTATCCACAAGTGGAAATTTGACCCCCTAGTATCGGGCAGGTGTCAAGTCCGACATGGGGAATCTCCCGCGCCAGTCCAGTGTCTCTGTGCCAACGCTGAAACTCGCTGCCCGGATAGGGTTGTTGGAGTGGAGACACTTGATGTAGAAGTCATCCTTGCCCCAATAACGCCTGAGAAACTCCAGAATGACCGGATTCTCGTACACCCCCGGGTCGGCGAACGGTGGCACCCACGGAATGGTCAGCGTGTAGCGGTTGATGATCTGTTGGCGACCAAAGCCCCCACGCAAGTCCCCCCACTCTTTGTCGGCAAAGCCGGTTTCGCGCGTCCTAACATGTTCCAGCATCGGTATGAACGCCTCTCGGATGCGATCTACGGTCTCGACAGACAACACATCCTCAATTACCGCGTAGCCGTTGATCCTGAACTCGGCTATCTTTAGATCGAAATCTATGTCCTCACATCGTGCAGTCATGAATCCTCCGTTGGTGGTTAGCTAATTCAGGTTTGCTCATACTATGGTGAATTAGAGAAATAAGTAGACATCTACAATAACTCCGACCTTCACGAAGTTTCAAAGTCCCCCTGATAAGGGGATTTAGGGGTTGTGTCATTGGGGGTCTAAGTAATTCTAAAATCTACCATAAATCCAAAATGGCTTGAACGGCAACACTCACAAAACCGATTGTATCATAGGACATTCCGGCGCGTCCAGAAAAATAGGGAGGAGCGGATTTGCGTTTCTTTGTCTCGCTTTTCTATATTTATGCTATCATATTGGCTATTCCAATCCAGAATGTAACCTAAGAAAAGGGGGAAGAGGTTATGCGACACGAAAAATGGAGTTGCCCCAAATGCGACAATGATGAGTTCGAGACCGATATTTTCCAAGCAACAGGTGGAACATTTGCCAAACTGTTTGATGTCCAAAACAAGAAGTTCACGACTGTCTCATGTACACAATGCCAATACACCGAGGTCTACAAGGCAGATGCCTCGCGCCTGAGTAACATCTTCGATTTCTTCACCAATTAACATCAGGAGGTGATTTCCCTGATGCGGGTATTCACCGATGTTGAAAAACAGCAGCTGCAAACGAAAATTAAGGACGAACAGGAACGGCAGCGGGTACTTAAGAAATTGCCCAAATCGAAAAACGAAAAAGAGTCAAAAAGGAGGAAGGGCATATTTCAACAGCGTTAAGCTATAAGTACGGTTTCTTGGGGCTTATTCTTTGTCTGCTTATCCTCGACGTAATTCTCCTGTTCTCTCTGCAAAGTTATGATTATCACACCTACCTCGGTCCCATGGTACTGTTGGTGCTACTATTCAATCACATTGCGTGGAATTTCACAAAAAGAGGTCGGTTAAGCCGCGTGATGAAAACGATTGCGTGGATTTGGTTGGTGTTTGTAGTAGCTTACCTGTTTTGGCTCTTTAAGACCGGGAACATCTAACATATCGACCGCGAGGGATAAGAAAACATGAGCGAAGCGTTCTTTGAGAAGATTGACGTATTCCTGCCCGGACAGGGCGAGGAGTTGGCACAAGCCCCTGTCCACCATTGGGAGCGGGCGAGCGCGCCAACGCCCAAATCTACTATAGCACACGCGAGCCGAAATCTGTCCTCATCCATCTGACAGGGCTGACCAGAGAGGAGAGGAAAGCCCTCGCCGATATGCCGATTGAGGTGGATCTTTCAGCCTTGAAGTATCACGACTTCGACGGGTTCGGTGTCCATCTACCGGGGCTGATCGTTACAACACAAGGGACGGCTATCGCCGTCTGTCAAAAACGACACGGTTCGATGGGGGACGGCGGCAACCAAGTTGACATCTTGATGTCGCGTAGCGAGGATGATGGCACCACTTGGCAGCGACAGGAGGTCATCTTCGAGGAAACGGAGGCATACACCTATCTCGGTCCTATCTTCGAGGATTGCACGACGGGTGCTGTATTCGTGGCGTTCTGGAAAATGCCCGCCGACATCTTGGACGACCTCGGTTACTTCAGCGAATACGCCAAACAAGGAGGCGGTTTCTATCTGCTCAAGAGCACCGATGAAGGGACGGAGTTGGTCTGATCCATTCTATGTACGCCCGGAACCGAACGCTGATGGATGGGTGGGATGGCCCAACAACTGCGTCCACGGTATCCAACTCGCTTGTGGTCCCCGTAAGGGACGGTTGATCATACCGGCATTTCTTTACAAGGAAGGCGAACCGGGGCAGGTGCCGGGGGTTCGTGGCGGGTTATTGTACAGCGACGACCACGGGCAAAGTTGGAAAGCGGGTGCTGTCCTTCCCGAAGGCTCTGACGAAGTCAGCCTCGTGGAGACCGCGGGTGGTGGCATCTACGTCAGTTACCGTAAGAACACACTTGCCACCGGCAAACGCCACTTCGCACGCAGCAGCGATTACGGCGAGACCTTCTGTGAAGGTGGTCAACATGAGGAGGTGACAGACTCCAATCTCCATGCCGGCTTAATCCGCTACTGTGGAGGTGAGAGAGAGTGTGAAGATCTCCTCCTGTTTTCCAGTCCATCACCGACGAAAGATATGACAATCCGCATGAGCCGAGACGAAGGCAAGAGTTGGGGCATTTCGCGCAGGGTTGAGCGAGGGTTGTCGCGATATTCCGACCTCGCAGTGACCGCCGATGGGACAATCCTCTGTCTGTATACCAATGGGGTGGTTCGCGACAGGGAAAAGATTAGCGTGGCGCGGTTTAACTTGGAATGGTTGACGGGTAGCAGCGATTAGGCGAGGGTGAATCGTGATCTAGCGGGTCTCATACCTGTCCGCACGATTGTGTCCCAAAAGACCGGGACACAGCTGCTGCATTTCAGGCGGCATCCGCTCATACGTCTCGGGCCAAATCGGTTGATGACCACCTTCGATCCAGTTGTTGAACCACGGCGGGTAGTAGGCGATATTCAATCCGACGCGGATCTGATCGCTTATATTTGCACGGGCTTGATGATAGGTGCCGCCATGCCACATAATTACTGAGCCTGCCCTGCCAGTAATCGGCTTGATCAACGGGCTATCTGGGTTGATGTCCGATGGCGGAGTCTTCCGACGCGATCGGTGACTCATTGGCACCACACCCGTTGCACCGTTCTCCTCCGTAAAGTCCGTCAGCATCCAGATGCTGTTGATAATCCACGGCACGTCCGGCACTTCATGGAATTCACGTGCGGAATCCACGTGCAGATGCTGCCCCGGCGCACCGGGCCAAGTCGGCTTGGAACACGCCTCAACCACCCGACAATTCTGCCCCAAAAAATGCCGTGCAACCGCCACCGTGTCCGGATGGCTAGCGCACATCCATACGCCATCGTCCAGATTCATCATGCCAAATAACGTCTGATAGTACTGATCACCCGTGTTGTAAATTTGGCACTTCGGGTCAGTGTGCAATTCAAGGAACCGTTCCGCCATGCGTCGTGCTGTGTCTTCGGGGATACGATCCTCAAGCAGGCAGTAGCCGTAAGTTGCCAAGCAATCTATTGCGGCTTTGACGTCACTGTTCATCTGCTTCTCCTTTGCAGATTGCCGTTAAGGAATAGGTATTGCATGTAGCGCGCGTTTCACGACAAGGCGCGGTAATACACACGCGCCCTGTCCGACAATCCACATCTCTGGCTTAGACAGGCATGGTCCTGCCGCTATGAGCCCTTCCAGCAGCGGCTATCTCAGGACTTCCGCCCATAACCCTCACGCCCCCATCAATTCGTTCGCCGATTGTCTCTGCGGGACCACCTTCCAAGAATGCGACCCCCACCTCCTTACACGCGGTATATACCCGGTTTCTCGCCTCAAGCATTTCGGGCGGATGCGGACTTGGAGTGTTCTTGTAACCAAACGACATACCGAGATCCCCAGGTCCCCATTCGGCAAAGGCGATGCCGGGCACCCGAAGCGTCATTTCAGTATTAGCGATTGCTCGCACATTCTCGATTTTCAGCCCAAGCATCAGTTCACCGTCGGGGTTAAGGGGCCAAGGGTCAGCTTTTCCTAGGTAATCATCGACAGAAATGCCCCAAATGGGTGCTGCAGATCCCTGTCCTGCTGAACCCCTGCGTCCGACGTTCAGTTGCGTACCGACGCCAATCGTCTGGAAACGGATACCGGCAGCATTCGACAAATGCCTTCACCGCTTCTGGAGACTCCGCATGACACAGGAGCAGACCATGTACACCTATCGCCAGTAGCTGCCTGAGCTGCCACGCATTCGCTCGGATGACATCAGGACTGGAACCATCCATCGGCAACTCTACGACGACCGCCGGCGTCCGGTGACCACTGTTAGTTGGTCCACCGTCCACAAGCCCGCGCATAAAATTCTCCAGACCCACCAAATCGAAGGGACCATGCTCCATACCGAGGTTGATGTAGTCTGCCCATGTTTTTGCCATCTCCTTGCCAGCCTCATAGGTGAGATTGGCACCTGTGTGACTGCCTGTGTAATAGACCGGCTGATCTTGTTCAAGTAACTCAATTGCTTTGTTGACTCGCTTTGGCATAATTAACCTCTCTTACAAAAAATAACTAGTTCGTTGTGGCGATTTCAATCGCTCAAAAGATTGATCAATACAAAGAAAAATTATAGCATAGTTGCCAATTTGAGTCAAATGCTGAATCCGACGTGCATCTGCATATTTCTATATTCGTCTAGGGTCATTAGTTTCGGCAATATGTTATTGATGTGGCAGTGTTTAATGCAAGTGCGACGTGACATTTCACGCCGCACTTGTTATACTTCACCTTAAAAATCTACCACAACTTTTGAGGTGAAAAATGACGAAAACAACGTCTCGCCACTTAATTGACATTTTAGCACAAGTCCCCGATCCCCGCAACGCCAAAGGGAAACGGCACCCACTTGGTGCGATTCTCGGGCTTGCAGTGATTGCGATGATGTGTGGGTATCGCAGCTATAGTGCCATTGCAGAATGGGGACGTACCTATGCCTCGGCTTGGGTCCAAGCCCTCGGCTTTACCCACGCCAAGACCCCATGTGCTGCGACGTTACACAACCTCTTTAAGAGATTGGATATTGCCACCTTGGAGTCAGTGTTGAGCCAATGGGTGGTTCAAACGCTTCAACTCCACCCGGTAGGTTCGTCTCAATTGGCTGTGGCTATCGACGGCAAAATGCTTAACGGCAGTGCCAAGCAACAAGCGACAGTTAGCCATCTGCTCTCGGTGGTGAGTCATCAACTGGGGGTAACCATTGCCCAACAACCGGTGGATAAAAAGACCAATGAAATCCCTATCTCCACCGAGATACTTTCCGCCTTTGATGTCAAAGGCATGATTGTAACGACCGATGCGCTGCTGACACAGCGTCATTTCTGTAAGACTGTGTGTGCTTTAGGTGCCGATTATGTAGTGCCGGTGGGATTGAATCACAGACAGTTACATCAAGATATTCGCTGTTTGTTTCCACCACCGACAGATAGAAACCCAACTCAATCGACTTTCAACGCCCTTCAACAGATGCACACCGAACTGAACCAAACGCTTGATACGCATCAAACCGTTGACAAAAGCCATGGACGCATTGAGACCCGAAGGTTGACCGCAAGTACAGCACTAAATGATTATGTTCAGTGGCCCGGCGTTGAGCAAGTCTTTGAGTATAGTTATGAGCGTATTGAGCTATCAACCGGTCAAGTGAAGCAAAAGACACAATACGGTATAACGAGTCTAAGCCCAACCCAAGCATCAGCAAAGGACTTGCTCGCTTTACGACGGGGACATTGGACCATTGAAAATCAGTCCCACTGGGTACGCGATGTCGTGTTGGGGGAGGATGCCTCTCAAGTGCGGTCTGGTGTGATTCCGCAGGTAATGAGTGCTTTGCGCAATACCGCATTGGCGGTGTTGCGTTTTGCAGACTATCGCAGTATATCCAAAGCCATGCGGTATTTTGCCGCACACCCACAACACGCTTTAGCCTTAATAAACGGAAAAAACTAATAAAGACCTAGTATTCGTCCCTCCCTCCTTGACATTCCCGCGTGTCAAAAGTATAATGATTAGGTTATCTACTAATCAAATGGCTTCTTCGCATGAATCGAACGGGAGCGGGATCCCGACTCGTCGGGATAAGCGAAAGCGAGAAAAAACATGGCAACAAAAGAGGAACTTTACGATCAGGCTTTAACACATTTCGGGAACAACGAACTTGAGACAGCGGTCACTGCGTTCAATATGCTCGTCGAACAATACCCCAATGATGTGGACGGACATATTGGGCTTGGACACGCATACGAGCGGATGGGCAGATATGATGATGCGATTGAAGCAATCAAAAAAGCAATTGAGGTTGACCCGAATGATCCACTTAATTACACCAGTTTATCGATGTGTTACCAGCGCAAAGGAATGATTCAGGAAGCGGAAGACGCAATGGCAAAATCGCACCAGTTGCAGACGGGAACATAATACGCAGTATTTGCAAACGAGGAGGAAACACAAGCAATATGCTTGAACTTTACGATACAACACTCAGAGACGGAAACCAAGGGGAGGGGGTCTCTTTCTCCGTTGAGGACAAGCTGCTTATCATCAAAGCCCTTGACCGTCTGGGCATCCATTACATCGAAGGCGGATATCCCGGCTCAAATCCAAAAGATATGGAGTTTTTCAAAGGTGCGAAGTCACTTCAACTCCAGCAGGCGGTAGTCGTGCCTTTCGGCAGCACGCGCCACCCACGCTATCAACCCGGCGAAGATCCCAATCTTTTAGCGTTACTGGATACGGGTGCCCGCACTGTCACGATTTTCGGAAAGAGTTGGGAACTCCACGCCACAGACGTACTTCGTGTCACAGCACAGGAGAACATCGAACTTATCGAAAGCTCAGTCCGTTTTCTGGTCGAGAACGGACGTGAGGTCATATACGACGCAGAACACTTCTTTGACGGCTATGACGACCAGCCGGATTACGCCCTGCAAACACTCAAAGCGGCAGCCCAAGCCGGCGCAAGATGCGTCGTATTATGCGACACGAACGGGGGACGCTTGCCCCTAGAAATTCAGGAAGGTGTACGAGCCGTCATAGCGGAGATTGGTCTGCCGGTCGGCATCCACACCCATAACGATGCTGGCATGGGGGTCGCAAACGCTATCCTTGCTGTGCAAGCGGGTGCCGCTCATGTACAGGGAACGTTCAACGGCTACGGTGAACGCTGCGGTAATGCGAACCTCGCCTCTATCATCCCGACGCTCAAACTCAAGCTGGGGATTGACTGCATCAGCGGGGAGGGACTCAACCAATTGACAGAGACATCACGCCTCATCAGTGAATTGGCGAACCTGCCGCACGACGAGCGTCAACCGTACGTCGGGAGTTCTGCTTTCGCCCACAAAGGCGGTATGCACATTGATGCTGTGCGCAAGAATTCACGCACCTTTGAACATATAGATCCGGAGCTAGTTGGCAATGAGCAACGCATCCTAATCTCAGATCAGGCGGGCAAAAGTGCTATCCTGAAAAAGATCGAAAGACGCTATCCAAATTACGACAAGAATTCACCGGAAGTCATTGCCCTTTTTGATCGGTTGAAAGAGGCGGAAAATGAAGGCTACCAATATGAGGCCGCCGATGCGTCATTTGAGCTGCTGACCCGTACACTCCTAGACGGCTATCAGCCATTTTTTGATCTGCTCGGATTTCGTGTGATTATTGAAAAAGTCAAAGACCATGGCATCCGGTCTGAAGCGACGATTAAAGTAATGGCACCCGATGGTGAGGTCGAACATACCGCCGCTGATGGCGATGGCCCCGTCAATGCCCTCGACAGCGCCCTGCGCAAAGCCCTTGAGCGTTTTTATCCTTCGCTACAGGAGGTCCATCTGACCGACTATAAGGTACGCGTTTTGGACACCCAAGCTGGCACCGGCGCAAAAGTTCGAGTGCTGATTGAAGCAAGTGATGGGCGAGAGTATTGGGGTACGGTTGGCGTATCAGAAAACATCATACAGGCAAGCTGGGAAGCCCTCACCGATAGCTTGGAGTACAAGCTCTACAAAGACAGCCGTGAGACGTAAAATATGGTCCGTGATAATTTGCAAACGGAACGAGAAAAATTAACTCTAAATCAGTCTTAATGCTTGACAGGAATGCTTCTATTTGTTATAATATATGTAACAATTCGATAATTAAATCAACAGGAGGTTTCGTATGACTGATTTACAACAGATTGCAAAGGCAGCGCAAGAGATTATCCAGATCTGCGAGCAAGAACGAACTAGCAAAGCGGACAAAGAGAGGCTGCTAAAGCTGCAAGGGGCAATCCTCACGCATATTGAAGGGCTTACTGAATGCGAAGTTTGCGGGTCAATCACGGATCTGGTTGTGACGATGACGATCGAGCCAGTGACCGCAAAGCTGTGCAAAGATTGTGGGATAAACGCGATCGAAGCCGGAAAGATTAAAAAAACTACGACGCGAAAGCAATCCACCCGAGCTACACGGAAAAACGTACCAACGGCAAAGAGAAAGTCGCCGTCACAACAGGCATCACCCAAGAACGCCGATGAGTTATATGCCGAGGTGGAAAAGGAAACAAGCCTCAAGAAAACGGATATCAAACGCTTGCATAAAATTATCCAAGAGATCGCGGGCCCGATGAATCTTGAGAACACGGTCCTATATGTGAAACATGAGGCTGAACTCGCGAAACTGAGGATAGAGCAAGACGCTTTGAAGACGGCAGTCACGTTATTAATGGCGGCGTGAAATTCCGCTTTCACGTCTCAGGTTACGCCAAATTTCGCCCATTGAATCTTGCGAAGATTTGGAACTTTTGGAACTTTTAGTTAAACTCGATAATTTCTGAAACAGATTCTTCCCTGATAGCGTTTAGGATAATACGATCTTGGAAACGATAGGGACAAGGAGGCGCCTACTGTGAAAGATAAAATGATCGATGACCTATCGGATCAAGAAGACACACAATTGGCAACATTGACAAAGGCTGGGGACGAAGAGGCCTTTCGATCGTTGTTTGATAAACATTACAACTGGGTTTATAGTAAAACATATCGTATGCTATCCAATCATCAGGATACGGAGGAAATATCCTTAGATATCTTTATGAAAGTGTGGCAGAAGATCGGGAAGTGGGATACTGTTCAAGGCAGTTTTCAAGCGTGGTTGAACGTCGTTGCAAAAAACACAATAATCGACGCAATCCGCAAGAAAGAAAGGATTCGCGAGGCACTTTTAAGTATGGAGGATGAATCTGAATTGCCACTTGTTGAATACCAAGACCAGCGACCAACGCCTGAAAAACAGGTCGAATCCCAAGAAGCTCAAGAGATTCTTGAATGGGCACTCCAGATGGTGAAAAAGCCGAATCATCGAGTTGCTTGGATTTTACGCCATCTGGAAGGGTGTAGTATTGCCGAGATTTCGCAAACGCTCCAGCGTAAGGAAGGGACTGTGAAAATCTGGATCTTCCGTTGCACAGAGGAGTTGCGCCAAATTCTTACCAGAAAGGGTCTAAAATGGGTTTAATTATTAGGGGGGATAAAATGAAATTTTGGAAAAAGTCTGTGCAAAATTTCAGTAAAGATGAAACAAGAAAAGCGGAGATGCTAGAGATTCATACACGCAGAATCCGGGGAGAGAGGTTATCCCGCAAGCAAACCCGACTGTTAAAGGCAAGCGAACAATATCCAGAACTGGACTCTTTGAAAGAGCTCATCGATTTTGCACATCACCGTTTTGAGGAAAGAGAAAACGTCAGTCCGCCTCCTGGCGCAAAACGACGTATCGCTCACAATTTGATGGAGCTGATTGGTCGTGATGCTGCGGAAGATGGTGCGCTGTCAGGAGATGAACTCGGCTTGCAGCCAGCCTACAGCCTGGATCTAGTCGGAAGTGATAGTGAACTTGCCTTACCACATGTTTCCGGTGATCTGCCGCCGCCAATTCCTGAAGCGGCGGATCCGCTTAATGAGACCGTCATCCTTGACGATGAAAAGGTCGAATCGGTAACGTCTCCAGTAGAAGAGGCGTGTCACCTGAAATTGAAGGTTGTGCAAGGCGGCGAGCCTGAACGTGAGTATGACATCTCTTTCCAACCTATGATTATCGGACGTGGGGATGATGTAGCTGTCCAGTTAGATGCCAACACCCCTGTATCACAGCGTCATGCGTTGCTTACCGTTGATGATGATGAACTCCTAATCACAAATCTTGACAGCCATAGCGGCACGTGCGTTGATGGTGCTAAGATTACTGAACCAACACCGCTTCATGTTGCTTCTAGGATACAGATTGGCGGACAGGTGCTTGAAGTGGTTGCGTTTCGGCGGGATGCTAGTGTCCTTGGTGTCTCCTTTGAAGTCGTAGAAGGACCAGATGTCGGACAGGTTCACTGGGTCCATTTCAAGAAATGACAGTCGGGCGCAGCGCAGCGGCGCGAATCAAATTTGCTGATTCAACAGGAACCCTCTCCCGCCTACATGCTCGGTTTTATCTGAAAAGCGGCGAGGTATATCTTACCGACCTCGGTAGCAAAAACGGGACTTACGTTGATGGATTTCGTATAGAAGAGTCAACCGTCATTGAGCAAGGCATGCACATTGGGTTCAGTGGAATTGTCTGTGAAGTCACAGACATTGAACACATTTAGCCAATGAGTCAGTCTGCGATTTCGTGATGCAGCACAATGGAAATAAACAGATAGGTTCGGGCATATACAATGCAATGCCCATCATTATATACCGCATTTTTCTTCCCGCTATTGAGCGGAAAGGGGGATGCGGTTTTTTTCTATTTGAATTTTGAATGGTCTAAGGTATAATAACCCAATATACCGTAACCTACACACACCCGTAGGTCGGGCATCTCCCGACTTGTCGAGAATCCTCGTTCCGCGAAGTGGAATCCTCGCTACGCGGGACTTGTGGGACCCGATAAATCGGGATCCAAAGCGACTTGCCCGACCCAAAGTTCCAACGGAGCAATAGGTTTACAGTCTCAATCCCCGTAGGTCGAGATTCATCTCTCTAGAAAATAATGCGTAATACGTAAGGTGTCTAAACGATTTCTTCTTGCGAATTAAGCATTATTCTTCGTTAGCCCCAGTTGCTCCCGATGAAGCATCGAGGATTCAAAGCAATTTGAATCCCGATCTTATCGGGTTAGTTTTCCGTTTTTGATTTTGGCGGGTAGACGGAAGATTGCCCCCTACATCGTAGGTGGGGCATCTTGCCCCGCCCGAAGAATTAAATGACCCTATCTTCTACCCATGAGTCAGAGACAAACTGCTTTCGCCCATTTTAACCGTGCTGCAAATCTTTATCGGCAAGTCCACTATGCCCAAGCCGTTCAATATTATTTGGCGGGCTTAGAAATCGATCCGATGTGTGTGGAGGCGTATGCAGACTTGGCGAAGGCGTATGAAAAATTAGGGTGCTGGAATCAGGCGATTGAATCGCTGGAGACTGCGCTAAGGCTACGTCCCGGTTATCCAACTGCCCTTCGCCGCAAGGAACGCATTCTCGAAGAGAAAAGTGTTTATGATAGCTTAACCGATGAACTAAATCTAGCCCTTGATGCCACCGACCAACATCAGCCAACCGATGCCGTTCAGGTGGAACACTCTCGGAACGGAGATGGCATCTCCAAAATCGAACACGAATTCTTTACGCTCACTGGTGGGTGCACAATCCCGCAGAGCCTATTATTGGTCGTATCCCAAATCATCGAACACACCTATCATGAGGTTGGCAAAGTTTTCCAATGCCATCCGCAATACAAGGTTCCTGTTTTTATTGAAGCTGCCAATCAAATGGATACGTCACAAGATGTAAATCCGGTGGACAGCACAACATCTCCGGTTGAAGTTGCAAATCACACGTTATTTTCGGAGTCTTCTCTCCCACAATGGGCGGTCGCCTGCTATGACAATGGGAGCATTCGTCTGACTTACCGTCCTTATAGCGATTCCAGTATCGGCGTTTTATACGCAGTCATCCGCCACGAATGGACGCATCTCCTCGTTGACCTTCTAGCGAAGGGGCGATGTCCCAACTGGCTTGACGAAGGACTCGCTCAATTTGTAGCACGCCCGTTGATGAACTCCGAGAAGACACAGTTACAACAGGCTAGTCGAGATAGACATTTCTTACCTCTCCACCTCCTGCAAAAACCGTTTCACCACCTTCCGGAGAAGCAACGCCGTTTAGCGTACCTCCAGTCTTACGCAATCACCAAATACTTGATACAGCAGTTCAACTTTGCAACACTCCGAGATGTTCTCAAACACCTCGGCGACGGAGAATCAACTGATACTGCATTTCAAGAGGTGTTTGGGAAAACAGCGAAAGAAATCATCGTCGCTTCAAGCGCGGAGAATTGCATGACCGTCTAGGAGGATTAGTCATGGGAAAACTTGATATTGCCATCGTAATCATTGTTGGTGTAGGTGGTCTGAGCTGCCTGCGGGCGGGTTTTACACGTAGCGTCTGGGGAATTGCTGCTCTGTCTGCTGGTGCATTCATCGCTAGCCAAGTCTGGCAAGATGTGACACCCTTCCTCCTCCGCTTCATAAAGCAAGAGCCGCTCGCCAAGTGGATTAGTATTACCGTCATCGTCACCGCTGTGAGCATCGTGATTGATATGGTATTTAGTCACATTCAGAAGGTCGTAGAGCGTGGCGTCCTAGGGTGGGTCAACCACATCATCGGGGGAGCTTTTGGAGTGGTATCTAGTGCTATTTTGATTGGATGTTTTCTCTTGTTGTTGAATCGTTTCGGCGGAGAGGAAGCTAGACAAGTCGTTGCCAATTCTCGTTTCGCACCCGATCTCTTAGAGATCGCTAGGCAAGTTTTCGACTTTGGGGAGGAAGCAATTAAAGAGCATTTTGGACCGATGTAAAAGGCAATTCTTCAGCGCACCCTAATCCCCGGTAAAACCGATCCATGCACAGTTGTTATGTTCTACCTCCGCAAATCTCCGAAGACACCATCCATATCAGTGAATCTGAGCGACATCACCTGCTCAACGTACTGCGCTTGAGGGCTGATGACCAAGTTGAAGTCTTTGACGGAGAGGGCAACCGTTATGTCGCCTCGCTATGCGATACCCGCACTTCCCCGCTACAGGCGAAAATCCTCCAGCATCAGTTTCACCCACACACCCCACCGTATATCACCCTATTTCAAGGCTTACCCAAATTTGACAAAATGGATCTGATCGTGCAGAAGACGACCGAGGTTGGTGTGAATGAGATCGCGCCGATAATCTGTCAGCGTTCAATACCGAAATCGGTCGTTCAGCAGAAGCGTACAACGCGCTGGCAGCGGATCGCAAACGAAGCTGCCAAACAGTGTAAACGCCCCCATTTCGTCCACGTGCTCGCACCTCAGGGGCTAGAAGGGTGTCTTGGAAGGGTAAACCACTTCGATCTGTTAATTCTATTGTGGGAAGGTGAAAAACGGCAAGGGCTCAAAGAAATATTACGCAATCATGGAGAAGCAAAGTCAGTTGGGCTTTTTGTGGGACCTGAAGGGGGATTTACAGATGAAGAGGTGGAGTTGGCGGTTCAAAACGGATGCGTATCTGCAACGTTCGGCGAAAACATCTTGCGCACAGAGACCGCCGCAATCGTTAGCGTGGCATCCGTGATGTATGAACTCAGATGAGCATCATACACAATGAGTCATTGCGGGCTTTTATGGAGTGACAGATGACAACTTACGTTATATTAACGCAAGTTGCTAGTCGTAAAAAGTCTATCGGTTTTCTGTTAAAGGTGAAGTCCGCTATCTTTCGCTCCAGAGGAGCGATATGTCTATAGAACAGCGATGAGATCGGGATTCAAAGCAATCTGTGGTGATTTAAGCCCGTAACGATTACCTCCAAACCAGCAAGACCGCAAGTGCTTCGCCCGGCGTATTCCACAAGAAATCAAACGCCTCCTTTGCCTGCTCGTATGGAAAGCGGTGGGTGATCATCTGATTGGTTTGGATCTTTCCAGTGCGAATCTTCTCCAATGCTCGAAACGCAGTCTGTGAGAGCGGTTCGTCGACAAGAATACCTGCTACAAGCCGCTTGCTCATAATCTTTGATGAATGCAACGGCAACGGCTCCCCCTGATATAATGCGATTAGCTGAAGTGTGCCTCCCCTGCGCACCATATCCTGCGCCTGATCAAACGATTTGACACCGGCATGTCCACCAACACAGTCAACGACGAGATCTGCACCTTTCCCATCGGTTAAACGGTGCACCGCCTCAACAGGGTTCTCTTCCGAAGCATTAATTACGGCATCCGCTCCCAATTCCTTTGAGAGTTGACAGCGTAGAGGTAGCCCATCAACCGTGATGATTCTGGCAGGATCATATCCGCGCAAGATCTGCAGCATCAAGCTCCCCACAACACCTTGCCCCAGAATGACAATCGTATCTCCCGCCTGTGCCCCTGACGATGCCGCCCACGCTGTCGCCTCTGTCGAGAGCAAGAGGAACGTTCCCGCCTCGAAGGACACATCATCCGGGAGTGGGACTAAATGCCCCCGCGCCGAATCCACATCGCCAACAACATATTGTGCATGGGGAGCGGCGACCATCACCCGTTGTCCAATTTGATACTCGGTGGCGTCCGCTCCGACCTTCTCGATGGTGCCTGTGAGGGAGTACCCCATAATCGAATGGGGAAGTGCTTCCTCACTGATATAACGACGAAACAGTTCAGAACCGCGGCTGATCAACGTCCTTTCCGTCCGTACCAAAACTTGACGGCTATCGATCTCTGGAATGGGCGCGTCTTCTAACTGAATATTGCCGAAACCCTCTGGCTTAATCACGCGAATCATTGGGATTGTCTCCTGTCATTGATTAGACGATGAACCTTCCAATATCAAGGTACGTCGCATATACCATTTTTCCTACATCTCATGCGTTACCCAAATTCCGCTTTTCCCAGCCACCTTCTCCGTACATATCCAGGAAGTGTGATTCATCGTAGGGGTATTTTGCCATCTCCGCTTCGTTGAGGTCTAGCCCTAAACCGGGGCGGTCCGGAATGATGACATCGCCATCTTCGATTTCTATCGGATAATCAACAATCTTTTCAGCGAAAGGCGTCGCAAAGTCCTCAAAGACCTCTTGGATCATAACATTTGGTGTTGAGGCATCGATATGGAGGCAAGCAGCGGTACAGACAGGACCTTGTGCGTTGTGGGGTGCGACGGACACATGATGGGCGTGTGCAATGGCGCAGATCTTCTTCATTTCTGTGATGCCGCCGGCGGGGATGGGATCCGGCTGAATCACCTGCGCTGCTTTCCGATCGAGCAGTTCCATAAACGCTTCTTTGCCGGATAACCCTTCGCCAGCCGCAATGGGAAACGGCAGCTTAGAGGCGATGAAAGCGAGGTCGTCGATTTGTGCGGAGCGTACCGGTTCCTCAAACCAGCCCGGATTGAATGCCTCCAGCCTGTGCCCAATCTTGACGCTGAGTAGTGGATCGAAACGTCCATGCCCTTCAATGAGTAGATCTACATTAGGCCCAACTGCATCCCGCACCGCCGCGATAATATCGATCGAAAGATCAATCTCGCTATGAGCCATTCGTCCGTAGGCGTTTCCAAAGGGATCGAATTTGAGTGCGGTATAGCCTTTCTCGACAACCGCTTTGGCTTTCTCGGCAAACGCTTCAGGGACGCGGTCCACCTGATACCAGCCGTTAGCGTAGGCGCGGATGCGATTTCGATATTCCCCGCCGATCAGTTGATAAACCGGTAGCTGAACTGTCTTACCGATGATGTCCCAACACGCCATGTCCACCGCTGCTTTTACATAAAAAGGGGCACTCGCCTTCGTAAGTTCTTCGTAAATTTCTTCCGTGTTGAATGGATCTCGACCGAGGTAATAGCGGCGCATCTCGATGACAGCGGTCTCTGCCGTTTTCGCTTTACGATGGCTTGTCGCCTCACCAACTCCGTAAACGCCGTTATCGGTGTGGAGTTTGATAAACACCCAGTTTTTCCAAGGGTTCCCAACGATAAAGGTTTGAACGTCTGTGATTTTCATGAACTAATAACCTAGATATAGAGCGTTTTTACCGCAATGCGTGCATTGCGAAATAGAGCAAGAGTTTGATTCGCGCAAGTACCGCAATCGCCGGGCATTTTTCCTGCGGACCGGGTGATTTGAACAACCGGGCCTAAACCCCTAAGCTACATCGGTAGAATTCATATTGGTTTCTATCCAAGCGGATCAACACCCCGATAGGACTGGTCGAGGAGTTCGATCGGGTGCATCACCTTCATGGGCAATCTATTCTCTTTAACACCGAGTTGGATCTGTAGAATACAGCCCGGGTTCCCTGTCGCGACGATTTCGGCATCTGTCTCGGCGATGTGCTTTATCTTGCGATCCAGAATCTCACGCGACATCTCCGGCTGCGTGATATTGTAAATACCGGCACTGCCACAGCACCATTCCGATTCGGTCAACTCGATAAGTTCTAACCCCGGAATTGATTGGAGGACTGTGCGGGGTTGCGATTGAACCTTTTGCCCATGGACGAGGTGACACGGTTCATCATACGTCACGCGCCGCTTAATTTCTCCTTCGGGAGGTGTCATCTCAATTTCTGCGAGAAACTCGCTAATATCCCGCATCTTGTTGCTAAATACCTTTGCCCTTTCGGAATAGTCTGGATCGTGTTCCATCAAGGCTTCATACTCTTTCAGAGTCGCCCCACAGCCTGCGGAGTTAATAATGATCGCCTCCACCTCTGCGGCTTCAAAGACATCGATATTTTGCCGAGCAAGTTCTAATGCCGTGTCTCGGACACCGTTATGGACGTGCAATGCTCCACAGCATATCTGCTGCGCCGGTGTAATTACGTCGCAGCCGTTTTCCGCCAAGACGCGAACCGTCGCCAGATTGGTCTCGGTGAACACCTGATTCATCACACAACCAGAGATAAATCCGACCCGATGTTTCGCCTTCCCTTTGGCGGGGGTAAATTCCCGCAGATTGTCCTTGAGGGACGGGTTGGGAATGTCGGGCAGCAATGATTCCATCTCTCCCAACTTTCCCATCAGTTTGAGAATCCCAAGTTTTTGCACCAGCCAGCGAATCCCAAAGCGTTGATACAGCCACATCAGTTCAAAGATGAGGTCTAAGCGATCCTTATTGGGTAAGAGTTCCTTAAAAGCCAAACGCCGCCAAAACCGTTGTTCGGTTGGACGCTCAACGTTCAGTTCGTAGATTGCACGGGCTTCTTCGATAACCTCGCCAAAATGTACACCGGAGGGACATGCCGTCTCACAGGCGCGGCAATCCAGACAACGGTAGATATATTTTGCCCAGTCGTCGTTGATCGGCATCGGGTTGTTATCCCTGAATGCCGTCCCCATCAAATAGAGTCTTCCACGCGGCGAATCGGTCTCCAATCCCAATTCACGGTAAGTCGGACAGGTTGGTAGGCAGAGACCGCAATGGGTACAAGCGTCCCATTTCTTCCAGCTAAAAAGTTCCGACCCGATGAGAGGTTTAGTCTGTGGATCTAGTTGAGTTTGTGGCTGTTGCATTTTTTGTTCCTGCTGCTTGGACATACAGTTTTTGAATCACGAACACGCCGAAAGTATTGCGGGCAATTTTCAATGTCTTAGAGGATCTGGAAAAGTGTATTTCGGCTCGCGCTGATTGCGATGAAAGTGGAGAGGCAGGACATATTTTTGCGGATTACTGATTTCCGGTTGATTCGCAATGAGAGGCTGTGGACTACCACACCTTCTAATGGGCAGTCAATTTTGAAACACTCAGCAACCCTTCATTCAAACTCCCAGATCTATACCCTTGCAGATCAAGAGCAACATGCTCATATCCAAGCGATTTGAATTTTTCCTTAATCTGGCTGCGGGTAGATTTGGCAGCGACGAACTCAATCTCTTGCGGATCGACCTCAATGCGTGCGAGCGTATCATGATGGCGTACACGGAATTGGCGAATCCCCAAATCGAACAAAAATTGTTCCGCCCGATCAACGAGGCGTAGGTTTTCGCGGGTAATCCGTGTGCCGTAGGGAAAACGGGAGGAAAGGCACGCAAAGGCTGGTTTGTCCCACGTTGGTAGCCCCCAACGCTTTGAAACTTCACGGATCTCCGCCTTCGTAAGATTCACGTCTATGAGCGGTGCCTGAATACCCATCTGCTTGGCAGCATCCATACCGGGACGATGATCCCCCACATCGTCGGGAATTGCGCCGTAGACGGTTGTGCCAATCTTATATTGCTCGGCAATCGGGCGAATCTGTTCAAAGAGCTCGGTTTTACAGAAATAGCAGCGATTGGTCGGGTTGCTCGCATAGTCCTCGGTTTCCAATTCGTCGGTATTTATCGTTTCATAACGGATGCGAATCTGCTTGGCGATGTCCTGCGCTGCTTTCATTTCGCGCTCCGGGTAGGAGTCAGAAACCGCTGTCACAGCAAGGCATTGTCCCCCAACGCCCGTTTTGCGGCTTCAGCCAGAAAGGTACTATCTACTCCACCAGAGAATGCGACGATAACTTTTCCGTAGGATTTTAATAGCCGATCGAGTTGATCTAGCTTCTGATCAATATCTAGATATTCTTCTGTTTCCGACATCGGTTTGACCTCTCTAATTTTTACTGTTGCGATTGCTGTAGTTTTCTTAGTTTCCCACGGAGGAGTTGTCGTTTCAGACCGCTGACGTAATCGATGAACAAGATGCCATTGAGGTGGTCTATTTCATGCTGTAGAGCGCGAGCGAGTAAGTCTTCCCCTTCGATCCGAATTGGTTCACCATCAATACCTTGCGCTGTCACAACGGCCTTCGCCGCCCGCTTGACATCGGCGGTAATACCGGGGAAACTCAAGCACCCTTCCTCCTCGATGGTCTCACCCGCTAGGCTTTGAATTTCTGGGTTAAACAGCACCAATGGAGGCCTTCCGGCTCCTCCCTGTTCAAATCAATCACAATCAATCGCTTCAAAATCCCAACCTGCGGTGCCGCCAACCCCACGCCGATCGGTGAGGCATGCATCGTGGATAGCATATCCTCTGCAAGTTTCCGTTCAACATCTGTGATTTCCTGAACGGGGAGTGCTTTTTCTCGAAGCACCGGATCGCTATAGAGCCGAATACAAAGGGGTGCCTCGGCGCAGTCATGAGGAAGCATATCTACAGTTGCCGCCCTAGCGGCCTTTGGTAATGATGCGGTCCGTTTTCTGCGATTGCGTCTTGCCATTTCCGAGCAGAGGTCCCTCCTGTTTCAATCAACGGTTCTAAGATCTTATAATCATATCACCCGGAGAGAGAATGGTCAAGCAAAAACGGAAGATTCAGTTCTCCTGTAGGAGGGATCTCCGAATCCCGACTTCCTACTTTGAATCCCGATCTTATCGGGGCTCCGTATGCCGTAACTGTACCAATGCCCCCCTCCCCGCGTAGGTACAGGTTTCCCAACCTGTACTTGTGGCATAGGTTGAAAGTAGTAGGCATACTCCGTATGCCGTAACCTCAAGAGTTCATGCGTTCAATAATTCATTAATTCGCTAATAAGCCAATATAGCCCCAGCGGGGCGATATGTGTATAGCACTTGAACCCTCTAGCAACTTAGGTTAGAATTAATCTCAGCCCTGCTTAATCAATTTCTGGAGTGAACGAAGTTCTCTGGGCGGATCCATCTGGCTGCCATAGTCGCTCCATGAAACTTCCGCAACATAGATGCTCCCCTTAGAATCAACAGCGATTCCGTGCGGTGAGTAGAATCGCCCGGGCTCATCTCCATAGGATTGATTACTCAGTTGCGCCAATACATTCCCCTTTGTGTCCATGATGCTTACCCGGGGACCAAGGTTGGTGCCCATCGCATTCGACGCGATACCACCAAAATACTCACCCACATACACCAACGGTTCATCTCTGGTGTCTAGGCAGATACAAGCAGCCCTAGATAGGTTCAGCCACTGCGTTTCATACTTTCCATCGGGAGAGAATACCTGTACCCGGTGGTTCTCACGGTCAGCAATGTATACCCACCCATCTTTATCGGTTGTGATGTTATGGACAATATTGAACTGTCCCTCACCCGTGCCTGACTCTCCC